TTTTTAAGAAATGATTTTCCAGGACCTTTCCAGGACATTTTCCAGATTTTGTTTTTGACAATACAGGACAGCACTTGCTCACAAACGGTCAGTCATGGGTGGTGTGCTCCACAGCCGATCTTTCCACTTCCTGAATACACCTTTTTCACAGCAGCCATTTTGATATGAAATAGAATGGTAACACAGGTGTTACAAATGATACTAACAAAGGTTCCATTCCATTTAGTGTAGCAGAGCCTTTCCAGTGAGCCAGCGTGCCTTAATGAACCTTAATCAGTATCACTGGTAACATTATTTCAGGATATTTGGTCATGAGTGGGAAACTAGTTTCTACATTTTCAGGTTTTCCAGGATGCGTGGGAACCCTGAATTCCTAGTACATATCATATTTTGGGTGCACTAAAATCAAACAGGTTTGTCTCACATTGAAGTAAAGACCTAATTAATGTGTGTATACATGTCTGCATTAGGCCTAATTCAGCAATTTATATCCTCAAATGATCAATATGTTGAAATAATAATCAAACAAGTCTGTTTTGCATAAAGGTGGCACATTGGCAATTTATTTAAAGTCACATGAGAAGGGTTACTCATAACTATCAGTTTATCTATGTCAACGCTTTGTTTGTGTGACCTTGTGTGGATGTGAGCCTGTCTTTCCTTCTTCTGTCCATGTGTGTCTGTCTCTGACCCTGTCTTCATGTATGTGGTGTGTGTTTTTGCAGGAATACTCCCTGCTGTATGAAGAGGCCAGCTTCTTCCAGCTGGTTCCCCTGCAGGCCGAGCTGGAGCGCTGGAGGACTGAGCGGGAGTGCAGGGGTGTGTGTCTGGAATGCGAGTGTGTCGTGGTTCACGTGGCGCCCGACCTCGGCGAGAGGATCAGTGTAAGTGCCTGCCGGGCCGTGATCGAGGAGGTTTTTCCTGAGGTCAGAGAAGTCATGTCCAGTTCCCTGAATGCCAGCTGGAACCAGGACTCCACACACATCATTCGCTTCCCGCTCAATGGCTACTGCCACCTCAACTCCATCCAGGTACAAAACACACTCTGGGTTCAAAGTTCAAACCCTTCAACACCAATCTATAGAAGCCCATTTCCGCCAAGGTGACGAAACAAAAAAGGATTCTGTTAGTCAGTATGACAATATAATGACTTAGCACCTTAGTCATAATTTTGAAAACGTTTGTCATTATAATGATTTACAGAATCTCATCTACAGTCACATTGTATGGGCTTCCGTACCAATAAGACAGTGACTGACCTGCTTTCTCAGGATCAGGTTTTCATCTTTTAGCACCACTGTCCCTATCTTCTGTGCAGCCTGAGTGCATTAGCCTAGCAGTTAGCTGAAGTGTGCAGTATATCATCAAAGAGGCAGCAGAAACATAGGACCTTCCTCACAGAGGTGTCCACCAACTCATGTTTACTTTTTAATAGAATGTGCTTCATTTCTCCAAATGTAAATGAGTAAACCAGATAAATACCTCAATAAGCTTTCCATCTTGGGCAGAGTCCTAAATATTTCACTTCTGATTTTACAGGGATACCAAATAATGCTCTAGGGGGCAGTCATGTACAGGGAACAGCTCTAATTTATTACGGTTCAAAAGTAAGCCTGACGCTTTGTAACTTTGTGAGACAGCTGGACTCACAAAATCACAAAATGACATGAGAATCCGTCTCGCCAGGCTTCAGTCTTTGTGTTTGAACTACAGTTGTTGAGGAAGTACTGGCAGCTACGGGGGTGGGCTGCTACTTGTGACGCAGCGAGAAGACACTGTTCATTAAACAACAATGGCAGCTGCTAAAGAGGTTAGCATGGATGTTTCTCCTTCACGCTTGGAAGATGAGCAGTAAATGGTTGCAATCTGCAACTACACCACTAGATGCCACTAAACCCTGCACACTGGTCCTTTAGATGTATTTCAACCTTGTATCTGGGAAATCAGGTTTTATCTGTAATTTTGGCATGGGGAATGGTCCTAAATACTACAAGACCCATGAGCCTCAGCTGCCATTGCAATGGAGGACAGTCAGAGGTGCAGATCAGATTAAAAGTCAAAATGTTTTGTTGAGTGAACAGTAAACTGATTTAAGATTTAATCTTTAGCTTCCACACAAAGCTATCGGTGCACAATACATAGAATTTGAAGCTCAGTGTATGGATGTGCCAAAATGCACCTTGGGAGTTGTAGTTTATATCTACCACAAAGTACTTTTGAGATCGGTTGAAAGAAATCTCCAGAACTGTTGTTTTAATATATTGGGACTCTCTCTCCTTGGCCCCGCCCTCACCAGCCATCAAATGCTCGAATTATAATTATTATTAATTAACAGTCAATATTCAGTCAAATAGCTCTGGAAGTGTTTACAATCAGCCAATAACCTTCTTGTGTGGAGATAAATTGATGGCTGACACATTTCATTACTGTATGTCTGTCTGTCTTTGTGTCAGGGGAAATTTCATTCAGACAGACGCAGTATAGAGGAACAGAGGACTCCTGAGGGCAAACAGAGATAATGTCACCACGTTCACTTCAGCAGGGAGGGTGGGGAGAGAGGAACTAATGGACTACTTCTGAAGTAGTCGATGTTTCAGGCCAGAGAGGCTGAGTGTGGGATGGATTTTACCTAGAGATAATGAAGAGTGACCCTGGGCCCCGGGGCCTGTGTCTCAGCTATTGTTAGCAACACAGTTAAGCTTACACACAAAAGAACCACAGACTGTGACGGGTAAATCAGAGAGATATATCATTCATCAATGGCTGATAATTCTTCTTCCACATTGATTAAACCTAATAATCGAAACTATCCATTCTATTTTGGGTCACGTACCATAACACTTGAAATGAAATGGCAAAGAAGAAGAAGTACAAAGAATAGGAAGGAAAATCGGCATTGGGTCCATGTGGGTTTTGTTTTTTAGTTGTTAAACATGATCAAAACTATTTTTTCACCAAAACACATTTAAAAAAGCTCCAGTGTGTAGAATGAAGTTATCTCAGGTGATTGTACACTAATGAAAACATACCTATGAATATTATATTCCACTTCTGACAATAGATCCTCCTCAGTGTTACACACTAAAGCTTTGAAAGCAACACTAAAAAATGCAACTTCATACTCTTCGTCAAATCTCATCCGTATGGCTGTTGTTTGGTTTGTGTGCCACTGCAGGTGTTGGAGCGCTTACAGCAGAGAGGGTTCTGGATCACATGCTCATGCGGTGGCGGAGTGGACTCTTCCCAGTTTAGTGAATACATTCTACAGAGGGAGGGCCGAGGCAGCCGACAGCCCCCCACGCTCAACCGGATAAAACAGGAAGTCATGGACTGAACTCGAAGGAAACCACGGAAGTCCATTTTTTGCACACATATTAGCAACTGCTCCGTGCAAGTGTTTGGACAGATTTGACATTTCAACAGATTCACTTTAGAATGAAAGATGTTCTCTTTGATACATTCATTTCCGACAGTAGTATCATTACAGTATGAATATAGATCAGTCAGTGCAGGGACAGGCTCATGGAAAATGTGATTTCCCATTTGAGGTACACTAGCATTAGCATTTCTATTTATATGAAATGGAGGCTAGGGGTGTGCTTTAGGGATACAATCTTTTATCATGGTACATGTAATTTTATATTTTGGTATAGTATATTTCCTGGAAATTCAATTGAGGAACCATTGATAGAGAACATAACCAGATGCTAAGATCTGGCTAATCCAATGAATTAAATCAAGGTACTTTCATCACATTGATGCAAAAAGTCTGTAAATCGGTACTGCCATAGAACAGTCCCGCTTCGTTTGCCCACATTGGCCTAATACCCGCTGAGATATTAAAGGAGAGCTGCTACAGTATGAACCGTATGGCAGTTGACACACTTCTGTTGTTCAATGAGATATATATGTCATATTGTCCAACCCTACCATTAGTCCTCTCCACCATGGTCTCATGGTCCACATGCTGAGGCTGGACAGTTTGCCATGTGCACACATACAATGCATGAACTTTCACATCATGCTGATAGTTACAGAATAGGACAAAACCACAAATGGACTCCTGAAGCTATTCTTGGCAGCTGGCTAGTGGCTCATAATCTGACTGCATGGCTTTCACACGGGTTTTTATACAGTTTAAACGTTTTAATGGCAATGTATTTTAAACTGACAACTGGATACTCATACATTTTGTATGTGTAAGAATTTCCTCTCAAGATATCATTTTGTTTGTTTGTAAATCAAAAAGCACTGACAGTTCGATGCTGATGTTGGACTTTTCTGAAACTGTCCACTCAAGACGAAAGACAGCATGCTGATAGGGACAGTTTTATGTTTTGGAAGACAATGACAGATGGCATAGTTCAGAGGTCATCTGAAGTATTATACAGGAAATAGAGTTCACAGATAGGCTTTGTCCATAAACAGGACAATGCACAATGACCAGTAGATTATGACACATTCATGTTAGTTCCTAAGGAAAACCAGCCTTTTTTAATTCCAGCTCAGAATGAACTTTGGTTTTGAACCAGTTTGTTTTGGGTAGAAATGCTCAGAATGGTTCAAAACTATAGGTGTGCAAACTGGACTGGAGTCTGCTCCCTGTAAGTGGAAAAGGCCTAAGAGAGACTGCTCTGTATTTTCTTTAATGCGCTACACCAACTAGAGTCCTACAAATATCATATTGAAAACTATCTTTTTCCAGTCAAAACAGCTGGTTGTAATGTACTGTATATGTTGAATGCAGCTGTGTATAAGTTGCTGTGTATAAATTATGAGGCATGAGCCTTTTTTGCATGTATTGTTGCATTGTTTTGTAGTATTTGCAGAGACCATCAGTTACGTTTACCTGGAGCAAATCTGAAATGTTTGCATTTGGTAAAGTATGAATTTAGAACACAAGCACAGAATTCCCAGTGAGAAAAAAAAAAAAAAACTTTATTTCAGCCGTAATTTTATTTTTGGCATGCAATATCTTTATTATAGATGCACAATGTCTGTCTTTGTTCGGTTTTTAAAAAAAAAATAGAGGCAGAAGATCCGCGATTGATTCATTTTCCAAATATGTTTTATAGGGCTTCACCCGTGATGAAGCATGGAGCAACAACAGAAGCCAGCATTGTTTATTTGTAGATCACATTTTCTTTGTTTTGCATAATTATTGTAAAATTTTCATACCAACTAAAAACATTTCAGAGGATCCCATTAAAAAAAATATAAGTCATAACCAAGATACAGGCTGTTCATTATTAGTCCTCATGCTCCACTCCTAGCCTTGTCCCTGTTTGAGTCCTGCAGCACATCTTCAACCTGAGGAAGACGTCATGCCTGGTCCCCAAAGGCTTACATTACTACAGACCTGTGACATCCCATGTGATGAAGACCCTTGAGACTGAAACTCTCCCAGCTCCGGCCCCTGGTTAGACCAGCACTAGACCCCCCCTGCAGTTTGCCTAAAGAAGAACAAGGGAGTTGACACTATCATTTACCTGCTGTTCTTTGATTCCTCCATATAGCTTCTGCCATTGGGAGACAAGCTCAGGGCCATGCAGGTGAACACTCCACTTTGGTTCCTGGTTAACGGATTACCTGACTGACAGGCAGCAATTTGAGAGACTGAGGAACTGTGATGAGCAATACGGTGGACCCCAAGGACACTCCTCTCCCCCCGGCTGTTTACCATATACACCTCTTACTTCAGCTCGAAAGCCCTCCACCTGCAGGAGTTCTCTGCCATTGTGGGGTGCATTAGAGGACAACAGGAGGACGAATACAGAGGCCTGCTGGATGAATTGGCTGGGTAGTGCAGAAGAGCTGAATACTGGCAAGACAAGGGAGCTTTAAAAATGTACTTAACTTTACTTCATTTTTGCATAACTAAGTGAACAGCTGCTTTGAGTCACAGGTGGCTGTTTTTAGTAACCAGGCTTCTTTCAACCACGCTCCGCCTCTTTGCCCATTTTTGGATTAACTGGGAGCCGGTAGAGTCAAGACTGCCAAGATGGTGACAGCCAGAGCCGACCACACTGAGCTTCACAGCGGCTCTTTAGAAATAGGGACATCAGGGGATGTCAGGAAAACTACGGCCATTTTTAGTCATACAGTCCATGATTTTAGCCTTGTAATCTGTAGTCTTTGGTCTGTCCCAGCTTCGCTCATTTTTTCTTGGACTTCTTTAATAGGTTGTAATTTCATTTTCCTACCATGTAGGTGTCCAATAATGTTCAGTTTAGTTTAATGTTCACAAACTCTCGACAGAGGTCCAGTTCAGCTTGGAAGCATATTAAGCCATATTTTGGAAGTGGAGTGAAACGTACACCCCGAAACAGAGGGCATGTGCAGGAAGAACGCAGCCACTAAGGTTTCATTGGTTTGGGCCTGTTTATTCTGACTGAGGTGTTAAACCACTTATAATCAGAATATTAGGCTCCATGTAAACATAGCTATTGTACGATCTACAAGATGATTGAGATGGAAAAAGTAACAGACAGCCTCTATAACTGTACTGAAAGCTGTTTTTAAAGTCATACTGTGAGAAGAGAATCCTCCTCCTTCAAACTGTCTGGTAGATGTGTGTTTAAGTCTGGAAGTTTTTATTAGACATTTTTTTTAAAATATTTAACCCACTTTTGACCCTAGTGATGGTGCTAGATGAAAAGTCACACAATCTTCAAAGTTTAAATAATTTATCCTGCAGTGAATGTGAATGTTTGTGCAACATCTCATAGCAATTCATCCAGTAATTGTTGAGACATTGCATTCTGGCACAAAGTGGTGGGCCGACAGACTGGCATTACCGCCCCCAGAGCCACGCTGCATTTGTGGCTACAAACAACCAAGAAAAGGAAATGTCAGGATGTGACCGAATCTACTTTTTTTAATGGCCAAACAATAAACAAGCAAAGTGATGAAAAACTCAACGGACAACTGAACTACATTTAGTACACTTTTCAACAATACTTTTCAGTCAACAGCAGTATTCTCTACTCTTGTCTTTATAATCAAAACCAAAACTATAAGTGCTTTCAGAGCCCATTGCTGATCCAACACTATCCTCCAAACAGCATATAAATAGATATTTGATATAATAGAAACAAACTGCAAAAACATTTTTTGGAGGTCAAAAGAAAAGATTCAAAAACTTGGGACCTTGTGAGCACAAACTATAGATTACTACTGGACCGATTCAGTTATTAACAGTAGGAGCAGTAAGGTAGTCAGAGCATCGCTTTGTAGAGAGTCAGAGAGTGGCGTAGGAAGTGGTCCTCCTCCATACACACCAGCAGATCCCTCAGCATGACCCGAGTCACTCTCTGAACACCCTGTCTGGGCAGCAGAGTCACCTGACACATGCACACACACACACACACACACACACACACACACACACACACACACACACACACACACACACAGATATTTGTATGTAAGTCAGCAATATTCTACAGTGAGCTGGTCATCATCACAAAACACACCCAGCAGCTGAGTGAAGGCCCTGAGATCTTACAGTGACTGTTTGACTCCAATACAATTTGCTTGGTTATAAGGCAGAGACATAAAATTGATAAACTGGAAAAATATTTCCAAATTTGAACATTTTTCACACTTTCCAATATAAAATCATCCATTTTAGAACCCAAGCCCAAATCAAACATTACAAACCAAAGTTTTTGCCAACTGTTACTATATCAGATATTTTTAGTTTTAAAGTTGGTTACTGACCTTGGGAAGAGTAGTTTGACAGAATACACCTATCCTTTATGGCTGAAACTGGCTATATTGTAAGACATGGAATATAAAATTGATTGAGTCAGTGGACGACGATATATAATGGACATTTTTCATTTAGTAAATGATGGTCCCATTTAAAGTAAAATAGACCATAAAGCAGGGTATGCTTTAGGGCGGGTCTACCTTGTGTCCAGCTCAACGCACCAAACTCAGATCAGACTGTCCAACTAGGCAGTGCTGATCAAATATGAATCCAGATTCTGTTACTGCGTTGACTATTTCTCTCCTCAAATCTTTCACAAACATGTTTTAGTGTACTGTTTATCTGGAATATGTGATTGTGTGTGATCAGGCAAGCCACCATTGTTTCCTGCCACAGATGAGTTGAAACTGTGCAGCCAATGAGAGCAGCTCAACTCGCAGTATGTCACCTCCACTGGCTCACGCTGGCTCAATCTGTTATGGCGGCGGCCAAATGGCAAATACGAGACTTCAAAACCAATGGGTGAGGTCACGATAGGTTCACACTTAGTCTGGACAGAGACAGAGGTTACAATCTCCACCCATATACAACAATATGAGATCATGTGAGTGAAGTTCTGCTCTTAAACGTGGCAGATGGAGATTGTGAGATGTGGTTAAAAGGACCCTGAGTTAAGACATTAAGCTATTATGCTTAATAAGTCCTTGAGTAACTTTAAAGTCACACATTGAGATTAAAAAATAAAAATGATTATGTAGTTTTAGTTTTGTGCCTCGGCACTTCTAGCCTAGACCTAGTAGTTCCCTGCCCGAGCTCCTGCAGTAACACATGCTAAGGAATAGCTGTACAAAGACAGATGTTCAAAAGATCTTCCTCTCCAAAAACTGTTGCCACCAACCCTCCTTCCTGTCCTCATCAGTGTGTGCTGTGCCAGCTGAGGTTAAGTCTGTGAGGAGGTAAAGGAAGCCCTGTGGCTGTGAGAGGAAAAAGAGAGAGGGGAGACAGACAGCCTGCTCCTCTGGGTAATGTAGTTCAAAGGCAGTGGGAAGTGTGTGCAGTTAACAGAGCGTCCTCGTCTCTAAACCTACAGCCTGCAGGGCCGCGACTTAAACACACAGAGAATTAAAGACTCAATGAGCTAAACTAACAGTCTCACACATGCTGACTGTGGTGAGCTGCAGGCTTCCTGTGTCTGCGTTAGCCTTTACAGGAAGTCATTCTATCAAACTGTGCTAACATGAAACATGCTGCTTTTTATTTTTTATTGCTTTAATTCCTGATGTTTTATATTTACTACTTTTTACTGTGATGCCCTTTCTGTCTTTTTGTCTTCATCCTTAAGGCAGAACACTAAGGGTCGTTTTCTTTGTTTTTCTGAGGCAGTCAGCTGGCAAGATATTTTTTTTCTGTCTTGTGTAGCTCTTCCTTCATAAAAGAAAAACATTTAAAACTAGCAAGCTACAAGAGTAGTTCAACACAGGAATGTCACTAGCCATGTTTCCATCAACATATTTTAAGGCATATTTAGAAAAAGGTTGACGTAAATGACAACTGTTGAAAGAATGCCCTCAATTTCAAGCTCACTTGAGCTGGTTTTTGTCTTTTTTGAAAAGACTTTATGCACTGGATGAGAGATTTTCCAAATAAACCTTAGCTACATCACAACTTAAGTCACGTGACTGATGAGCTGTTTCCGTCCAGACAGTCTCCTCTTCACTCCCACAGCTCTTTAATACATCCATGATCTCTGCACACAGATCTGATGGCACCTTCCTCACATTAATACACAATATAACATAACACAAATGTCATATTTCCATCCTTTCCACCGTTTAAGCTCCCACTGGTGCTCTTTTAATTACATCATCATTAGGGATGTAACGATACGCTCAACTCACGATTCCATACGGTTCACGATTTTTTGTTCATGATACGATTTTCTCACAATTTTTTATTTTTTTTTATCAAAATGAGCTACAGACAAATAATGACCAAATAAAATGATATTTTATTCATAGGAAAAAAATCTTAGAGGTGCTTTCTTTACAGAAACTCTGTAAAACAGTTTGTGTCCTCTTATAAAAAGTGCAACTTACATGGTCATCTTAAACAACAAAATACATGAAAAATATCTCCTTTCTTTAGAGAAAATCTAGTAAGTAAGTAAACTGGTGTTAACTGGTGTAATTCAATATCTTAAATAACAAAAGAATATAAAATCTTGACCAAAGAAAAGAGGTCCTTTCTTTACAGAAACACTGTTAAACACTGTTTTTGTGTCTTATAAAAAAAAGTGCAACTGAAGTAGTTATTCCCTTAAATAATAAAGAATAACTGGATTTTTTTTTAGGAGATGCAAAGCCTCTCTTCAGGGTGGTTTGCCCCCTCGGCAATTTTCGCTCAGGAGGTGATGTAATGTTACTTTGCTTCTCACTGTGGTGGCGGCTAATATGCTGCTGCATGTTGCTCGTGTTGCCGGTATGTGTTAGCAGTCTCTTGCAATATTTACATGCTGTTTTGGTTTTGTCTGTCCAGTTCTCACCGGTTGTATTTGTGTATATGGGGAATCCAAAATGCCGCCACACAGGTGATTTAAAACCGAAAGTTGTTGTCTACCGTCGCCATGTCTTCCCTCGTTCTGTGCCACATACCTATGTAGTGACGTAACTCACGTGACTTGACGTCTGGCGTTGAACGAATGAATCACCAACCAGTGACTTTCTTTTAAGATAACGTAACCCATTTCTAAAAAAAAAAAAAGAAAAAAAAGAATGTATCCTACTTCTCTCGCATCTGCGATTAATTTTTTCTGTCAACCGGTGCGAATCGTCAGGCATTTGTACCGATTTTTAATCGTGTCACGATGCATCGTTACATCCCTAATCATCATGTTGCGCCCTCTTCTTCTGCCTTTCTGGCTGGCAAGTGTTTAATATCCTTGTATTGCTGTATTAGCTTCCAAAGACTCATTGTTGTCTGCATAGGTGTCACCATGCCATATCATCAGGTAAGTGTTAAGATTTGTCGTGCTACCGCTGTGCTTAATTGCTGTCCGACAAATCCAACTTTCCTTCCTTCTTATAGAATCCAAATGTCTTCCAAACTTTACATTTTAGATTTGATGATACAATGGAAATTGCATCGGCATTGCTGGACATATTTGTTTATATACTGACCTTGCGAGCCATGCTGCGCTAATGTAACTCTCTTCACTCTTGTCACGAGACCCTGGTGTGTACACATACATATATACACACACACACCATAACTTTAGAATCGGACCATTGACCTTTTCATGGTACATTTAGATCGTTGATCGATGCAGTTGTAAGTGAATCTTTACACCCCTGATACACCACTCTGCTGCTCAGACAGAAATAGAATTTCCATTGACTTATCCCAAGCTATTTTGTTCTCCTTTTTCCCCATTCAGCATTCAACATTATAGCATTCCAGTAGTTCAAATGACATAATTCTACCATGTGCTAGTAGGCATTTAATGTGAAATATCTGCTGGAAGTCCCTGAATCCCTTAATACTAACAGGTGCTTTTCCAGTTTTTTTGGAGAATGGACACAGCACACAGAACCAACCTGGCTTTCAGTCTGCTCCAGAGGTCTCTTCTTACGAGGCCCGATGGCAGCCAGAGCAGTGAGGTTGGCCTCTCTTTGCTGCAGCTGAGCGTCTTCTATTTGTTGTAACTGGAAAGTAGAAGAAGAGACAAAGGATGAGTGGAAAAGCAGTGAATAAACAGCTATTCACGTACTCTATTCTTATACTCAATCAACTTCAGAGAGCATAGCTCTGGCAAAAAGATGACAAAATTTGCCAACCAACACCTCTAGAGATCACCGACATTAAACAGGTTATATCTTGTTTGTTTAAACGTATATAAAAAACAATGTTTTGGGGTTATGAGACCAGTTCTTGGCTGGGACCAGTGATTTCTTGGAGTCTCTGCAGATAGACTGGTGCTCAGAGCCCAGAAATACACCTCAGCTGTTGAAGAAGACGTTATTGAGACCCCTCATCAGACAGCAAAGCAGCAGTATGTCCCAATGCAAACTATTCCTTCAATGATTTGTTTCTACAGAATACAGTTCCATATGTTGGGCTGTCTAGCACATAATCAGCAAATTAAGCACAGAAATAAAAAATGCAGAGAAAAGGAAGGAGGCCTAACAGGCAACCTTGTTAAGTTGTTTGCTGTAGACCAGAGATTTTCAAACTTTGAGGCGCAGCACTGGGGTGAAAACAGGCGCTGATTTGAATAGAAGATACTGGGTACTAAATGTTACACACTGGACCTCTAAACCTTTAATGGACTACTGAACTAACAAGACATTGTACTATCTCAGACCTTCAACCAGTTGACATGATTTGAACAATGTTTACACAAAGTTTGTTAAAGCTGCTTCTGTCACTGAACGCACATTTTATTCACCGCGGGGACTTCAACTCCAACTTGAGGAACAGCCTCACCTAAAATCACTTCCAATTAGTGCCACACCTACTCAAGCTTTCTGTGTGTGTGTGTGTGTGTGTTTGTGTGTGTGTGTGTGTGTGTGTGTGTGTGTGTGAGACTTGGCAAAGTGTTGTGTGTTGCGAGTCGTGAGTGTATGGAGCAGTGCTTGAGTGTGTGTGCGGGGGTGGCAGCAGCGGGGCATGTAAATGAACAGAATTTTTTTTTTTTGCTGTGGAGAAACCTCTGGGAGTGTGATGGCTGGAAGCTACACAGCAGCATGAGCGGGAAAACAAGCCCTGCGTGGTGTTACCGCCTCCTTAAATAGCCACACTGCAACTGGTACCTTTCATCTCCCTCACACTTCTCCCTGCCCTGCCAGCAAAAAAAAAAAAACACATTACACACACAATGTTGCATTACTAAATGAACAATTAGCATGAAAAATAGTGGGGATTTAACGAGTTCCCGAACCCGGAGTTTACACTGGCACACAACTGAAACATATCAGGAGCCTTTCACTACCATAGATGAAGAAAGATATGAGGAGGGATGGAGTGTTCACTCTGTAACACTGATTCACACAAAAAAAGGGACAAAGATGTCAGAATAAAGACTTGGATCAACTTCAGTCCTTGATTAAAAATAATAATAATAATAATTAATGCTGCAAGCAGCGTTGAGCGGGACCTCGCACTCCACGCCACTCGGGGCTTGCTGCAGCCGCGTCACGTGCCGTCGTTCCACGTGTGGACCAAAACATGACATTTCGTGTAAATCAGCTCAAAATCGCCACACAGCGCTTACTTCCTGTTGCCAGTAGGTGGCACTATCACTATGTCTGAATGTTGTCATGTAGACATGTTCAAGGCGAGAGTGTTATCAAACACGTGAAGTTTCATTGAGATTGGACCACGTACGCTGAAGTTAAGAGGACGTGTTCAGGGCAAAACTGTTTCAGAATATATGAAGTTTATTGGAGATTGTACACTGCACACTGAAGTTATGAGCACTGTTTTATGGCGAATCTGCTGAAATGGACAAGTTGTCACTGGCACGCGGTTTAATGTGCAGATTTAATGTGCAAATTTTGAAGCAGATCCGATTGACAGATTGTGTTGATCGGACAAAGCACATGGGAGGAACACGGAAAAGTAGTTTATGGACATTTTGCGCTCTAGAAAAAAAAATAGGCGGAAGTGGGCGAGGCTTACATGGGGAGATTCAGCTCTATTCACCGAACGCGTGGATACAAGGTTTTGGAATGTGCGACAAACTATGCAGAAGTTATTAGCCTCAACGCATTTGTTATGATAGTAGCACCACCTAGTGGCCAACCCGAAAGCGACACATAGAATATCAAATTTTTCACGAGGCCTGACCACTTTGCCAAATAAAATTGAGTTTTCGTATATGTTCAGAGGGGCAAAATCGCAGTCAAAGGCGCTAAAAATAATAATAAGAAACATAGCAAATACAATAGGGACCTCCAGCGGTCGCCGGCTCGGTCCCTAATAATAATAACAACAACAGTCAGCTTCTCCCGGTTAGGATTCCTTCAGTGTTCATGGTTCAGGAGGTTTCTACTGGGAGCCCCATTATCCACAGAGGTCTCTTCACCTCCAGAACAATCAGACCCGCTGATTAAAACTGCTAAAAACACTGAATAAAGCAGTTCCACCTTAAAAATCACTGCTTCTCCCACGCAGTTGGGCAGAATAAAACATTCTGTAAAAAGTGCAGGGTGACTGTTTGTGCAAACATTCAGCATCTTGGCTGTGCATTTCCCGCAAAGGGATGTTTTATTTTCCGTGTTTTCTTCTTGTTCTTACCTAGTTACCACGCTCTTGAAAGCACCTTGTTCCCTCATTAAAGTTATATATAAATAAAGTTTATTAGTATATCTCATGTTGTCATTTTGTGAGTATCCTAAGGGGACTTATAAAACACTTTGTTGTAGAAGAATAAATGAATGAACTTGACAGTACAGTACATAGCAGATGGTGGTTCTAGTGTTCACTTCCTGTTCTAGGCTGTATGGTTGAGTCTTGCATCTTTCTCTGGAATCAAGCACATACACACCTCTTTGGCTCTTTGCTTAAGCTGCTGATGCAGTGGATCCTCAGTGTGTGAGCGACTCTGTGATCACAGACAGACAGATGTTGATTTAGTAAGCAGGATTTAATACTTCAGTATAGGCAGAAATTAAATGTCTACAGATAGTCACTGTGATTTTGGATAAAACGCTGACCTGAATGGTAAAAGGGCATTGAATCTTCTAAAGTGTCTATATCAATTCAATTCAATTTAGTTTTATTTGTATAGCGCCAATTCATAACAGAAGTTATCTCAGGACACTTTTCAAATAGAGCAGGTCTAAATAAAAATGATTTACAGAGACCCAACAGTTCCCACCATGAGCAAGCACTTGATATTATAAAAACATACTATCTTAGTTGTATAATAGTTATATAATATTTCTTTGCTTCTAATAGAGAAAAATGCTTTCAATCTCTTTTTAGTATAACAAGCAGTGCTACTTTCTAACCTAGCTTACTCTGGCCAAACGCAGCAGTCTCTCTCTCTCCTCTTCATCTTTCCTCTTCTTCTTCAAACTCTCCACTTCCTCCAGGAAGCGAAGCTGGGAGCGTACATCACTCACTTTGGCATGCCACAGGTCCTCCTGTTGCCACACAAACACACACAAAAGTTAACAACACTGAGGGGCCCTATTTTCCTAGCTGCCAACTACCAGCACAAGTAGAGTAGTGCTCTGACAGTTTGTCTGTGTGGTATTTTGGTGCTCGGTGCAGGGTGAACGGTGCACAGGTGGGAGGACACACACACACACACACACACACACACACACACACACACACACACACACACACACACACACACACACACACACACACACACACACACACACACACACACACACACACACACACACACACACACACACACACACACACACACACAGAGGTGGGAAGTTCATTGAGAAGAAGCAGCTCAAGTTGTTGGTATTTTGGTGGAAAATGGGTGTCAGACGTTCTGCTAAGAACCGATACCTCAGAACCACTTCTGTTTGTGGTGCAATATCACTCAGCTGCCACTGATGACTTTATCAATAAGAGCATACACTTTGAGCATGTTATGATGACGCATGGTATTGTCATTACTAGTTACAAATATATTCAGCTTTTGACACTTTCTTATGCCCCCGAGCCGGCAGTAGCTGTGGTCGGAGGCGTTATGTTTTCAGACAAAGATTTGGATTTGGTGGTCAAAGTTCATTTTTGGCCATATCTTAAGAACTGATGATCATATTTTACAGTTGGTTGGACACAGAATTGGTGACACTTAACAAAGGTCAAAAGGACCTTGACATTTTAGGTCATAACTCGAGGCTATAATTATGAAAATTTCACACAGATGTTTAATGGGCTCAATGATGAAGTGATGACATTTTTTAGGTCAGCTTCACTGTGACATCATAATGTCCTGGACATTTTTGGCTTTTATTCAAAACCATAGTTTAGGAACATAAGGGGAGATTGTAACCATATTTCAAAGTTGGTTGGACACTGAATTGGTGACATTTTTTATTCAAAGGTCACTGTGACCTCAAAATAGGTTTTTAGCCATAATTTAAGAATAAGATTGCAGTAATTCCAGATTTCAGGGTTATAATGCTGTACCTTCAGTGATGCCTTGCGGTGTTCTGCCATTACAGTGAGCTTCTCTACTAGCCCCCGGAGACACTCCTGCGTAGCATGAGAAACCAGAGTGACCACCTCTGGACCGACATCAGTCACTCCCAGTGCCTGTCCTAACACAAAACATCTGGCAGTTGTATCACAAGAAGACACATCATAGCTAAGCTGAGACTTCACAGCAAGTAAAGTTAAAAAATGGATGAAAATCATATTTCTACTGGATGTCTTTAACTGATTCAAAAACGCAAACCTAAATGGTAGTGCGAACATGAAGAAAATCTACATTTCATTTTCAAAAGATTTTTATAAAAGGCTCAATTGTCTTGTGAATTTAATGACCAAATAAACTGTAGTGGTAAATTACATACTTCTGTCACCATTTTAAATTGGGCCTGGCACTGTGTCCATAAACATTTTAATGATCTACTTTTGTGTATAAAAAACATCACAGTTTCATATGCAGATGACATCACTCTGTACAGTGTCACCACATCAGATCAAGAGGTAACTTGCACTCCAAGAGATGCCATAATAGACATAAACAAGTGGGTTGAGTACAACAAGTTGGTTTTAAATATTTCCAAGACTAACACCTTGGTCTTTGGATCCCGACAGCAATGCCAAAAACCCCTCAATTAAGATTTGCGAGAAGCAATAAATGGGAAGAGGAATCAGTATGACTAGGAAGTAAAAAAAAAGGTAATGGACCTGTACTTGTATAGAGCCTTTCTAGTCTTCCGACCACTCAAAGCGCTTTTACACTACATGCCACATTCACCCTTTCACACACATTCACACAGTGACGGTAAAGTCCATCGAACAGAAACTAACACATTCATACACATTCACACACCGATGCATGGCATCAGGAGCAATTCAGGGTTCAGTATCTTGCTCAAGGATACTTCGACATGTGGCACCAGGAGCCGGGGATCGAACCAACAACCTTCCGATTAGGGGACGACCAGCTCAGCCTCTGCACCACAGCAGTGTTCTGCATTCATCCCTCCCTCGATCAAATCAGGTATACATTCTTGTATCTCTGACTGACCTAGAATACTGCCCTGTAATCTTGTCATTAGAATCAGAATCTGATCTGAAAGAGTCAGGTAACCTAAAACTAAAGCTACTCATCTGGTAGTACAAACATGAAGAAAATCTACATTTCATTTTCAAAAGATTTTATAAAGGCTTAATTGTCTTGCACGCCGGGTGGGGCTTTGCATCGGGCCTGGGCATGGAGAATGTGAAGAATATATCTCGTTTTGCATGAAAATGTATCTCATAATTATGACACAATAAGTCGTTAATTCAGCATATTTAGTAATAGAGTTGAGTTCAGAGTCTCATTTACTGGTGCAAGACAAATATCTAATACAAATACTATTAGCAGCCAGCAAGACAGCTGTAACACGAAAATGGTTACAGACTGAGCCTCGAACAAAGACCGACGGGATAGATATTGTGACTACTGACTGACTACTATCTACGGTTAGATAAATTCCTACATGCCCTTACATGTATATTAGTCTGATTGTTTGGTTATTTTTGTTTAATGTCTTCCACATCACTTTATTATTTTCACTCAATTATAGATATGCTTAATGTTAATGTCTTAATATCATATATTCAATTTTCTTATTGTATGTCGGTACTGTAATTCTACGTTCAGGACTCCAGGAAGACTAAAGGCACATTCAATTTAATGGAGAGTCTTAAATAAACAAAAAACATAATTCCAAATGAAAAAGTACTGTTTGGTTGTGTCTTTGTGTGATTGTGGCTGTTAAACTGCTGTGTAGCATGAAAGACAACACTGCAGTAACACTGACGTATTCGATGCTTAATGCACACAATGGTAAATGAAAGTGTAGCAGGTTGGCCGAGCTCAGCCTCAGTATGGCTCTTGTACCTGTGTGAAGGATCCGGCTGAGGACCGGGTTAGGTGAGAGAAAGGGCTGATCCTGACATGACTGCACCACAGAGCCGACTGCGGTGGTCAAGATCCGTGCGTTCTCCTCTCTCAGGTTGACTCCAGCCATGGAGGCTACGTCGTTGATGTCATCGTCTTCTCTGGAACACACACACACACCCACACACCCACACCCCACACACACACACACACACACACACACACACACACACACACACACACACACACACACACACACACGTTAGCCAGCTCTGCACTTTGACGGAATATTAGAGACTTAAATTGAGTCTACAGAGATCAATTCTATATATTACTTGTAAGTTCCTGGACTGTCCTTAAATGCAAATTTGGTATGAGTGGGATCCTGAGCGAACAGTTGTTTCATTGAACATGTTCCTAGAAAGAGAGAAACATACAAAATTATTTGGAGAGTAAAACTTCATTTAAAAAAGTTTATGTCCGAGTTTGTGAAAAGACAGACTACTTTAGAGACTGGGAAATCTAAGTGTGACAACAGGCCACTGTGAATAACTAACTAACCCCACAACCTAAGACCTCATCTCCATCTTGTATGAAAGGGAAACATGGGTAGTATATCCAAACCAACATGTTGCCTGCACCCAGAGCTCCCTCCTCTCACCTTACAGGTGCATCTCAATAAATTAGAATATTGTGGAAAAGTTAATTTATTTCAATGATTTAATTCAAAAAGTAAAACTCATATTATATAGATTTATTACGCACAGAGTGAAATATATTATATAATAAGCCTTTATTTCTTTTATTTTCATGATTATGGCTTACAGCTAATGAAAACCCAAAACTCAGTATCTCAGAAAATTAGAATATTACATCAGACCAATAAAAAAATGATTTTTAATACAGAAATGTCGGCCTAAAAGTATGTTCATATATATATATCGATCAATACTTGGTCAGGGCTCCTTTTGCATGAATTACTGCATCAATGCAGCGTGGCATGGAGGTGATCAGCCTGTGGCACTGCTGAGGTGTTATGGAAGTCCATGTTGCTTTGATAGCAGTCTTCAGGTCATCTGCATTGTTGGGTCTGGTGTCTCTCCTCATTCTCTTGACAATAGCCCCTAGATTCTCTATGGGGTTCAGGTCAGGCGAGTTTGCTGATTGAACCAGCTTTTGGTACCTTTGGCAGTGTGTCCTGCTGGAAAATGAAATCAGCGTCTCCATGAAGCTTGTCAGCAGAAGGAAGCATGGAGTGCTCTAAAATGTCCTGGGAGATGGCTGTGTTGACTTTGGACTTATAAAACACAGTGGACCAACACCAGCAGATGACATGGCTCCCCAAATTATCACTTTTGTGGCTTACCCTCCTTGTGGAGGATGGCAATGTCTGTCAAGTCAAGTCCCATGATTGTGTAGCCTACTGAACCACACTTGTGAGACTGTTTTAAGGCTCAGAAAACCTGCAGGTTTTTTTGCGTTAATTAGCTGATTAGAGTGGGACATCGGGAGTCTACAATACTGAACTTTTTCACAATATTCTAATTTTCTGAGATACTGAATTTGGGGTTTTCGTTAGCTGTAAGCCATAATCATCAATATTAAAAGAGATACACTATAAATATTTCACTCTGAGTGTAATGAATCTATATGATATGAGTTTCACTTTTTGAATTTAATTACTGAAATAACTTTTCGATGATATTCAAATTTATTGAGATGCAGCTGTATGTGTTTCTATGGCTGTTGTTCGATTAGGGCTGTGCATGACAGAAAAACGTCTATAATTTCATATTATACTAATTTCTGTCGCAAATCACACCCTTTACAGTTCTCGGACACACTTCACTGCCTGGTCTCATTCCCAGGTCATCAAATACAGACGCAAGTGGTGTTCAGTTAGTTGCAATCTAACTACACCACTAGATGCCACCAAGTCCTACACACTGGTCTTTTAAATGGCCTTCCCTAAAGAACCGGTTTTGAATTGAGAATTGATTCTGAATAAAATTCTGACACCAAGAATCACAATTAAATCATAAGATTACCTGTGTAGTGTTTTCCTGACTGGACCACTGTGTGTTTGGGGGCGGGTCTGCTGGTCTTAGATATGTACTTTCCTGACTGGGCCAACGTCATCATCCCAGGTCTCAGAGTCACTCCTCGAGGCTGCTGGATAACCAGCAATTTAAGCATCATCAGCATTTATCACCTCAACATCTTAGCCTTTTGACGACATTGTTAAACAGCCCCTAACGCCCCTAAAAGTCCATGATTCGTTGCATCAGTGTCTTGCAGGTAAAACATGAGACTAATGTAGGTTGAAATAGGGAGTTTAATGTGGGGTGACTGCTCTGCTGGTGTGCTGAACTGACACTAGCTGAGCAGGGGAGTGAAATATATTCCAGAGATCTGTAAATGGAAATTTCTTTGCATTTAAATAAGGACAAAACAGAAATTATGGTTATTGGGGAAAAGGACTAATGCACAAAAAAACTCTCTCAAACATTTTGTCTTCCTGCATCACTTAAAAGGGTCCCTTGTGAAGTTCTGACCTAGTAGCTTTATAAGCTTCTATCTATTTCTATAAGTGGGTCGCTATAATTTACTGTGTAAACACATTTTAAATTTCACATAAAAAGTTTTACGAAACAACCCAGAAATGTGCAAAACCCGTTTCACGTGTACAAATGCATCCACTAGTGCGTAATTATCGCTTGTATTGTTTAAGAAAGTTTTTACTTTAAACTATTTACATTTGTAAAACATTTTTATGTGAAATTAAAATACTTTACATAATACATGTTTGTGGATTGTCCTTTGAGAGTTACAAATTATAAAGTCAAATAAAAACTTCCATACATTTTTAAGCCAAAGTATGTTTGTGAAGTTTTTTAATGAACTTTACTAGAAAAAAAAAAAGAGGAATGAATCAGAACTGTTTTTTGATGTTGTGTGAAAAACAACGATGCCAGTTAGCTTTGGTTAGATCAGAGCTATGGAATATTAAATCATCCTTTGCTCACTACATCTTAGCCTTTCTTACCATCAGGTTACAAACATATTTTCAAAATACCAAAATGTGAAATCTCAAGAGAAGCAGGTAATTTTCAATCATCGTACAAAAAAATAATCAAATATTGTGCATCCCTACCGATCCCTACCAGTAGAGTACTTCATTCAATACCTGGTGTGGGAGAAGCCATTGGCCTTGTGAACATGGTCCACCTTTAAGTTTTCTCCATACTTGATGAGTTTTATCGTTTTACTTGTATTCCGTTCTTCCTGAAATAATCCTTCTATGCATTTATTTTTACCTGTTACTCTTTATAACATTTTGGTGGAATCTCGGCTTACTGAGCTGCCTGCTCCGTCAGATACACCACGCTCAACTTAGCTGCTAGCCACACAGCATTAAAAGCATTGACTGCAAAACCATACAAATGACTTACCTCATAGGACATTTTCCAGACAAAATGATCATATCATTTATAGGTAGGTCTAGTACTGACATATTTAACTCCAGTTTTATTCCTCCTTTTTTTTTTACTGATGCAAGGGTCATGATGAAGTGTCTCAGGTGGTCAGTGTTTCTGGGAAGTTGTGTGGCATGCTTGGCTGTTCTCATCACAGCTGATTTTTTCCACTTTGTCTCAAGCAAATTTACTACACTTTACTACAGTTTTCCTCTCACAGTAACATTAATTTGGCCACAACCTAAAACAGTTCAAATCATTTTGGGTCATTTTGGGTCTTTTTAATCAATTTCCAGGCGTTTCCATGACTAGAAAACTAGTCTCTAAATTTTCTGGATTTGAACAATGGATGGGAAGTTGTTTTTTTTCCCCTTTTGATGTGGGTATAAAAAAGGATCAAATGCAGGTACTGTTTGACAGGACAAGTTTCAATATTACTTGGTACTGGGCAATTTCAATATCCAGCAATAAACAGGTCACACATTGCTGCATGAGTAATGGGAGAAGGTGTTTACATGCACTGTATGAACCTGGTTACTGTAAATCCAAAATAAGGTCAGGAGTAGGGCACAGGCATCAGGTCAGACCTTAATTTGGAAGCATTTCTTACGTATTTTAACTGTAGTGGTCATAGAAGTTCTGACTTTCTATTTGTGTGTGTTTGTCAGTGCAAACAAACAGCGCAACGAGTTGTTTCAATCCAACAACGCATTCCTCCTGTAACCCAGTTGCTAATAAGCTCACAGTTTCTGCTCCCACACATTACTATCAATCCGACTCTCTCAAACTAAATGCTGCTGACATTTATTGATCATGCATGTTTTTCTATAGTGAAATAAAAACTGCTCGCAACATCAGACAACATTTCTTTACCTGCTGAGTGGTGTTGAGGTTGTGTCCTGTGTCAATGTTGGACTGCTTCATGGTGGAAGGCAGAGTGTTGGGGTTGGGGGTGGAAGTGGAAGCCTGTTGGATGAATAACTGGGGGTCTGCAGTAAGGTGACGCACCGCAGGAAGACTTTTCTGGTAGCAATGAGGAAAAGACGTCATGTCATGCCAAATTCCATTTTGCCATTAGAATGCTTGAGACATTTTTATATGAGCTACTTGGGAGTTAAAATCAATTTAATTTTATTCAGCAAAGCTGTGATAAGAGGAGTCTATGCTCAGAATGATTAATTTGCTTTGGTTAAAGAATACAATACACAGCATGGATGCACTGACCATCGACATATATATATATATATATATAAAAAAGGTGGACAACATGACTGCTACACAAGGGAAGCCAAAACATCTCTATTGCCCTCTGGTGGCCGACTGTAAATCATAAGGCCCAGGGCCTCCATGATAGCAGATGGGACAAACTAAAAACTCAAAATACATGTCAAATACATTTCTCCCAAACATGGTTTCTGTCATTTTAGGTAGTTTGTATCACACTGATGTATGTTCAAGTTTAAGCTTTTAATTAGTTATCTGATGCCATGTTGAATCCACCGGGTATATGGAGGCGCCAACCCTGATCACTACTGCAGAGACTCCTAAGGGCAGAAGATGGCAGCGGCCTTATCTAGGATGTTTTGGCTTAATTTTTGACCACTGGGAGGAAGTGGAGATGTGCCGTCCATCTTTTTATGTTGATGGCACTGACTAAATATGACAAGATGTTAGGCAGTGGGATCAGCTTAAATTATTGATATACAATGAATCAAAGTTTAACAGTGAAATAGGAAACTGACATGAAGCGATCAGCTAGAGAGAAGACGTATAACTCTGTTCGTACTACAGAAAGTCAGTCCAATCACAGTGGTGTTACAGGACGATGCTTCGTTTACCTCATAAACCATCTTTGGCCGTATACAGACACTGTCTGCAGATGGCAAACAATAGCACTGGCTAAAATGAGAAGCTACATCCTAAAGGTTTTGCACATTGCTTTTTACAGTAAAGAAAGGATCAAATTACTAGAACACTGATCCATTACAAGATCCATCCATCTTTAATTTTAATCATGGACACCTAGGGACGTAACAATAATGTGTAGCTGAATCTCTGGTTACCTTGAGGAAAGGCACCAAGCAGGGCTGTGGCGTCGACTTTAACTCATGATAGAGCTGCTCTGTAAACTCCTCTGCTTCTAGCTTTCCTTCCTGCAGGGTAGAACATAGAGAAATACTTCAGGAAGTAAAAACTGAATGCATTTTTGTGTCACTATGAAAGAAAACAAGTAAAAACTGAAAATACCTGATTAACATTATGCAACAAAAATGGGCAGTATGAATAAAAATAATAATCTTAACTCAAGGTTTAATTACAGCTTGTTAGTAAAGTAGCTTATTTTAGATTGACTATTTTTTTTAATAAGTCTTTAATTCTATTGACAAGAGATGTGATACATGTAGTGCCAGTAGTCTTCTACTGAGTGAAACCAGCTGCTGTGATGATGAAGAGGAGAGACGTACCAGCAGACTCCGGACCAGTCCTCTGACGTTGTTAGCCATGTTAGCAGACCTGGAGTCACTGGAGGCCAGCTTGATCAGAGTCACCAGGAAGTTCTTGCACTTCTTCACACTTTCCAGGGTTTCCTGTTGGTGGTTAGTTTGTTAAAAATGAATGATACCACTTGATAACTCTAGAGTTACCATCCAGTTTTCTAAGCTTCTGAGTTAAAAGCTATGGCTGCAGAGTGTTAAAAGCAGAGCTAAAATCAATAAAAAGCAGCCAAGCATAAGCTCTACTGTCCTCAAGATGTTTTAAAACCAAGTGAAAGCAGTAACAGCATCATCTGTACTTTCTCCTTGTCTGTGCGCAAACTATAATGGGTCTAATTTATTGTTTACATCTGCTTTCATAGACACCATACACCTGACTGATGTCAGAGCAACTGGTCTAAAATCATTGTTTTCAGTTAAATGCTGCTAAGTGCTTTTTTAGGGTGAAGAATAATTACACAAGCTTTCCAAGAAGCAGGAACCTTTTGAACATCTAACTGTTGAAAAGTAGGGCTCCATGCTGGTGTTAGCTCTTCTGCATGAGAGGCAGAAGGAGTAGATGCCTCCAGTGTGTATGATTTGGTAAATGATAAATGGACCTGTACTTGTATAGCGCTTTTACACTACGTGCCACATTCACCCTTTCACACACATTCACACAGTGATGGCAAAGTCCATCGAACAGAAACTAACATTCATACACATTCACACACTGATGCACAGGAGCAATTTGGGGTTCAGCATCTTGCTCAAGGATACTTCGACATGTGGCACCAGGAGCCGGGGATCGTACCCACAACCTTCCGATTAAGGAACGACCGGCTCTGCCCCACAGCCGCCCTTTTTTAGTGGCATCTAGCAGTGTAGTTGGCGATTGCAACTCCATCACTTCACCCCCACTTCCAAGAACGAAGGAGAAACTACGGTGGCCGTGAAACACACAAGTGCAAACTGCCCTTTTGGGTTTGTGCCATCTGGGCTACTGTAGAAACATGGCGGTTCAATATGGCAGACTCTATAGAAGGCTACCTGCAGCGTCTGTAGAAAAAAATTATTCTAAGGTAACAAAAACACAATGAATCTTATATTGAGGCGATTAGACACTAATGAAAACATACCTATGAATATTATATTCATAATAGACAATAAAGCCTCCTAAATGTTACACACTGGACCTTTAAAGAGTTTAATGTGGAAATTATACTATTTTTAAGGAATAAACATACCAGACACACATTATTGTTCCTACTACATTACATTACCACTCAATCATATACACTGGACCTCCACCCAAGAAATCTACCAATTATGAGACTTCAGCGGTTTCAACACAACAGTAAGGCATTCAAAATGACCCAGGCATGCTGGGTAAGTTTATGATTTGGACTACAAATAGTGTCAAAACAGAGGCATGGTAGTGTCTCCTTCTTGCATCATCGCTGAGGTTTTTTTTTTTTTTTTTTACAATAAATCATAAATGATACAATCTATTTTTATTTTATTAATATTTCAGTAGCAGTGGAAGCAGTACCAGCAGTAACACATAGGAATACTTGCAATCATGCCATTGTTTTTATTATGATGTTGAAATCTCTGAAACCAAAAGCGAAGAAGCAGCTCAGACTGATTGGACTCACCTGACTGAACGTGGCTGTCGGCTCCTTTTTGGTTTCTGTGACGATCGCCTGAATGCGAGGCCGGCTCCCCCTCTCCGACATGGAACTATGGTTCTGGACTACAGCTGTTCTGGGAGCTACACCAGTTACCTAAACAACACAATACAATATACAATATATCACCCCAAAACTACTGCTGAATAATGCAAACAACACAGGGAGCTGCTGGGATGTAACTGGTTGACTTGAGTTCCACTTAAACTTTGCAAGTCAGTCTCACTGGTGTGCGCATGCGCGAAAGCTGCATGCTGCCTGTTACGTTGCTCCAGCCTTTGAGTTCGCTTTTTTTTTTACTTTCTTAACTTTTATTTTCTTTTGTCTGTTCTTGTTTCTTCACAGTAACTCTGTGAAGTTTTGACCTCTCTAACAAGGTCGTTTTCAGAGAGTTTTTGTGCTTTTCTTCGTGTTGTTTTTATTATGCTGCTTCCACTGGGACACGCTGCCTTTGTTTACTCCGGAGAACAGCTGATCGCACTAATGCCGGCCGGCGTAGTGGCCAGACCAGCTGAAATACCACCTGAACTCTGGAGGAAAACACACCGAGGTTGCAGAGGAGGGAAACAACATCGGGGGATGAAAGGAGGGTCGAGACGGGACGGGCTTATGGAGAGGAGAAGATTTAAGCGTTGTCTCCCCTCTGTTGTCATGGGAAACGTACGGTCCCTTAGCAACAAAATGGACGAGCTAACGGCGCTGACGCGGAGCCACCCCGAGTGCAGTCTGATGTGTTTCACAGAGACATGGCTGCACAGGGACATTACGGACCAGATCGTCTCCGTGGATGGCTTCCACACCGTCCGGGCGGACCGGGATACCGAGAGCGGTAAGCGGAAAGGAGGGGGGCTTGCCATTCTAATAAACAGCAGATGGTGTAACCCGGGTCATATCACCATTAAAGAACAGCTCTGTAGCCCGGATGTTGAATTGCTGGCCGTTGGACTCCGTCCATACCATCTGCCTAGAGAGATCCTGCATGTCATCATTGCAGTCCTGTACATCCCTCCCTCTGCAAACCCAACATCTGCCTGCAGCATCATACACACCACCATCTCCAAACTACAGACTCAACACCCCAGTGCCCTCATCATCATGTCGGGAGACTTTAACCACGTCACCATGGATAGACTTCTGCCGACCTTCAAACAATACATGAGCTGTCCGACCAGAGAGGAGAGGACCCTGGACCTGATGTATGCTAACATTAAGGATGCATACATCTCCTCTTCTCTCCCCCCTCTGGGCAGGTCAGATCACAACCTGGTTCACCTCAAACCCTGCTATGTGCCTCTGGTGAAGAGGAAGCCTACGACCACAAGGACTGTGAGGAGGTGGTCGGAGGAGGCTTATGAGACACTGCAGGCCTGCTTTGAAGTGACTGACTGGCCTGCACTCTGTCAGCCCCGTGGGGAGGACATTGATGGGCTCACAGAGTGCATCACAGACTATATCAACTTCTGTGTGGACTGCAATGTCCCAGCTCGGACTGTAACCTGCTACGCCAACAATAAACCTTGGTTCACTAAGGACATTAAGGCCATCCTGAATGAGAAGAAGAGGGCGTTCAGAGATGGCAACCGTGATGAGGTGAGGAGAGTGCAGGGGGTACTCCAACTCAAAATCAGGGACGCAAAAGAAGAGTATAGGAGAAAGCTGGAGAACAAACTCCAGCGAAACAACATCAGGGATGTGTGGAGTGGCATGAGAACCATCACTGGGTTCCAGAAGACTGGTGGCATGGGGTTGGAGGGCCATGTCGACCGGGTCAATGAACTGAACCTATTTTTCAATAGGTTTGATACCGCGGCCCATCCCCCACAAGTCTCTGCTGCTGGCTACCCAACAACTGCCACTCTACCTCCCCCTACTCCTCCTCCTTACAGACCCCTTGTCTGCTCCTCACCACCTCAATTCACACCCACCTACTCCACCCCTCCCCCCTGCTCTACATCATGTCCTCCACAACCTGAGGACCTCACCCCTCCCCCCAATGTCACCTCTACAGTGCCCTTCACGCCTGACTTGGTGAGAAGACAGCTGAAAAGACTCCACTCCGGCAAAGCTGCAGGCCCCGATGGTGTACTTCCCAGGGTGCTTAAAGCCTGTGCCCCCCAGCTGTGTGGAGTATTTAGTCAAGTCTTCAGCCTGAGCCTGCACCTCCAGAGGGTCCCCGTGCTGTGGAAGACGTCCTGCCTCGTTCCTGTGCCAAAGATGCCGCATCCCAGCGGCCCTAAGGACTACAGACCGGTGGCTCTGACGTCCCACATCATGAAGACCCTGGAGCAGCTAAGGCCTATGGTCAGGCCCTTCACCGATCGACTGCAGTTCGCCTACCAGCCCCGCCTGGGAGTTGAGGACAGCATCATCTACCTGCTGAACAGAGTCTACACTCATCTGGATAAGCCGGCGAGCACTGTGAGAGTCATGTTCTTTGATTTCTCCAGTGCTTTCAATACCATGCGTCCGGCTCTACTGGGTGAGAAGGTGGAGGTTGTCCTGGATTGTTGATTACCTGACGGGCAGACCACAGTACGTATGCCTACAGGACTGTGTGTCTGACAGGGTGGTCAGCAACACTGGGGCCCCACAGGGGACTGTCCTCTCTCCCTTCCTCTTCACCCTCTTCACCTCAGACTTCAACTATTGCACCGAGTCCTGCCACCTTCAGAAGTTTTCTGATGACTCAGCAATAGTTGGCTGCATAGATAAGGGTGATGACAGTGAATACAGGACTGTTGTGGGCAACTTTGTCACTTGGACTGAGCTGAATCATCTGCAGCTCAATGTGACAAAGACTAAGGAGCTCATAGTGGATCTGAGGAGGGCAAAAACACCAGTGACCCCTGTTTCCATCCAGGAGGTCCCTGTGGACACTGTGGAGGAGTATACGTACCTGGGGGTGTACTTTAATAATAAGCTGGACTGAACTAGAAACACTGAGGCTGTCTACAAAAAGGGCCAAAGCAGACTCTTTTTCCTAAGGAGGCTGAGGTCCTTTAACATCTGCCGGACGATGCTGAGGATGTTCTATGAGTCTGTTGTGGCCAGTACGATCTTCTTTGCTGTCACATGCTGGGGCAGTGGGCTGAGGGTCGCTGACAACAACAGACTAAGCAAACTGATCAGGAGGGCCGGTGATGTCGTGGGGGAGGAGCTGGACACCCTGACGACCGTGGCAGAGAGGAGGATGCTGTCCAGGCTTCAGTCCATCTTGAACAATGTCTCTCACCCTCTCTACGACACACTGGCCCAGCAGAGGAGCACCTTCAGCAGAAGACTCCTCTCACCCAGATGCACCACAGAGCGTCACAGGAAATCATTCCTGCCTGTGGTCATCAATCTCTACAACGCCTCCCTCAGAGAGTCAGACACCCCCCCCTGTAATTCTGACTCAAAACGTAGACAATTATTCTTTTGCACTTTTGCACATTAATACTGTACATTTGATCTTGTATATATATATATATATAATATATTTATATTTTTTGTGCTGAATGTTGTATATATATATATATATATATATATATATATATATATATATATATATATATATAAATGTTGTTTCTATAGTATGTTGTTTGTATATCTGGAGTGTTGTAACGAAAATAATTTCCCCCTGGGATTATTAAAGAATTTCTGATTCTGATTCTGAAGTGTAAATAGGTTTTTGCCCTTTAATAGACCATAGATCCATCTGCACCTTTGGGCAAGAGCAAGTCATTACAGTTCTGCTACGGGTCAAACAACTGAACCGAGACTCCTTCAAAAAGATTGGTTCCAAGTTGAACCAGGTGCTGATCATTTAGCAATGTGGACAAGCAACAGGACTGTGTGATAATGAATACACCTGTGTGAATTTAAGGGATAGTCCAGGTATTGTAAAGTTGGATTAAATTTACAACAATTGTCAATCAAGCTATCAGCTACCTTGCCATCTGTCGAGTTATCTAGCTATCCAGTACTGTGGGGAATTCTGCCAATAATCAGTAAACTCTGCTGTGTTGCTCCATGTATTTTGGCAGTTCCTCATTAACAATAAATTACCACATGTTTCATTTTATAGCAGGCTTTGTCTATACTATCATCTTTATTTATGACAGGTAATGAATCCAACCAAGTTCTAATTGGTCATTGCTGGCGTTACTATAATAAGGAGAAAAGCGTTTATTAATGCATTATTTTTGGGGACTAGAGAGACCTGATGTATTTTATTTTTGAGTGGTAGGCTATGTTGTCAGAAATAACATAGATTATGTATGAAAATATGCTTCAAATATATTTTACTCAACAAATGTGGTTCTATTTTAATAACTGTATGGTTCAATAGATAAGAACATTAGAGTAAGGAAGTCAAAACGCCCCCTTCACACCCTCGACTGGCAGCCTGAAGACTGCAGCATTTAAATGAACATGTACTCAGCTCCAGGCTACATCTTAACATCGGTCCTCAGCCTCAGAGGACAGAAGAGCTGAGTGGATAAAGTTTATTTTTGATGTGTGTGTGTGCATTTGACTACAGACCGCTTTTTCTAACTGTCTAACTGTTCAAAATCAATAATGGACCCATAATGGTACCCGCTGTTAGTGACCCGACTTCAAACTTGGAAGCTGTAAGTTTTGCCATGTTTTATGTTGTTTTAGTGTTCATTTTGTTGTTTAGCCGGCTAAACGTTGCATTAGCATGTTGCTAAGTGGCTACTGCCTCAGGCTGTTAAGCCGTATCTGAAAACAACTAAATAACAACAGTAGTAGGTTGAATACCGGTTTTTCATGTTGCTTTTTCTAGAGCTTCATGCCTTTACACTGCGTTAGCTTTGTTGTTGTACGGAAGCCTGTTTTGCTTCAGTGCGCACCTCTGTGTCTAAACTGTTTTGAAAGACAGGGTGTGCAGGTAAAGATATAGCTACGCCTGCAAAAGGAAGTGGTCAAACTGCAGGAATTCATCTTCTTGGCAATGTTGTCTAAGTTTAATTAGCACCTAGCAGTCAGTGTTCCTGTTGGCTCTCTAGTGCTGTCTAATAAAGACATAAAGCAGCTCCTGTACCTTTACCACAGCTGTCTTCTGGACTGGTGCTGGTTGGAAATTGGGCGGGGCTGCCATCCTGATCACTGTAACCTTCTCATGACTTTTATTTACAGCTGCTGCAGATACCTGATGAATGCCAGACAACACAGCTAGTGAAGACCACAGGAGTATCCGTCAACTTCCGCAACAATAAAATGGAAGAAGCGCACACACACACACACACACACACACACACACACACACACACACACACACACACACACCTGTGGGAACAATATTCTGGGCACTTGACCACTGACACCTCTTGGACCCTGCTGAGCCTGTGCCAAAGCCTGCTGGGATACCAGCATCAGCTGACCACTGTCACTGCGGATCAACATCATACCTGCCAGAAAAAGTCCAAAATCACTCATTTATGTGAATAATACAAGACTTGTCCTGCAAAGAAAGAGTGCTGGGTGAAGTGTGTTGACCAAGTATAGTACAGACACTGCTCAGGCCAGACATTTAAACATTAACACAGACAAAACATACAGTCTACTGAATAGAAGCATTTGAATTCAAAATGTAACAGTGGCCAAATCTGTAAACATATAAATATAAAGGGGATCAGCCATCAGAAATCACCATAATATAATAAAATCTATAATTCAAAGATATAGAGCAAATTTTTGTGGAAATACTTGATCAATGTTTTATCATACCGAAGGTATATGAGTTAATATTCTAACATTCTGCCACAAAATATTCATGTTTTGGAAAAGGAATAACAAATTCAAGTTATTTATAACAATAAACATGTACAATATGAACGAATGAAGAGCTGTATAGTTTGTGCAAGAAAGTGCAATATGTTTGTATTTTGATGCATAAAGGTTATTATTTGCAATGTGCACGATATAATCCAAGAGGTGTGCATTAATGTAATACATAGATTCATGGTGGCTGGTGGGTGTAAGAGTCAGTGGGGTCACTGGCCAGCTGCAGATGGGGAAAAAAACTGCTCTTGAAGCTGAAGAGAAATGTTGCTAAAGATACTCAGGTATAATATATTAACATCATGATAAGCTACATCTTCTACTACTCCATTTATGTAATGTTGATTCTACTTCTACGAGAGTTAAGGATAGGTATCTGGTCAAAATACTGTGGGTAAAAAAGTGATCACAAGGAAGTGGAGTAAAGAGGATCCCCCAACTCAGGAACAATGGAGAGAGATAGAAGAGGAAATCTACACAATGGAAAGACTGACAGATGGAGTTGGGAGAAATGGATATTATTCAAAACACTCAAAAAAGTTACTCAGACTACAGAATTGACAACTGATTTCACTGATGAAACTGAAAATACATGGACTTACAAAAAAAGTAAGTAGCTCCCAAACAAAAGCCTTTTTGTTGTTATTTTTGTATTATTCTGTTTATGATTAGAAATGTGAAAATCATCAATAAAAACATGGGAGTGTGGTGCAGCTCACCTGGTGGTATCTGGATATTTGCTGGGAGCTGTGGGGAGGTGCTCAGCGGCAGCCGAGGGGCCACAGCGACCGTCTGTGGGGTTGCTGCCCTTGGTACAGCTATCACCACCCTCCTTCCTGGGGTGCTGGTCTGGCTCATGGAGGCCACCTGGCTCAACGCTGGTTTTGTTACCTGTGGTTGGCCGTTGGCGCTCCCTCCTGCCGGGGTGGCCACCTTTGCTATCACCATGAGAGAGGGGGAGGAAGTCTGAAGGCCTGGGCCTTTAACTGTAGGCTGGTGGGCCTGGCTGGTGGGGGTGACTTTAGGTGAGGCAGAGACGGAGTTGCCCTTTGAGACGCCTGCAGCAGGGATGGGTCCGCACTTGGCTGGGACCTGTAATATCTTGACCTGAATAGAGGCGTCTCCATACCCTGCTGCCCCCGCACAGGACTCCAGCTTTTGGGTCTCAATAACCACTTTATCTGTGGCCATAGTCATTTCTGAATGGAAGAACAATGTGATCTTATACATCATCTGAAAATACCAAATGTGAAAGCAAGAGCTTGATTGTTTCCCCAACTGCTGTAACAATACACTTCATTAACCCAAGCTGGTATTAGGCCTGTCACAATAACCACTTTTATTAGACGATACATTGTCTTATCGTCATTTTAAGAGCATTTTATGGTGGCACTCTGGGAGCTCACCTGGTAGAGTGCACTCCCCCTCTCCTGCTGTTGCTGCTCCTGTTTAATGTATTTGAATACCATAAGTCGATAATGTAATAATGTAATGTACTGTGGCAGGCCTAGCTGTGACTGAATCCCGTTGAAAAAATACTGCATTTAAAACTTGAAAACATTTAAAACACAGACCTTATTAGGGCTGACTCCGCAAATAATTTTAGCACTTTTAACTGTTCCAATTCAGTGTTATCTGCGTATCGCCAAATCATAACAGAAGTTATCTCTCATTTAAAAACGTATCACTTTAAACTCCCAAATTCACCACCCAACTTCACCTCAACGCTGTACGATGCATAGACATATATATACAGATGCCGCAGTGCTGGGATCCGCCGCCATATTGGACCGGGTATATGTCTATGGTGGAAAGACTAACGTTAGCTACCCGGGTGACAATTCTAAAAGATTTGTTTGTAAAACTTTGTTTGTTTTGTTTGTGCGTGCAAGTTATATTCGCCGATTTAACTAAGAGTTTCTGCTTTTGACAAGTTTGACATAGCTTATATTTAATATAATTTAAATACACTAACACTGACGTTAGCTAACTAACGTTCGGTGACTTTTTGCTGCCAGATTTTGAATGAAGTTTGGCGTGAAAAAAGAAGCACATTTTCCTAGTTAAATTATCGTTACAGTTAACGTTCGCTGTGACATTACACCTTTATCTTGCTTCACTCATATCCACCGAGTGGACTGGAAGAGCCAAGCCACGAACTCACCTGCTCACCTGTTGTATGTGTCTCTGAGCAGCGCGAGAGCAGCGCGAGAGCAGCGCGCTGCCTGAACTCATCCTGCGGTAGTGCTGCGTTCAGCTGACCGAACCTAATAGACTGACTGACGGTCAGAAAAACAAGTGTCTCTCTGAGAGCATGATAATAGTACAATCAGATAAATCATAAACTAGTATTTATACAACCAAACCCGTATTAAACAGTCCACAGAAACACAATCCAGAGCCTGAAGGCAGCAGTTTTACCCTGACATGGAGACCATGGGGTTCCGAGCAGTGATAAGGTCACCCCCATGAGGAGCATGTATTTAGTTATTTAAGCATATATATATAAGCATATGATGTTTATATTAACTTGAACATTTTCACAAATTTACATTTCTGCACTGATGTGATATACAACAAAGCATGTTTCTAGAAATGTGCTTTGATATTTAACTGTAACAAATGAAGATTCATAATGATATATATCAAACTCTATATTAGTAAATATACTAATATATATAGAGATTATTATATCATGAAAAATGTACTTTTAAAATATTTTGGGTCTTTTTATTACTTTATTTTATTAGGACAGGTGAAGATAGACAGGTGATTGGGGGGGGATGAGAAGAGGAGGGTGACATGCACAAAACCTGTGACCCAGAATCTAACCCTGGATGCTGGGGCAAGGACCCAGCCCACATGGGACGCGCTGTGAGCCAACGGGTGCCCCGTGAAAACTGTACTTTTGACGGGCTTGTACAGGCTTTGCTCCAATGAATTCAGTTGAAGGACTTTAGTAAAAACAACCAATTCCTGCTGCTGATGGAGTAAATCTCAGTGATGAGGTGGAGGAGCGAACAGCCTGTTTAATAGAGACGCTCTACCGCCCCCTGCTGGAGACAGATGTGTAACACAGGACGTAGGTCTGCATGTGACTGATGCAACCTTGCAAGGAAAAACACTGATCCTGATGGAACACATCAGGCCTCACATCTGGATTTCACAGCCCGCAGATAGTGTTTCCGATGCAAAGAAACAGGTTTTACATTGGAGGAACATAAAAAATGCGTGAATATCATATAATAATATTAGAGTATTTATAGTGATTGGAAGTTTGTGGGCTGAATACTTGAAAACCCTTGGATGATGTTGCTTGAGCTTCTGAATGGCTTACATACTGCTCTTATGCTGTTCACACTGCAGGCAGTGACCCAAATCAGATTTCTTCTGCTCATACTATGTGACATATGTCTTTTTCATGACCGTGTGAACAGCATAAATCACATGGACTCTGATCTTTTTTATTCTTACTTGGGCCACGTCCATATGTGGTCCTAAATCAGATACAGGTCTGATTCTAGAGTCATATCAGAATTCATGTGACTTTTAACTTACAGGTCACACTCTTAATGACATTTTCTCTATCTTCTACATATATTGTTGTTATATATTGTAATATAATGTACACATTCTTATTCTATTTCTTATAATGTTGTTTAGCAACTTGAGCAACTGTAACACAACCAACATCATTCCAAACAAATAAAATACATCAGAATTCAGCATAGAGGCTTGCAGTGTCAATGTAGCCTTAGATGCCATGCAGGTCTTACACAGAGAGCGCTATTTTAGAGATTGCATGGATCTATTTGATGAGGCGGATGAATAGCTGCTGAGCTGTTTCATATTGTCAAGGCAATACTCTGAAGTCTTCTTGTTAGGCAAAATACACAATGGTCAAATCCTGTGCTTCCACACCTGCAAGTACCACAGTTACTGCTCGTCAGTCTGCACACAGCATAGAACGCATGTAGCTTGTGCTGTTTTATTTTATTTTCCTGTAACATCAGTACTAGGACACTTTAACAGTCATCACTTCTCTGCTGTTAAAGTTCTTCTTCTAGATATAGGCTACTGTATATCTTTAATTTCAAAATATATATTAATATATCAATATATTATAGATATCTTGTGTTTTCTTATACACTGTACTGAGCCAATTTAAGTCATTTATTTGGTGTGTTTATTTTTCTGTTGATATATTTGCTCTCTTCTAGTGCTATCAGGGGCTGATACAGAGGAATATTCACAGGGTGACCAGAGGATGTCATGGAGACTTTAATGGATGGCAGAAATATATGCTGATTTAATCACAATCCTATATATAAATATTTGCTTGGAAAAACCTCCAAATAAGGGAATTTGAACTCAAAAACATTAAACATGAGCCTATCACTGAGTCTAAAATGTGGCCAGAACTTAAAATAAAATACTATTACGTTTCATGTTATTTTGTTAAAATGAATCCAAAGTAGAGCTGGCCCCCCATGTACAAAAAGCTGATTCATCTGTAAAAGCTGACATCAAACGGGGGTGAACATCCATCCATCCATCCATCCATCCATCCAGTCAGGGGTGGTGCATGTAGTGAACCAGAGCTGTTGGATGAACCTACTGGAAGCCGGGCATTATCAGATCACATGGTTTCTTTTGTCTCCTTGAGGGGGGCAATATTGTCAACAAAGAATCTCTACGAGGAGCAGACTGTGTTGAAGGTGGGATTTGTCTTTGTGAGGCCCTTCTCGTGTTCCATTTCTTTCCTAATTCTTTATTAAAAATGTGCTTGGACAGAATCACAAAGAACAGAATGGCTTATGATGAAGGCAAAGAAATAGGACACCCTTGAGTCGTGATGTATTATACTGCCCATTGTACACACTGCCTACAAGAACCTGAGTCAAGATTTAAAACCATTACACAGATCAATGAAATGCACAATATAAATTCTTTAATAGAACCACATTATATCTAGGCTGATCCAAAAACTGTTGTTAATTACAAGATCTCCAGTCCCTCTGCAGATGAAGATTATGAGTTGATAAACAAGGACTTTAAGGGGACGAGAGGAGGAGAAACGAGACGAGGAGAAACAGAGCTCCTGAACTACTGACTGTTAGAACTACTGACTGTTAGAACTACCGACTGTTAGAACTACCGACTGTTAGAACTACTGACTGTTAGAACTCTGTGTGAATGAGTTCATGATGTGTGTCAATCCTCCCACTACTCTCTGTTCGCTCTACCTTCGTCCTCCGAGCAGCTGTAAGACTAACTCCTCATCTTCAGCCAGAGATAGACCAGTGTCCAAGGCTGTGTGCTCTTCATCCTGTTGCCTCACTTTCTTCCTCCTCCCCACAGTGAGCTCCTCCTCTTCGTCATCACTACTCTCACTGCTGTGCTGCCGTTTGGCTAACCTTATTTGATCCTCCTCCTCCTCCTCCTCCTCCTCACGCAGTTTGTCAGGGTCTGGCAAGGTGCTGGGGTCAAACTCGTCTTCGCTGTGATTGGCCAGGTACGCCATCACCTCGTCCTCCTCATCGTCGTCAGATTTCTGCCCGTTCTTCTTGTTGGCCTCCCTCCTGGCTGCCTTCGCCTTCAGCCTCTTCTCTCTGTGTTTGGCTTTAACTTTGCGGCTGTACTCCTGCTTGTCAAACTCCTGGTCCTCACGTTTCAGCCTCTCCCTAGCCTTCTCCACGTTGATACCTGAAACCTCCTCCTCCTCCTCTTCTTCTTCCCCATCACCAGTCACAGCTCGCTGGACTGGCGGCCACAGCTGCACAGCCTCTCCTTCTTCATTGAAAGTCACTTTGGTGTTGACTTGGAAGTTTCTCTTGAGGGCCTTTTTGGCTTCTTTGAACTTTGTCTCTTTTTCCTTGTTCTTTTTGGAGTCTGTGGCCAGTTCCTCTTCACTCTCCTGGTCCCCTGTCAGATTGAAGACATCCTTTCTTTTGACTGTCAGCAGGTCCAAGTCCCTCATATCATCCTCATCCTCGTCCTCGTCCTCTGCACCCAGAAGTAGCGCCTTGGAACGATCAAGCTCTGGTTCATTACCACTGTCCTCATCATCACCTGAGTCTTCGGAATCAGAGCTCTGACCTTCCTCACAAGGAACGCTTCCTCTCAGCTGGGTCTTGAAGCTCTTCAGCTCCTCCTCTTCCTCAGACTGCTCCTCCTCTCTCTGCCCTCCTTTTTCAGCTCTCTGTGCGTGAGCTTTATTTAAGAAACGCACCCTCGGAGCTACGGCGAGGCCCAGAGAAATTGCGTACTCGTGAATCTGGAGTTTAAAGACATCAAACACCTCTTTGTTCTTCATCAGGTAAATGGAGCGCAGGTAGGAAACAAAACACCTCTGGGCTCTCTCCTTCTGCTCCTTCTCCTGGGCCAAGAAGGCCTCCAGCTTCTGCTGGATATTCTGCAGTTTGTCTGCGTTCACCTGGAATCAGACAATAAATGAATGAATACAGATGTTGTCTACTGCTCTTTACCCATGTATAACCAGTTTGTTCTGGCGATCAAAGTATAATATCTTATATAATATTATAGTAACTGAAGTTAGTTGAAATGTGATGTAAATTCTGATGCAGTCTGTTGGAAGGGACAGCAACGTTTGTGCTTCCTTAAGAAGTTAAATGCTTTTAATGTGGACGGGAAAATGTTGTACTAAGTTATTTACTTACTAAGTTATTTACCGATTCAATAGTTACTTATTGAATCAGTTCTCACTTTTCCTGTGATTACTTGGTACGGTAACCTGAACATAAAGGATTAAACCCAACTAAACCACATTGTTAAAGGTGGCTAGGAAGAACACCGATCTTTGATCAGCAGGTTCTCTGTGCGGCCAGATCCATACTGGACTGTACAAACCTGCCCCTTCACCTTGAGCTGGAAACTCTTCCCTCAGACAGTCTGTACATTTAGAGTGCAATACAAGTAAAACCGCCTTTGTTCCCTGTGCAATATCCCTGCTTCATTTGCACTGCCAATTCCTAGCGTCTTATATGCACATGTGGTTTTAGCGTTGTTGTATTACAGTGTACTGCATATTGTATGTACAGGAATCATTTGAACAAATTTATTTTTTTGACAAAATGGTGTAATTGGTCCAAAACCAAGGGCTTGAACCAGAACGGAGCCGGTTTCCTGTTGGTGGAAAGGGGCCTACGTGGGTATACTGCAGTGCTGTGTGTGTATGAGCTCTAACCTGGATCTTGTTGATGGGGACCTTCTTATCCTGCAGCTGGCTGACCATGCCCTTCTCCTCTGAGGGTAGCAGCAGCAGCAAGGCCTCTCCCCCCTCCTTGTACCTGGCTGTGCGGCCCACCCTGTGGATGTAGGTGTCTGCGTCCTCTGGGCAGTCGAACTGCAGCACCCAGTTGACGGCGGGGAAGTCCAGGCCTCTGGCGGCTATGTCGGTGGCCAGGAGCACAGCGTTCTGCTTCCTGAGGAAGTCGTTGTAGACCTCCACTCTCTTCATCTGCTGCTGCTTGCCATGTAGAGCCAGGACAGGGATGCCGGGTCTGAGGCGGCACAGGATCCGGAACAGGTACTGCACCTCCTTGCAGCAGGCAAAGAAGACGATGATCTTCTTTTTGAGGTGGCTCCTGATGAACGAGTAGAGCATGTTGACTTTCTGGTGGAGCTCGCACACCACGTAGCTCTGCTCCAGCGTGGCCGGCGTGCTGAACTTGGCCTTCTCGTGAACCCACACGTACTCTGGGTCTTTGAGGCTGAGCCGGGCCAGGTCTTTGACCGACTTGGTCTGCGTGGCAGAGAACAGCAGCGTCTGCCGGGTCTTGGGGAGGTTCTCCACGATGGCGTTGAGCGTATCCGCGAAGCCCATGTCCAGGATGCGGTCAGCCTCATCCAGGACCAGCATGTGGAGGTTAGAGGCGTGGAAGGCGGCTGTCTCGTCCATGTGCTGGAGCAGCCGACCTGGGGTGCAAATAACAATGTTGGTGTGCTGGATCCGCTCTGACTCGCTCTTCAGGTCTTTCCCGCCGATGATGAGCCCTGCGGAGAACTCGTGGTTCTTGCCCACCTTGCGGAGGACTTCGAAGGTCTGGTAGGCGAGCTCTCTGGTGGGGGATATGATGAGTGCGCCGAGGCCATCCATGGAGGTCCACTGCTGGCGGTACAGACACTCCAGCACCGGTATGAGGAAGGCTAAAGTCTTCCCAGAGCCGGTCTTTGCTGCGCCGAGGACATCTTTGCCTTGCAAAGCGAAGCTGATGGTCTGTCTCTGGATCTCTGTGGGTTGTCTGTACTGAGCCCCCTGCAGACCTAACAAGGTTTTCTTTGAAATAGGAAAGTCTGAAAACTTGACAGCCTCCTTGCTGTTTATGTTGCTGTACCTGTAGGGAAGTAACCATAATCACAAGACAGTTAGCTCCAATAGAAATATGTGAAGATTCAAATTGGTGAGATGAAAAATGTATCGTGATACTATTTGTTCTTGGCTCAGAAAGTCAAAAACATGAAGAAGATAACAGACAAGACATGGTGAGAGATATAAGAGCGTTTTTTAAAAGTTGACAGGGTTCTATTTTCAGTTTCACTTTTACAAAGGAAGGGACATTTGTATTGTTTAGCACAGTTTAGATGTTAGAGTTAAAGGTTAATTTGAAAGATATCAGCTATTCATCATTTCTAAAATAATTATACTATAGTAAGTTCAATAACAAACATGTAAATGTACGTTTGATAAACCACATGTTCTATTCAATGCTCCCATCATCAACGACGTCAAAACCACTGAAATGAAGCATTTACGTGGTTTTCAGTTACAAGATAGTTCTGTATTGTACCCATGTTATTTTTTGCGATGTCAGTGCGTAGAGTCTTTTTTCAGTGATAATTTGTTTTCAGTCTCATTTTGTTAAGAATATCGTGAGACAACAGTGTGGTGAGCTGTATACTACGGAAGCCGAGAACGGCCATGGACAATCTTTGTTATGTCTTTGTTATACATTATATTAATGTGTTCGTCCTGACTGTTGGTTACACTGTGCGTTACTTTGAGTAACGTTACTGTATGGGTCGGGCTGGGGGCGAACGGTTAGCAGATAAGAGGCTGACTATCTATCCAGAAGTCTTTGTTATATCGAGATAACGAAATCATTCATTCGTTATCACGAGAAAACAATCTTTGTTATAACGAGATAATAAGTCGTTATCACGAGATAACGGTGCATAAAAAGAAAAAAAAGAATAATCCATGGCCGTTCCCGGCTTCCGTACTATCCAATGGTACGCTGAGTGTGTTTTTTTACGTAAGGAAACAACGTCAGGGTAACGTTATGTGTTTGCAACCAGAAATGAGAGAACTCTATTCCCGGTGGTGGAAGTGTGTCGTTACCGGATAACGAGCCGTTCGATGTACTCCCGTTCGAGCTGCCACTCCGGCCTCCTGCTCTGCTCCCTCTCTCGCTTCACTCGCGCTTTCGTCCTGTTGTACTTTCTCTTCCATCTCTCGAAGTGTTTGACGGGGTCGGCTCCGTCGCCCATCTTGGCGGGTTTAGGTTTCTTCCCGAAGGAGTTTGAGCCTTTTTTCTCCATGATGTAGGATCAACTGAGAGAGAGCACAGAGTGGCACACACAGACAGCACCCTCTGGTACACAGCGTGGGGGAGACGGCGCTGCGTCGCGTGGAGCATGACGTGATCATCGCGCGACAGCAATCAGCGGTTGTTCTTCGCCCTGAAGTTGATCTGCCAGGCACAGACTGATGTTTGAGGGTTAGCAAAATGAAAGATTTTACTTTCTGTACACGTAAATGTTGTTATCAGTCAGAAACTCCACATTCAGCAGAAGAGGTGTCACAGCCCGGTAACGGTAGGGACAACATAGAGTTCTAAACTACTGATTGTTTGTTTTTGCTGGGCTTTAACTTTATTTTATATATGTGGAATGAACAGCATTGTGGGTACATACTGACAGTGTTCTGTTAAATCCAAAAAAAGATTTATATTTACTCTTTCTTCCTCAATATTTTATTGTCTGTTATCTTATTTCTTTTCATTTGTGACCCTACTCTATTTCCCTTCGGGGATAAATAAAGTATTCTATCTATCTATCTATCTATCTATCTATCTATCTATCTGGATTGATTAATAATAACGCATTTGCAACTATTAATTGATTAATGGTTTTTGAGTATTTTTAAGACAAATGTGAAAAATATATATTTATATGTCTTTATTTGATAGTACAGCTGAAGATGGACAGGAAAGGGGGAATAGAGGATGGAATACAAAAAATGAATATATGTTTGATATCAACCTATTAATATAAACATTTTTAGCAAAAAGTTCCACAGCAGTGCTTCCCTTCGGGGTGTCAGCTAGTGCCAGACAAACCAAAGTAGGCTAACCAAGACAACAAAAATATATTCCAGCATAATATATATTTAAAAAATGCATTCACAGCAGAAATGAACAGGGAGCTAAACTGACCAAATATCTGTTGATGACCTACAAGAAAAATGTTTGGAGAAGATCTGATGCTGAGGAGCAAGAGCTACCTGGGAGACTGAACCCAGGGCAGCAGTAACACGGAGGAGGAGTAGCTCTCGGTGGTAGAACTCATGGCTGTATTCTAACAATATATATAACATATATAATATATATATAAGAGCTCATATAGAACAGCTCCACACAGCCAGTCTAATGTTAGTGAGAAGTACTGTTCGCTGTGCTGTTGCTCTCGTTCGTCTACTCAGCGGCCCCGCAGGAGGGAAGAAGAAGAGAAGCGGTGACACTTCCGGGTCACGTGCCGCTTAAAAAACAAGGTTTGCAGAAATTTAAAGAATCTGATTTCAAAATAAAAGCTTTTGCATCTATCAGTCTTCAAGGTAAAATGTGACTGTTCACAAGTCTGTTGGCTTCTGGAATAAAACCAAACTTCATCTGATTTGTTTTACATGCAAGCAACCCAAATACTTGATGAGGATTTGCCACTGTCAAGTCACCATAAGGGGACGTTGGGGTTGTTGATAATCGTTTTAGATACTTGTTGAGGGGATTTGTTCAGTGTGAAGCTCTACATAGGGATTTTTAGTATGAATTTTGCACAGGCGGAATAGTTTTGGCAGTTTTTTATAGGAGGTGTTCAATCTTAATGATATTATATCTATGTGTATACATATATATCTATTCATTCATATATTATTGTTATATATTATTATTATTATTATTATTATTATTATTATTATTATATACTGTTATAACAATAACACTACCATCATATCATCAATACTATTACCACTATCTTGCAACTACAACTTCTTTGCACCTTATCTATCTATCTATCTATCTATCTATCTATCTATCTATCTATCTATGTACAGCATTCAGAAATCAGTTCCAGTGAAGGTTTACAAAGGGAAGTGTAGAAGAGAGGAAGTGGTTTGGTCAACATTAAGACTCGGACATACTTTATAAAAATCAACTCTTTACTTAATATCAAAGTATATTTAAGATAAATGTGATGATTGTGATGTTCCTGAAGATGCTGAGCATGTCATAATGAGGTGTTGTAAATATATTCAGAGAAGAAGAAGAAGAAGAAGAAGAAGAAGAAGAAGAAGAAGAAGAAGAAAAAGAAGAAGAAGAAGAAGAAGAACAACAACAACAACAACAACAACAAGAAGAACAAGAACAAGAACAAGAACGAAGTCGATCGAGGTGGATCGAAGTGGTGAGTCGTTTTATTTTGAAAGCTCTGACCGGAACAGGTATGCGCTGTTGACACTACCCTGCGAACACCAGACAGGACAGATGATAAACAAGTGTTAGGACAGATGATAAACAAGTATTAGGACAGATTGTTTTGCTCAACCCGGAGAGAATATTCGTCCCCTGAGGCTCGCCAACCTCCCCGCAGTCCCTATGCTATACCAGGCATGGCAGAGAGACAGGACAATGAGGTAACATTAGCTTCAGCACGCACACACACACAGGCACAGCTAGTAATGATAACAGTGGCACAGGTTACTGCAGGCTGTTCGTCCTAACAGTCACAACTCGTTAAAGTCCCGTTGAAAGTGAAGTATGTTCCGTTATTAACGGCAGCCGCCACAGAGCAGAGCTGTGCTCACATAGGAGCTTGTGTTAGCTCGCGTTAGCTCAGCGGCTAGCAATAACAGCCAAAGCTGCAAGTTAACAGGAGCCCCGTTAGATCACCGTCGTTAGCTGCATTGAAGTGTAGATATTTCGGTGTAGTGTTCAGATGAATGCTGACAGGAAACGGTCCATGCAGACCAAGCAACGCCTTAGTACATACAGTTTCCATGCAGCACCAAATTAGCTAAATTAACAACGGAATTTAGGGTTGCTTTGCTCAACGCTAACCCTGTATATTAGTTATTAAATTCTATTTCACGTTTTGTAAATGTTAGTTCATATGGTGAATTCGGCCTACAAGTTACCCGTGAAAACGCATTAAATGTAAATAAAATCTAACCTTAATTTAGTAAGTTGCACTGCCAGCTTCCACATAGAATGTAGCTAATAGGAAGACTATCTACAAAAGGCGGAATTTGATGATACTCAGGTTGCTATACAGAGTTTATCAGTCTTTTCCAATGTTTATTCAAGCTTTTAAATACGATTTTTGCAGCCGTTTAACTGCAAGAAAGAAAACGTGATAGATTTTGAACTGCTAGATCTTTTAATGGTTTCTGGTGTGTCAAACTTACCAATTCAGATCAGTGAACAAAAAGTCCTGTGCAACTCAAAACTGTCAACATTTCCCTTTCATGTGCTGTACGTTTGTTCTGATGAGGTGGAGGAGGCTGACCAGATCTACCTGCTGATGAAGGAGGAGTATCGGATCTCCAGGAATGTGCGTCTGGCGTGGTTCCTTGGTAAACTTAACCAAGTCATCTGGCCGGCCTCAAAGCCTGAACTGGTGAGTTAACTCTGCCTTTTTCTGTCCTCATGGTGGCCCAGCAGCACCAATATCAAACAGTGGCTAACAGTAAGAGTGACACTCTGGACTGAAGTTGTGTATGCAGATATAGTTTGCATTGGTTTGACTATTTTATGTATAGGATGCTGCAGATTTTTAACGGGCAAGAACCTCTCCCCACTGTCATATAAAGATTATACTGGCATATCCCCTTGCTGAATATGGTATATTGCTGCTACGTGTACAACTCTCAAGATGGCAGAAAAGTATAGCATTCATCAGAGAGGCAGCTGTCTACAAGGAGCAGTTATCTTCCCGTATAATGTTACTGCATAAAGTACCCGTTTTACATGGTATCTGTCAGTGGAGCATGATGACATATGCCACTGGCACATATTCCTGAACCTGAGGTACGACATGCAATTTTCATGTGCACTATGCCGATTAAACATTAGTGCCATACCAATAACATATGAAGTGGCATACCGCTAACAACTGGCATATAATGCTAAAACAAAGGTGGCAGATATCTGTATATACCCACCCAACATGTATGTGTGGGCTTCTCATTGGTTATGCTGGGCTACATGCGCACCAAGTGGGTATGAGTCCAAAATGGGCAAACCCATGTGAGCTCTCTATGTGGGTCCTAGTTGAGTCACTAATGGTAAATCAGAGTGTGCGCTTAGAGTGGGCAACACAAATGGGGTCCATTTACCTACACGAGCGCCACAGACAGATGTTGGCTGGGTGCAAGTGAAGAGCCTGCCAGGGGAACATTAGCGACATTGGTCCTGTCCTCTGCATTCACTTTAACAACTGAAAAACAAAACAATCAATATACTTTATACTTGACCTATTATTGACTTCATTTATAGCTGAACTCAGAGAATGAACTGGACTTGCTGAGCATCTTACCTAAAGGATGGCAGCCGGATTTCTCCCCCACCATGTACCCCTACATGTTGGTGCCGTCCACTCGGGCCACCTTCCTGGCCCGGAGGTACCGCTTCATCATCGAGCTGGACCTCAGTCCCTCCACAGGGATCGTGGTAAGACTGAAATGGAATTATACATGACTTTTCTTTGTTTTGATATCTGCGTTCTATATCAGCCTTCGGCAGCCCTGCTCTCTCAATATTGGCATGGTAAAAAAAGGGTTTGACAGGTATTGCACTACAATTTGTATCACAATCTCCATTTTCACAGAAATAAACCTATTAAAGTCATGATGATGTGAAATTCGATGAGCTATCTCTTAGAACTACAGTGCTTCATTATTTTGCTCTTGGGTCACACATTTACCTTTATCAAAACATTGCAGATTCTTGTGATTTGGATGTTGCGCTTTGATAATATTTTGATTAATTCTGCAGCCCTTATATATACTATACTATAATGTACAGTATAATTATTGCCTGTGGTGATACCGACTTATTGTTTAAGTATGTCACCACCATTTTCACCAACATGATGCCAGAATAAACAGCAGGGGTTTCCTATCATTGCTATACTGTTGAGGAATGAATGACTCTATATCCTACCCCAGTGCCAAATGTTTCATATTTATTTAAGTGCAATTTTTGTGAACCCACGTTTGACCCGTTATTATGAGACTATTGACACAGATCAATATCTGGTTGTCAGCAGTAGTTCCACATGCTTAAGCTCTGTTAAACCACAGAAGTAGAAAGAATCACAAAACACGAGTTCTATAAAAGAGAAGTTTGAGTTTCACTTCTCTCTACATTTTTCCATCCATATTAAGCTCTTTTCAGAGAGATAGACTATCATAACTATTGTGGTTCTTGCCTCCGCGTTTGAGTGGAACCATAGAAATCAGATGTATCATCAACAGAGGGCGCTGTGACATGTAGAATATGACACAGTCACTTTGGTTCCCAAGGTTGTATTCCCTTCATGCTACACACATAGAGCAACATATAATAAGTCAATTAAAATAAACCAATATATCGCTATTTATAAAGTATATTCATACAATGAAGTTCTTCCCCCAAGTGTCAAAATGAGGAATGCACCGGTAATAACCAAAGTGAAGGGAGAATTTTCAAAAAGGTCTATGTTGTGTTTATGTAAAAACCATTATAATGAAGACTTACTTTTCTAATCAGTCCCTGCAGAACTTGCTGGCTTTTTTTGGGATTGTTGATCTATCATTGACTCTGTCTTACCATGTGCATCCTGCAATCATGAGTGTCAACATTAAAGCATTGCAGCATTCTCTGTTACAGTTGGACAGCTGTAGCTCTGACACTGAGCACTGAAAGGAGTCCTCGGTTTGTGTCTGAGGTGTGTTTCGCTGTCTGTTCTGCAGGATGACAGCACAGGAGAGATGATCTTCGATGAGGTGTTTCATGCCTTAAGCAGATGTCTGGCAGGTCTGGCTCAGCCATTTCAAGTCCCTGGAACCGATCAACTTTTCAAGCCTAAGATCTTCATCACCATCTTGGCGTACTCATCAATTATTGGCCTCACCTCCCATCAGGTCATTACAGTAGCTGTTTCTGTTTAATGGTGTCTTTTACAGAGTATCCAAATGTCCTATAAAAGCTCAGGAGCCTTACTAAACAGCAACATGAAAAGCAGTTTCTCTGTGTCTCATGTCTGACCACAGCAAGCATCACTGTGGGCTGTGGTCAGAAGTGTGCCCTATTGAACCTGTAACCACAGCCAATAGTGATGTCACAGGCTGCTGGAGTCCACCTGTACATCACTGCAGCAAGGTGAGAAGTTAAACCACTGGAGGTCAGCAAATGGCCATTTTCAAGGGCTGTTAAGTTGCTCTTTAAAGAGTCACTTACTTGAGTCTACTTTGACCTGAATTGAACTCTCCAGGCCTTATTTAGCTTTACGTTACAGTAGACATAGACTCTGATTATTTGTAAAGAGGCTCAGTGTGTCCCTGTCCTTTGTTATGGTTCAAGGACATCCTATATTTAGACATTAATTAGTTTAAACAGCTTTTCTCTGCATCTTGTCCTGAGTGTTTCCACATTGTTATAGTCCTCTGACAGTGTTGATTCCCCCTGCAGGTTTTGGTACAGGGCTGTCAGCTTGATAGAACAGACCTCGATGAGTTCCTGCATCACATTTATCAGCAGCTCCGAGCGGTGGAGAGCAACATTGCACAAGTCCTGCACCAGCAGCATGAACAGGCAAGTGCTCCTGAATGGTATTTTACATTATTTGAACATTAACAATGTTGCTAATGAAACAACAGACCCACTCTTGTCCACACTATATTTTGGAAGGAGGTCCAACATAGCTGCACTGGCCTGTGTGTGCTGAAAAGTCTGTTGAAGCTCAGTCACCACATTGCGTGGATCTCCAGGATTAGACTGGGTGCAGTTACTCTTTAAACACTGCCTCAGTTCTCCTTAAGTATGTGAAGTTGTGCCTGAAGCCCCGCTCGACTAGGGGAGGAGGAGGAGGAGGAGGAGGAGGAGGAGGAGGAGGAGTAGGAGTAGTAGTAGTAAAGTGTGACATCAAATCTTGTGTATTTGTTAGTCTTCAGTGTTGATGAAGATATAGACCAATGCAATTACTTTCTTTCTTGTACCTTTAGTCTGTGGAGCCAGTCCAAAGCTCAAGTCTCCATAGCAGCACTTTGGATGAGCAGCCCCACAGGAAGCAGGGCATTTCCATGGTGTCAGCTGATATGGGTCTCGTCAGCATGGTACGCCAGGGCATCCTGGCCCTTCAGCTGCTGCCCCCAAACTCCAGTGCAGGTAAAGTACCCAAGTTGTCATTTAGTTTCCCTATCAAGGGTTTGTCTAAGGGGTGCCTCCCTTGCTCAGTTGCTGAATTGTTTCCTAGAACCTCTTTAAAGAAGTCCAAATACTCTCTCCAAATCCCTATTACAACAATAAATGTTTTTGTGCAGTCATTTATATATAAATCACAAAATGTATTTGTAAATCTTAGAGAGGATGCGCCTTCCCAGTATTTGGTTTGTGGTGCTAAACCAAAGTCTTAAGTTCCAGTTTTGAACCCAGGATGAACAACCAAAGTCATAAAAGGTAGCACACACAGATTTTCAGGAAAAAGTTGACTAATCTCAATTATACCAGTTAATTATGGTCATGTTGGATATTCATGCTAATGTTTCAGCCTATTAAGATACCACACAAAAATCCAGTTTTAATCCAGGATATTAAGGTAACTAAATAAATAAAATATACATAAATACAGAAAATGTATAGAAAATAAAAACCTAAGGCTTCTCCTTCTGTAAGTAATCACCAATATCCAAATGAATCACCATGAAGCAAGGCTTGCCAGGCTTTTATCCTGCTCCTAGCAGAGGAGCATACCAATCACTCAATTCAGTCTGTTGAGCCAGTACACTGTCTGGGTCTGTGTGTTCAAGATAAGTAATAAAAGGACCCCACACTTTCTTAAATAGCTAATTTTCCCTTAATAGAAAATGCCATTTATTAAGTATATACATGCATACAGTTCCTTCTGCTATTTACCAGTACTTGGACTAAATACAGTTTCATATGATGATGCTATACAAATAAATAACCTTTTCCCTACATAGACTCAGATACACTGGAATCCAAAATAAACAAGAGCTTGGGCACTGGAGGTAGGAAGCTAAAAACTAATACAGTGTAACCTCTCCTCCTCTCCTTAAAACCCAGGGCAAGATAAACAAAATCACATTGAAATGCAAGCAATATGGGACAGAAGACTACAAAATAAACAACAACAATCCATACTGTAATTGGGAAGTTAATGATGTTTGTTAAAGAATTTTTTTTTTTTTAAATAAACAAAGATGATGATAGAAAATATTTAAGTTTCGAGTCCACGACACAGAAGTGTGAAGGTGCTCTAAGTAGACTTATACAATGTGTCATCCAAACTCACCAACTGTCTGCAACCCAAGAATTCTGTCTTTTGCATGTCTTTGTAGTCTTGACTTGATGAAAAAAAGAGAGAGCAGTCAATTTTCATAGCTTCACATCGCTGACTCATCACTGTGTGTTTCAGGTATCATTATTATCACAGACGGAGTGACCAGTGTTCCTGATGTAGCCATGTGTGAAACACTACTGAACCAGCTCAGGAGTGGAACCATTGCCTGCTCCTTTGTGCAAGTAAGGGTCATAACATCTTAATGTTTGCAGCTTGATTTTGTTACTAATAACTCAAAACTATTCCTGAGACAGCCATTTCCATTGTGTATTATTGGTGTATGCTGTATTTGTGGGTTTGTGCTTTTTCTTTTAATCTTTTAGACATCTTTAGACATGTTGGGAGCTGTTTAAAAGGAATACTTGCACATCAAAAATCCAGTTTTAATCATCGTGGTGGTTTTATCCTTAACTGCTTTTGTTACTTGGATGATGCAGAAAAAGCTGATATTTTAAGGATAATCTCAGATTTATAAATTCAGGGATATAAATACATTGGAAATGTTATATCCTGAATATGCTCAAAGTCAAGACGGAATTTATAACCCAGGGTACCTCCTCCTCTTAAAGAAATGTTACATATGAGGGATTCTGTGACAATAAATGATGCATAATCCACTTTCCTTCAAATTGCGATTGTTCCTTTCCAGGTCGGTGGTGCGTACTCCTACGACTGTAGCTTTGGTTACATACCCAACGTAGAGCTGATGAAGTTCATCTCATTAGCTACCTTCGGTTCATACCTGCCCAGCTGCCCTGAAGTGGACCTGAACAGCCTGGAGATGAATGCCTACCACAAGGCCTTCTTAACCTATTCCTTCCTCAAGACCCCTGAGTCTATGAACTCAGAGTACTTCTGTGGTGAGACAGCTATGCGTACTATAACTCTTGAAATTGAGTCTGTTGTAGGTTATTACTTTACTAACACACTGTATCTGTATATAAGTTTGTACTCACGAATTATAGACCCCCTTGAACAAAATATGGCAGTTTTTTTATGGCGATTTATGTTTTTACCAATAATGGGCCCAACACTGAGCCTTGGGGAACCCCACAGCTTTTAATATATATTCAAGTAAACGTACTGGTACCTGTTTCCTGCGTACACATTATTTACAGTTGTCATTAGTGATAATAATTATGTTTAAGGTGATGATGCCAAATAAATGGGTGACCATACAATCTACTTTGTTTTGTAGTTTCCCAGCACAAACTCTTCAATGAGCACCTGGTGTCAGCCAGCGGTAACCCTGCCCTGGTCATGAGGAGGAAGAAGCACACAGAGAAGGAAGTCCATGCTCATTTAATCAGTGTAGTGTCTGTGCGACTGAGAGAGGGCTACACCATCAGAGAGATCAGCCTCACCAAAGGTAAACGTCTGTCTTTACAAAGATCTCAGATATTTAAAAAGTCCTTGGACAAACAGCTCAACAAGATAGCGCAGCATTAGGCCTTTATCCTCGTTGAGACTGACACTTTGCTGATTTCTTAAGGTGGGACTCAGCTGGAGGTGAAGCTTGTGCTCTTATGGAAACACAACATGCATATCGAGTACCTGGCAGCCGCCTCATGGCCGTTGGACCTCACCAAGAGAACCACCAGGGTGGAGGTGACGATGGAGGGAAGCTACGACATCCTGCATGACATAAGCTGCACCCAGAGGAAACCCATCACCAGCCCGTATCGCACCTCCGTCATCCGACGCTTCTGGAACACACTGCAGAGGTACAGCTCAAAGCAAACGTCTACCTACATGTAAAACATAACAAAATCATGATACATTTGATAGAGATTGATTGCTATTCTTTTAATGCTACATCTGTTGTTACCTAACTGCTTTTACTGTGTGTCCTTCAAGCATCAACCAAACTGATCAGATGTTGGTGCACCTCCAGTCGTTTAATTCAATTCCTGAGAACTACATGATTCCTGAGAGCACCAAAAATGGAGTTCCTCTGTTCTACATCCCTCCCGGCTCTACTACTCCGGTACTGTGCAGAAAACATTTACGTATTCTGCTGCAATAAAACTCCATTTCAGTTCAGCATTAACTAAGTCTATAGGAATTAGTTTTTTATACGAACAAAATATGGAACAAACATTCAGAAAATAATAGACCTGCACCAACATTGAATATTTTTAAATCCAGGTTTAAAAGCTTGGTGTTTTCATGGGATTTATAAAGAATCACACTGATCACCTCGTATTCCACAGTTAAGCCTTTTTTCTGTTTGTGTACCACCGTCAATAAACAATCTCCTCTTTTTCCAGGTTCTGTCATTGCAGCACAGTGGATCCAAAGACTCCTCTCAGTCCCAGTTTGCCTCTTACTGGAAGCCCATCCTCTCCATGGACGCCAACTTCTGGCAGAGATGGCTGCACATGCATCGCATTGCTATCATCCTTGAACACGACATGTGAGAAAATATATAGCTGTGAATAAACATTAAAAACTATTTAAAGGCTGTTTGCTCAGCCTGGATCATGGGTAGCAGCTTCACTACACTAGATAGAAAGATAAAAGAAAAGATTGTTGTGTGGACGCTTGGTGTTTATTCTGGTCAGTCCTTCATTGCATTAATCATTTTGTCCCTCCAGGCCTGTCCCCAAACACCTGCACACAGCTGGGAACAACGGACGTTATAGCACCATTCAGTGTCGTATCTCCCACTCTGCCCTCACATCGCTGCTGAGGGACTGGAGCAGCTTCGTGTTGGTGGAGGGTTACTCATATGTCAAACTCATATACAGGTGAGACAACGGCTGCAGACAAAATGGCACTGATGGCTGTTGTTTATTTGCAGATGGAAGTACATCTGGGGTGAAGAGCTTGTTTGTTGTTTTATATACTCGAACTAAAATTATATATTATTATTAATGCTGATGGTAATATCAGTGTTTTTGGATGGGAGCTGATATTTATGCATTATTAGCATCCCCAGTTGATAATTTCCATGCTCAAAGTAAATCCCCATAAACTGGAAAGGTTCCCTTATACAACTGTGGTCTCAGTTCTCCAAAATAGGCATTTCTGCTACACTAAACTGTTAAATTTCTTCAGACTTAACACCCGACTGATATTAAGCTGATGTTATTACTGTGGAAAACACCCCGGAGTCAGAGAGAAGAAGCCGCTCTCAGCAACGTCAGCTGGTTGGTTGACAATATCGGCTGCCATATCGATAAGTGGTGAATTTTTTTCACCAATAAAACACACAAAAATTCCATATTGGTCTGGTTTTAGTGTCTCTAAAGTTTCCCTTTTTTGTAAAAAATCCTTTTTAAAAATCCATTTATATCTGATAATCCAAGGAGGAAAACAACTCATGTCCACAGTGAGGGCAAGATTGTCACAGGTCAAAAAGGTTGGGTAACACTGCCTAAGGTCACAGCACGTTTTACTCCTTTAAAATAAGAAATTCATGTGACACCAACCTCTGTGTTAAATATAATTCATATTAAAATTTTCTATCAATTCTGTCTCCACAGTTCATCCGACCAGCCTCCCACCTCCTTCTACCTGGTCCGCCTCATCTCCAAGACGCCCTGCATGGTGCTGCGTCTGGGCTTCCCCATTGGAACACCAGCCCACATCAGAAACAAGGTACTGACAGTCAAACCAATAATAATTAAAGCTGCAAGCAACGTTGGGCGGGACCTTGCACTCCACGCAACTTGGGGCGTGCTGCGGCCTCATCGCGTGCCGTCGTAACACGTGCGGACCACAACATGAAAATCTGCTGTTAATCAGCTCAAAATCGCCACGCGGCGCTTACTTCCTGTTGCCAGTAGGTGGCGCTATCACTATGTCTGAATATTGTCATGTACACGTGTTCAGGGCGGGACTGTTATCAAGCATTTGAAGTGTGGAGCCGATTGGACAATGTACACTCAAGTTATAGCGAATTCGTGTTTTGTGGCGGTCCATCAAAATTCCCCGCCACCCCACAGACACGCCCCCTCACCACAGTCACCACATATCATCAACAATGTGTTTTGCATTTTATAAGTAAATTTCAGCTGGATCTGATCATCCTGCGAGGAGTACAACATGAAAGTATAAAACGTGATACTTCCTGTTACCAGTATGTGGCGCTATCACTATGTCTGAATATTGTCATGTAGACGTGTTTAGGGTGGGACTGTTATCAAACACGTGAAGTTTCATTGAGATTGGATCATGTACGCTGAAGTTATGAGGACATGTTCAGGGTGGGACTGTACACTGAAGATATGAGTACTATCTGTTTGATGGCCAATCGGTGGAATTCGACACGTCGTCACGGGCACACGGTTAAACATACAGTCACAAATAGCACAGCTTTTAATCAGCACCATTTTTTGACTGTCCTGACAAATTTTGAAGGAGATCCGATAAATTCCCTAGGAGGAGTTCGTTCAAATACAACACGAAATGTTTGTCGAAAGTGAAAATGAAAATCAAAATGGCCGACTTCCCGTGGGGTTTGGGGTATGGGTCCAAGAGGCTTGCAGAGATATAAACTTCTTTATTTTAAAGAGCGCCACCTTGTGGCGATGGTTTGAAATTGTGCACGATGCCTAAGGAAGACATGTGGAACTATGGACCCAAGTGTGGTGTCAATCGGACGTACAGGAAGTTTGAATTTTGTAGCGTGCTTATTTTTTGAAATTTCAAAAATGTTCAAATTACTTTTTTTGCCAGGGCGATCCCCAGGTGCTAGGTGAAAAATTCCGTGCGAATCGGACAAAGCGTGTAGGAGGAACACGAAAAAGGACATTTCGTGCTTTAACGAAATAAAATTATTGGCGGAAGTGGGCGGGGCCTACATAGGAAGATTCAGCTCCATTCACCGAACGCGTGGATACAAGGTTTTTAAATGTGCGACAAACTATGCAGAAGTTATTAGCCTAAACGCACTTTTTATGATAATAGCGCCACCTAGCGGTCGACCTGAAAGTGACACATAGAATATATAATTTTTCACGAGGCCTGACCACTTTGCCAAATAAAATTGAGTTTTCGTATATGTTCAGGGGGGCAAAAATGCAGTCGAAGTGGCCTAAAAATAATAAGTAAGAAATCAAGCAAAAACAATAGGGACCTCCAGTGGTCGCTGGCTCGGTCCCTAAATATAGAATCAGGGACACCTGTGCTATCCAAACCGATGTCTCAGCAGCAGATTCTGCCTTTGTTGTTGTGTCAGAGGAGGTGTAGGTTCCACCCTCTGAGGTATGTTGCAGTTAGCGGTGGTGATGTATTGCATGCTGTAAGGTGTTAATAGAACCAGACTACAGGCTGTTACTGTTTTGTGTGCATTTAGTGTTCCTCACTCAATAAGACAAAATACAACACAAAAGGCCCTGTTCTTGCCAGACACGTAAAACTATATTGAGATGGTTTTTGGTACTTAAAACCACACGTACTGTATATCTTCTAATGGGTATCAAAACTTCAATTTGACACTTCAATACAATGCAGGACCTTTATTTTGTTAAACTTTTTCTGTCAGGTACACTTTACTGTAGTTTTCTTTTAACATTATATTTTATAAATCAGACAAATTGTGTGCTAATTGTATTTATTCAAGTTAATTTTCTATATAATATTTTATTACATTTAAAAAAACACAACAAAATGATAAAATAAATAATCAATATATAACAATGATGATGATTATGACACCAACTTAAATATGCGTATTACTAATTAACCAAAAATGACTCAAACAAACAACCCCCCCCCAAAATCCCCAGAAAGCTTCAGCTGACTGAAAAAGAATGACAAATGAATCATTTTGAAATTCTGTTGATTGCTCATCAGTTTCCTTTTAAAGCCCTGCAGACTGACATTTCAAGATTTGCATGAAATACGCTGTTTGAAATTTGTCTGAACTAGCGTGATATTTGTGGCAACAGGATCTGTAATGTCTGCCAGTAACTGTAATTGACTTCCAGTTTTTCATCCAACAAGTGAGGTACATTAATTAGGCAGCCTTTTACTTAATTTGTAATCATCATCAAAGTATGGTGACAGTGGTCAGCACAGCCAGACACTGGCCACATACTACAGACTCACTGAAACATCAAGTGTCCACAAACTGAATGTCTCCGTGGTAACCTGTTGGGACGTCTGTGTCTTTCATCAGATTGTGGACGAGCTGCGAGAGCAGATCCTCAAACTACGCTTCCCTCATCGTGTTCAGAACAAAGAGGCCACCCCCAAAACCAAGAGAAAGGTTGTTGGCCATCCGTCACCCTCCAAATCCCCCTCCATCCCCGCTCCCAAGCCAGCGCTGTCAGACAGACCCTGTGTGGTGGTGCTTAATAAGCCCTTGGAGAAGCTGCTCATAAGGTCAGTGCCTGTGACCACAGCTTGCCATAACTGCACTCTATGTTCACAAAAAACACATTACACTAGTTTGAAATTGCAGTTGTTTGTAATGTCTTCTTCATAAGACATAAGGCTTATTGTATTTGATCGCATTCTTCCAATCCCCAAATTGAAAGTATTGCCAGCCGGACACATTTGAACGCAATGCTCTGCAGGTATGAGAAGCTGCCGCTGGACTTCAGGACTCCCTTCATTTTCAACATGGAGAACTTCCCTCAGCCCTCCAACAGTGCCGTCCCCCTCAGCATGGCGGCCAACCGGACAGCCTCCTCCACCCTAGCCTCCCTGTCCCGTTACTTCCTGCACCAGCGCTGGGTGTGGGCTGTGCAGAGCAGCCAGGGATCGACCGTGGCCATGCAGGCCGTGGCACACATCCTGTCCATGCTCTCCGAGTGAGTTCACACACTTTTGGGTTGTTATTTGTTGTTACCTTTTTATTTTTTATGACTTTTAATAAATTTTACTGTATATCATTTTTGTGAACAGATTTGTTTTTGTTTTTATGAGGGGAACTACGACCTGTAGTTCATTACACAACCCTGCATTGTAAAGCAACAATTAAGCTGGTATCCTTCTGGCATGTTTGTTTTTGTGCACCTAAAGAAGTGTTTTAAGTTTATTAAGAATAAAACACATTTGCTTATCAATATCAGTAAACATTTTACTTTTGGTTGCATTTTGTTAATATTAAATAAATGATTAAATTAATAAATTGACCAAATAAACCCCAAAAACGTGTAAACTTTACAAAATTATAGGTATGGCAATTTTCTCGTTCTTTGTTATTTTTTCATATAGAATGCTTTATAATAGCTATAAATTGTCCAATAGCGTGCAGTAAGTTTGTGTACCATTTGCTGAAAACTCACGGCTTCCTCCATGATTACCTGTTGTTTTGATAAATTCAGTATAATGTCCAAATCCATCAGTACAAAAGCTTGGTCATCCTCACCAATCTGTTGCTCGCACTCTGATGATGTGTTCCCATCAAACGTGAAGTGACTTTCCAAGTTTGCCTGCAGGAGTGTTTGTATTTGATAACAATTTGCACTTCAATCTGGTTTCCTGCGGCAGTATGGGCCCAAAATAAAGAGATTTCGCTGTGAATTAATTGTGATAAATGGACCTGATGAATGGTAAATGGACCTGTACTTGCATAGCGCCTTTCTAGTCTTCCGACCACTCAAAGCGCTTTTACACTACATGCCACAAGCCAGGGATCGAACAAACAACCTTTGGATTAGTGGACGACCCAGCCGTCCTAAAAAATCTTTAATAATGAACAGATCAAAAGGATGCTGAAATAAGTACAGCATGAGGCCGATTTGTAGAAAGTCTGAATTCATATTTGTCGGGTCTGTTGACAAGATGACAAGCAAACAATGTTAAAAATGCTTGTTTTCTGAATGGAGTTTGGATCCATCAGGGCTGTGCTAACTTAGTTCATATAAAGAAACTGATAGCTATTTTGCCATTTTTTCAAATGCTGTTAAACTACTGTCAATCTATGATTCCTGCTGGCCTGTCACAATAAAAGCCTCTAGCAGTGACCCCTCCCCCCCTTTTGAAACATGTAATTTAACATTCCTCAAAAAACAAAGTAAAACAGAAGTGATTGGAAATCAGTGAAACTAAGACCAACAGAGTGGTGAGTGTGGAAATGCATGATACTCAATTTGCTTTCGCCTTGTCATTATTGTTAAAGACCTGCTCATTATTTGAATACCAGCTTTTAATTGAGGATACAATTAACAGATAAAATAATGAGAGATGGAGTTTGTTTTAATAAACCAGTGTCCCAAAGCAATCCATTACATTTAACATTACCTGTCAACACAGGTTGTTGTATCCCATAGATAACCTTAGATAACAGTACATTCTTAGCGAAGCCATTTCAGAAAACCACATTTGTTTATTTGCAAATGTGTGCTGAGGGTTATTATTTCATTAGTGCAGACTTATAGCAGTTTGTTTTATAGATGCTTGAAGACATAGCAGCTAGGTTGGTTTGATGTGGAATTTGTTCCCCCTCTGTTGATGTCTGTGCAGGATCCGCGTATCAGAAGGCTTCCACTTTGCTGCCAGCGGAGAGGGCATCGTCAACCTGGTGATGGAGCTGCCGATGAAGGTACAACAAAGCAGATCATTTAGAACACTAAATGCAGAGGTGTTTCCATTTGCACCATTTGACTGTTTTTTATCTTCAGTACTGTCATGTTATGAACGTGTGTGAAGGCAGTTTTTTAAATAAAGCAGTCAAAGTATGAGTTTGTCTTTTTGTAAGGTTTATTCAGCATCTATAGATGGACTCACAGTAACACTCACACATACCAGTATGTGAAGGCTCAAATGAGTGAAAAGTCAAAGAGGCAGTCTCCCTTTACTTGAGAGTCACTCTAACACAGTTACACGTTGTCCTCAGTTCTGGGGCAACAAACGGATGTGTCTTATCATGTCCTGCTGTTTACTTAAACTTACAGTGTAGTTAGAAACAGGGTGAGACAAAGGTTTATGTATATAATAGCCTCTTGAACAGGTTGTGTATAGTGTCATTTAGGTTCTTAAAAATGTGCATTACAGGTGTTACGGGTAGTCTGAATTAGTTTGCACTGAATGTGATTTCTCTCCTCAGGGCATGTCAGGGGACACAGACAGAGAGAGTCACTCTTGTATTGTTCAGTACATCCTATTTCCACCTCACTCTACGTCTACTAAGGACAGGTAAGACGGGTAGTAATCATCTTTATACAGCACCTTGTCGTGACTGCAGTCAGACTGAACTGCCCCTCATTCATTTGCGTGGGGTGCTAACAAACAGCCACTTGTTTTGTAATGTAGTACTGTGAAAATTTGACGATCCTGGTGTAAAATGTGTTACTTTTCAGCCCGGGAGGAGGAGGCGGTGTATCAGTGTTCATTGCTAAGCCCAGTAATAAGAATGGCTGTTCGGTTTCACTTCATTCATGAAGTAACACCTCACGTCGCCCTAACCAATCAGTAGCAAGTGATCAATCCTGCCAGCTGACATGGAAGACTCAGCATTGATGTAGCAAAGTAGCCAACAATATGGGAAACTGGTCAACTGTTTCTCCAACCAGCAGCAACAGATGCCCTTGAGGACAATACAGCTGCAACTAATGATTATTTTCATTATACATTAATCTGACGATCTTTTTCACAATTAATTGATTACACGTTTGGTCCATAAAATGTCAGAAAATGGTAAATAATGTTCAGTTTACTGTCAGAGGACTAAAGACACCAGAAATAGTGACATTTGAGAAGCTGAAATCAAAGAAATTGTTTTTCTTTAAAAATGATTCAAAACAATTAATCAAAATAATACAGATCAATTTAATAGTTGACAACTAATTAATCATCTAATAGTTGCAGTTCTGGAGGACAACATCAGACCTGTTTGTATTGCTGAACGGATCGGAGATGTGGATGGTAATTTGGTGGTCTGGAGCCAGCACTGATGTGCATTGCTGTCTGCTAGCGTGTAGTGTTGTTTTTGATGCTACCATATGATGGTGCCAAAGAAAGAGACATTCAACTTCCACACCAGGAGGCCCAACAGTCTGCAGGTTTTGATTTCAGCCAACACACTCATAATCAGCAGTGATCTGCTGGAATGAAACCTGCAGTCTGTCCAGCCCTGCTGTACACACAGTGGCTTCCTGGCAATCACACTGACCCTCCTTCATGAATGTTGGCACCAAGTCTGCATGTCCTGTGAGGAGCGGAACAAATCCCCCAATAGACTTTTAAAAAATCCTTTTGGTTGTGCTGAAATGGTACATGGTTGTCTCCTGTGTTTCATGGGACAGCTTCTCCACTGATGACGACAACGACACTGAGGTGGAGGCCGTAGACATGGACACAGAGCTGAACCTTGTCACAGAGTGCTGGGTGGAACCACAGTGTGGCACGGTGATGAATTGCATGGACCAACATCGCCACTTCCAGGGCCTCAAGTACCAGGAGATCCCCCAAGCAGTGCGTATCCCTATTTTATAGAGCCAATAGTTTGTCCACCCACTCATTCATTCTGACATAGAGCTGAGGGGTTCTGGGGGTGCGTGCAAAGAGCTCAGTTGAGTTCAGTTTTGTGTGGTTTGTATTTAAGGTTGTGTTTTATATTGACCTTCTCTGTTGTTTTAGATCTTCCCAAGGGATCTGTCCTGTATGTCCACCATGATGACCTTTGAGTATTTGTGCCAACTGTGTCAGAATAAAGACCAGGTCTGCTCGCTGCCGGCTGGACTCAAGGATGTGAGAGGTAATGTGCTGTTTACAAAAATCAAATTTTCTGCATTCGTATCACGATACACGGGTTGCGATTCAGTATATTGCAGTACTGAATTGAATTTGTTTTTATCACAGTAACATCCAACATCATAACCCTCAGTTGTTTCTACTTAGCAGTTGTGAGTTTAAACACAAACATCGATAGTGTTTTTGAGAACCGATACAATATCACAAAACAAAATCCGATATTTTTTTATATTTTCTTACCCATATTCTCAAATGGTGGCCAGTAGTAGTACTCTGTAGCCAATCTACTGGCATTTTCTCCCTCTACCAACTACTGTATCACTGCTGGGCAGCATAATCTATAAGAAAACATCATATTTTATGTAACTATAGGATCCAAATAACCAGAGTGCAGTAAAATGTACAATAATAAATAGGGCTGTGTATTGGCAAGAATCGGGTGATACTATACGTATCACGATACAGGGGTTACACAAGGCAATAGGTTGCCTTTTTTTTAGATCAGATTGTATGAAAAGTGTCTAAAGTATAAACACACCACCATATGCATAAAATCTGTATTTTTACTACAAAATAGTGGGATTTGAGCAGTTTTTAAACACAAAAATCAATAGTGTTTTTGAAACTCAATACATATCTCAATGTCACAAAACAAAATATCACAATATGATATTTTTCCATACTTTTTTTACTTTTATAACAGAAGCCATTGGAAACAAATTAAGAGTTGTGTGTTTTAGTAATGGCTGTCCCTTGCAGCTGCTGGCTCTGATTGTGCATTTTTGTAGTGTAAAATCTGTGTATTGCTCTTTGGTAAGTAAATCATGGATGTATTTCCTGTATGTGTGTGTGCAGGAGATGCCCTTGCCTCTGAGGACAGCATTCACATGGTTCCTTTCCAGTTTGATCTCATTCAGCTACTCCCCAAATGCCAGCAGGTCGAGCTCTTCTTCCTCACATTCAGCACAGGTAGTGTACTCATACGGTTTGTACCATTTACTGCAACAATAAGAAAAATACACATCCATCATGAAATAAATACTTCTGTAGCAATATACAATGAGAAAAAAACTCTGAGAGTCAAGGAATAGCTGGGACCCTTTACTTTTTAAGATCCAGTAGTTGTTCCTTGTTGTCATGCGTGTCTTCACCTTTTTGTCAGTAGCAGTGGAGACTGGGGAGCAGGTTCATAGCTCCCCCTGTCTGCCCAACGAGCTGCTGCTCAGCCTCTTCCACAGCAGCCTGGAACACGAGCTCAGCGACAGAGAAATCCCGCTAGCTGACAGTGACCACGTCACCTTCATGCACCACATCTTAGAGCGAGAGCGAGACGGCCATATCGCTCCTTTCTCTTTACCTGTCATTAAAGGTCAGCACACGTCACTGCGTCTCATCTCGGCTGTTCTTCTAGCCAATCTGTGCCACTTACCTCCACATTAACAGAACTACAGAGCCTACCTGATGAGTCACTGTCTCTTCTAATCTATTACATCTGATGTTTTATGTTTTGTCAGAGGAGTGTGTGAAACCACCAGACAGACAGGACACAATGACGTCATTCCACACCACTGGCAGCAGCAAAGAGGTGATGGGATCCACCAGCACTTTACAGGTAATCAACACACATTCACATTCAAGTGTTGAGCCTTAATAGTTTTGGACTAATAAAGGTATAGAAAAATTCTCAAATGTTTCTACTCTTGCTTTAGGTGGTTTTTTGCTTTTTAGAAAAGCAGTTGATAAAAAAACAGGGTGTGGCTCAAAAATAGAAAAAAAAATAAATAAAAGCCAGGTAACTGTACTATACTGGCACAACTTTCAGTGGAGCTCAACACTTCCTGCTGATTTTTCACATTAAAAATCTACCTGGAAAAAGGAGGTGTAATGCTTTGGTAACACTTTATTTGAATAATCTGCCTAGAAATAGTATTTCTAACATTTCAAGAGGTATTTTCTGATATTCTGATATAGGTTTGGTTAGGTTTAAGCAAAAGATTGTGTTACTGAAGATTTTGTGAATCTTAAGTGTTGTACTGATGGAAATGATGCAGTGGAAAAGTACATCATACTGGATTTATCAAGACAACAGGTAAACATGGAGGGAGTGTTGAATTTGCAAAACAGTAAATTGAAACATGAGCAGATCAGAAAATGGTGAGGTTTCAAACTAAGATATGATCAAATCTGTAATATGTATAAAAAAAGGCAAATAAAGGCCTGTCTCTGCTATAGGTCTGTTTCAAATGGTTCTTTGGATCTTTATGCTTCTATCTGCAGTTGATGTAAATAAAGGGTCAGACCACAATTTAAGAGTTTTCTTAAAAAGTCTTTCTTTTCCAGTGGAAATCTGCAGTAGCTTCATGTAAACTGTACAATAATTAACATGTGTTTCCTCCATCTTTGGCAGAGTTTCAGTAATGCAGACCTTGTGGATGAAGAGCCCTTGCTGGGGGAGAGGAGCTGCTCTACGCCACAGTGGAGGTGTTACGCCAAGTACATCAGCTCCCAGCAGATCCTCCTCACCTTCCTCCCTGCTTCCTTCACAGGTACACCTTGGATTTTGAATTTTGACCACATTCTCGTGATGCAAAATATGCATACTATGTTTATTTTGCAGATGTTCTGATGTTGATGGAGTCAGGGCTGGAGACGGAGCCTCAGAGTAACATCAGCACTCAGGAAGATGACACTCTGACTCCCAGCAACAAATCTCAGGCCGACTCCCTGTCTGGCTCCACAAGTGGGCTGGAAAGGTCAGAGTCCGGCCTCAGTCTGGCCGGTAAACTGCGAAGGAGCTCCAGCAGCGGACACTTCAATGCCAGGTCCCCTGTGCTCTCACCATGGTCCGAAGGCCAGACTGGGCCCGCTGACTCCCTGATGGACCAGGAAAGCTGGGACACTAGAATGTCTGAGACAGAGGCCGGGACCCCAGCCTCAGGTCAGTCTAACCCCCTTCTCCAGAGTTGCAGTCAAAACAAAATAAGTGTAGTCCAGTCAAAAATGGGGGAAAATATCTATTTGTCTAACTTTCCAGATCTGGGAGAAAAAGAAGGAGTACAGTTCTCTGAACCACAGAAGACTGATTTCCACATCAGCTTCAGCCGGCAGGTTTCTCAGCAGAGTACCAGTGACAGCAGCCTGTTGAAGTGTCCAGTCTATGTCTACAACTGCTCCCTGGAGCACCTGAGGGAGCAACTGGTACACCCCAACTCCAGCCGTCAACCCAGGGACATCTTCTTCAGGTACTGTGCTCACCTGCAGGAGTGAAGACAAAGGCAGGGTCCCAATATTGAAAGAAAGAAAACCGCTTACCATGTGAAAAAATTTTGAAGGAATTACAGTGGTAATCAGAATAATAGTTTTTAGATCAATGCTATGAAGTTTTTCACCTTCCAGACATCACATGTCTTTCAAACAGCAAGCGAACCATATATGATCTATGATCACCTCCACTGGAACACTTCAGGGTCCAGTGGTTTGTTCATATATGTACTATCAGCTAATTCCTAAATTACAAGTGAGCAAGTGAACAGAATTGGTCTTTGCAGTGAGAATTTGGCATTCTTACATGGTTTTTACTTACTTTGTCATCAACATAAATTTTTAAGATAATTCCAGTTAATTATCAGTCCTGTTATTAATAATGATATTGTACTCACCAAAGTAATTTCTGAGATCTGGGACCACAGTGATACCACTAAACACAATGGAGTTGTAAAGTGAAGTCAAAGTGACACTTTCTTTCCACCGGGGTACCACATGGATCTGTGCTTGGTTCCCTTCTCTTTTCAATATATACCACCTCCCTTGGTCCGATTATCCACTCACATGGCTTTTCTTACAATTGCTATGTTGATGATGCCAAGCTCTGTGTCCTTCCTGCCAGACTGCCAGACTGTCTCAGCCTGCCTCATCTCAAAATGGATGATGGAAAGCCACGTACAACTCAGTCTCTCTAACACTGAACTGTAGTCCCAGCCAGTCCTTCTGTTGAGCAAACAAAGTGCTTGGTTTCTGATTGATTGAGCCCATCCAAGCCACGGAATTGCTAATCTGGATATACTGTCGGTTTGTTTACAGCCTGTCTGATGTGTAACTACTTACTGTACCCAGATTTAATTATTTTTGTGAGTACAATGCTATAATAACCGATACAAATGATACACAAAGCTACATAGAGAAAAGCCAAGCAGTAAAAAATATGTTGACTTATATCCCCTCCATTGTTTGACACAACTGACCCATGAATTTCCTCAGAAGCAAGTTGCAGTCCAGTTGTTAACATGTGTGTCTTTGATTGTCTTCACGCGTGAGAATAGAGCTCAAGATGCTGAATCCTGGGAGATGAATCAGCAGATGAAGTTCAGGTAGCGCTTCTCGATTCCGTTGTCTCTGCTCTCCTTCCCTCTCTGCTGAGGTGCCGCTCAGCTTTCATTGGACGGCCCTCTGAGAAGTTAGGAAGTGCTTGTTTTTCTGTAGAGTGGGAAAGTGTTGCTTTTCTAATGCTGTAGGCTCCAAAGACATCTTCCCTTCCCAGGCCTGTCTGTGCTTCCTCCTCAGGCTTGCGTTGCACATACACACAGTAGGTGCATTGCTGCCATGCGAGTCACGAATTTACACAGTTTTTCATTCAAAATTTCATTGCAATGATTAGTCACCAGGAAGTCCGGAAATCAAGATTTTTTTTTTATATTAATATGTTTTGTTTACATATTGTTGTGGCGTTCCCTTGAATGGCCAAACAATCTGTGAGCTGTTAGTGTTTGATAATGATGTTTTACAGACTTACTTATTTAGTTTGCTGTTTTTGCCTGAAGACAAAAGATTCAGGCATTTTCACAGTGACATTAAGCAAATGAAATATTCCTTTAATGGACATTTCAGTGAGTTCAGCTAGGAATATTGGTGCTATTGGATAAAGGCACTAACTAGTGCACTCAACTGATAATTTCCCAGATTTCCTTGCAGGCACATATAAAATATAACCGTGCCCAGACCCCCAAGAGGTATGCCATTACTGTGGTAATGATGTGGCTATGTTTTAATATGTTGTGGTCAAAGTGCGCCCACAACAGTTGCAAAAAAACACTATATCTGACTTCCTGTTTATTGGAGAACCACATACACTGGTGAGGAACAGGGATCAAGTAATGTCATAATAACCAGGAGGTTAAAAATGTACTATAAGCATATAGTAATTCTACATTATTGATACCTAGAGTCCTGTAAAAGTTATTATAATTTAGTAGGTATGTGATTTGACACATATTGCATTGTGTTACATCTGCAGCCCCATTCCATCACTTCTCTTTTATACAGAGGCACAGAGGAATCTTTCTTCTCTCATCGTGAGAACTTTTTGTGCTTTACGTGCAGATCAGCCTGTTTATGTAAATGTTTCTTCATTGACACATGATGACCCACGTGTGGAGTCTGGAGTGTGTCACCAGAATGATTGTAGACACTTACATATTTAAGTCTGATCATATTAGAGGTCCAGTGTGTAACATTCTGGAGGATCTATTGTCAGAAATGGAATATAATATTCATAGATATGTTTTCATTGTTTATAATCACCTAAAAATAGGAATCGTGTTTTTGTTACCTTAGAATGAGCTGTTTATATCTACAGACAATGCGAGTTCCCTTTCATGGAGTCTGCCATATTGAACCACCATTTTCCTAATGTAGCCCAGAATGGACAAACCAAACGCTGGCTCTAGATAGGGCTGTACGCGTTTTTTGCTCATGACGAGGCCACTGTAGTTTCTTCTTTGTGCTTGGAAGGGTAGGGTGACGCGAGGGAGTTGCAACTACACCGCTAGATCCCACTTAATCCTAAACACTGGACCTTTAAGTTACAGAGAACCTTTCCTAAATTAATGTAATCATGAGATGAAAAGGTAAATGTTAAAACAGGAGACAAATTCTGTGGCAATGGAAGAAAGTAACATTTGAAATCTTCTCTAAAATTATTATTATTTTTTTATACCAATTCATTTTTTTTTGTCTTTAAATGTCTTTAAATGTCTTTTTACAATGCATCACTTAAATGCAAAACAAATTCATTAATTTTAATTAAAAAAATTCTGGTGGCAGACTCCATACTTCTGTACATATTGCTGTTGCTGTTCATGCAGAACATTGTGAACTGAATTCGATTTAGCTTCAAAGGTAAAGTGTGTGTGTGTAGTACTAAAAGCTCAGACCAGACCACTGTGCTTTCTGCAGCTTTGTAGGTGAGTGTGTGTGTGTTGCAGCAGATTGTCTTCTGACACCTTGCTGTCACACAGACAAAAACTCTTAGCTGCAAATGCATCACGTTTGGTGATCAAGTTTTTTTTTTTTTTTAACCTGATTCATGTTTCTCCCTCCCTTTTGTCCTAATAAATTATGTTAAATATGACTCTTAAAATGCATGCTGTGGAGGTCCAGCTGTCCCTCAGGCTTCTTGGCTTCTTTGCTTACTGTAGTGGAGGTCTGGGCTAAAGCTATCTTAGTGCTTTCATATCAATCATATGGAATAGAATTGTCTGTATTTTTAACTGACCGTGAAATTTGTACACATTTTGTTTATAAATGTAATGGAAGATGTTAAATGAAGTTGTAGTTGGTCCGTGTGGGTTCAGCAGACCCATCATTAGTCTTTCTTACTGAGCGCATTTGTTTCCTGTCTCTTTGTGTTTGCTGCGCTGTTATCCTCTGACAGGTCACTGTCTCAGGACCGCAGCAGCCCGTCCCCTTGGACCGACCTCCTGGCTCAGCCTCACAAACACAAGGAGCTGGCCAACTACTGCAGCCTGCTGCAAGAGCATTACCACCAGAGCTACGTCAAAGGTGAGCCCCTCCTCCACCAACATGCACTCAGAACAAGTTATGGTTGCCACGGAATCATTAATAACAAATTCTTTAAGTCAAATTTTAAACAGTTTATCAGCATTATCTGTTGGCGCAGTGCCAAATTGCGCAGTCTAGTATTTACACCATGACTCCTGATTAAACCCTGTAAATAGGAAACTACTTTTATTAAAAGATTTTATGGTGGGTTTCTCCTCGAATTATCAATGGAGACATTCTACACAGCTCTTGTTTTCTGTTCCTGCAGTCTCTGAGTCAACAGCTAAGAAAGCCTTCATGTTTAAAGTTCTCTCTGACTTGAATAATCTACCTGTAAATATTCAGCCCACATCATCTTTAAAAATACCGTCTTCTTATTATAGGATCGATTGTACATGTTCTTAATGACAGTTAATTCAATATAATATAATATAATATAATAACACCTGTAGAATTCATCATGGTTTGTAAATCTAATTACCTACTGCTTTCACTGACAATACCACCACTCTAAACTATGAGTGATCCATTTCCATGCTCTACTTGGAGTGTGATCTTGATAATTACTGTTTCCCTTTGGTTTTATCTTTTTTGTTGATTTTGTTTCTTTTTATCAAATTTGATTTAATTGTATATTGTTATCAAGGGGTTATTCCTAATAAAGAATTTCCAGTAGGAAATGGGCTGCATATCTGCAGGATATGCTGAAATATCATTTCTTTGAGGATATGCTATTTGCACTGCTCTTTAACAGCTTTAGAAGGAAGTTGCAAGTACAGGGAGAGAAATGCTGGAACTGAGGCCAAGCTTTATTTATTTTTACTGCATATTTCATACAAAACGATATGATAAAATGCAAAAAGTAACAACATTAAAAACAAAGCATAAAGAAAGATTTTAAAGAGAGTGTGTCCTTTTAAAATCCCACTGAAAGCCAGTGGCTGTGTTACTGTATTACAGCATCAGTCATTTATTCGCTCACTGCGTTCCTCAGGTGTGTACCGCAGCCTGCAGCAGTCCTACAGCATCAACTCCCAGGATGTCCTGATGGCCATGGATTACTGCGAAGAATCCCTGCAGGAGATTGACATCACCACTTTCCTGCACACAGTCTGTGGACACATCCGGGTCTTTAGGGAGCACGGTGAGGCTCCGGCATGGAAACCTTCAAGGAGCCCTGCCACCTTTGTCATCGGAGAGGCTGAGGAGGAACGGACAGATTATAGGGCTGCCCTGGCCTCCTCGTCCAGGTAAGACCATGAATATTGACATATATTAAACATAACCAACACTTAACATTATAACATTATAGGTTATTGCATAGAGTATACAGTGTGCATATATAGTATGGATAACAGCATACAATATGTAGGGTGTGACAAATAACAGAGAAAAACAAAACAACATTAACCTATTTAGGTTCAGATTTACATATAAAATTGCAATGAGGAACCGCAGTCTGGATTCACAGCTCCCTTTATTTGTGTAACTGTGTGACCAACTACAGGCTAAAGGTTTAAATGAGGACTTTAAAGGACCAGTGTGTAGGGTTTAGTGGCATCTAGCAGTTTCAGATTGCAACTAACTGAACACAGCTTGCATCAGTTTTTGATGACCTGGGAATGAGAACATACATATATACATCTGACTGGGTCAGAGCATCTCCAAAACTGGGGGGTGTTCCCGGTCTGCAGAGGTCAGTACCTATCAAAAGGGCTCCAAGGAAAGGGAGAACTGGAGACGGCCAAGACTCATTAATGCACGTGGGGAGTGAAGGCTGGCCCGTGTGGTCCGATCCAACAGACGAGCTACTGTAGCTCAAACTGCTGAAACAGTTAATGCTGGTTCTGATAGAAAGGTGTCAGACCACACAGTGCACAGCACTCTGTTGGTAGGGGGCTGCAGAACATTATGAGCACCAGGTTGTCACAGTGTTATGGTGTATACGGTGTACACTCAATTCCTCCCTTTGCCTTCTTGCCAAAGTGAATTAAAGGGAGCTGTCATTCCATTCCTTTTATTAACTTTATGGATTTTTGTATCCCCCCCACTGAGGTTCTGTGAATGTTCACATGACTGCTCTATATCTCAGATTATGCTCATCAAGATACAAGGGATGCACACAATTGACTGCTGATTCATTGATGTTGTGCTATTTAAGTTGATAATGGTCAAAACATAACTCACGTCCACACAGCTATGACGGAATGCAAGGGTCTGTGTGGATCCACATGGATGTCCTTTTGGACGTTGGTGTGATGTAAATACACCTTGGTGGTTTACTAGTTATTTGTTTCTGATAAACTGTGAACAGTGATGTGCAGAATTCTTAAAAACCAACATGTCAGTGCTTTGAATTCACTATGGTCTATTGGCAGCAAACATTTTTACGTTGTAGCCAACTAACACAATTACTAATGATGTGATCTTTCTGGCAAAAGCATTGAAATGGATGATGTCAGTGAAGCTGAATCTAGAGAAAAGTCCTCTGGTCCTACATCTCCCCTGATCCTGGATGAGTCCAAAACAGTCAAGATCCCAGAGTTCCCTCTGACGCTGCTTCAGACACAGCCCAAGTGTGAAGTGTATCCAGATCTACACAAAATAATACAGGTAACGTCTGAAGTCTTAATCTCCTGCTCTGTATTTCATATTTTTAAAGTAGACCGAAATATTCCTCTTAATAGACTCTCCTCTGAGTAATTAGTAAGTACATGAGATAACGAGCTAACAAGGTGATGTCATTCGACAGGATAAATTCATGGAGATCGTGTCTCAGTACTTCAAAACTGTGCCCTCCAATCCACACTACTTCTTCTACTGCCCATCGCCATCCAAGAAAGAGGTACACTGAGTCGTGTGTTTGCATTTCTCATTGTAATCTTGTCTTTTGGCCAGACTGACTTTGCTTTGCTTTCATATCTCATTATTGTTCACAATAAAACAACATATCGAGGAAATGTTTCTGGAGAAAACAAACCCACAGCAGAGAAATTTGTATGTCGTTAATCAAAGGAAAATCTAATCAGAGAGGTAAATGAATGATACCTGAGGTCGATTTGTGCATGTGAAAACGATTGTGTGTGTCGGCTCTGGCTCAGAATGAGAAACCACTCGCAGGTTTCCACATGAATGCAGCTGTTGATTAGACTGGAAGCTTTGTGCTGTGGTTTGTCTCCTCAGGAGGACTCAGAGGACGGTGAGATGGGGAGGAGACCCAGTGAGGATCCGGTATCAGAGGCTGAGCCAGCTACTGAGGACGGTGAGGATTACTCAAAAATGAAAATGAATCAGAAATATTTTAATTAATTTTAATACAATGCATTCACACTATTTGCGGAACAATTCTGACTGCCTGTCAACATTTCAACTAAGTGCTAAACGCCAAACCCAAAAACATTATTTCAAAGCTAGACATGTTTCATGTTTTTGTAAAGGTGTATGGACCTTGTGTGAAAGGAGCAGCATGGAACAGAACTTAACTTACTTACTAACTTACTAATTCTCATTTGTCTCTATGTGATGACCCATAGCCGAGACACTAAACTCATCCAGTGATATGATAAGGATACATTTTGTGTGTAGAAGCTGTGTTGGGCTGCTGCATAATGACAGAAAGCGACACAGATCTGGTGGTGGAGTACGCTGAGCACCCAGGCACCAGCTTCCACGGAGAGGGTGAAGACCAGTCCCTGTCAGACTCCAACACTGTCAACCAGGACCAGGACTCCTTCAGCATCCTGGAGGGAGACTCCCTGCTGGAAGCCGAGGAGCCACAGCTGGACATGCCACCGCTGTTTGTTCACGTCACTTGTTCTGTCAATATGAAAAGCTGCCACGGCTCCATGCCCATACAAACACTGCCTACTTGCCTTGGTGCGTACAGCCTCAATCTGCTCAAAAAAAGGCTTTTTCCCAAGGTTTAAATTTGACCACTGAGGCTTGGGTGCTTACTTCGGTGTTGTGATTGCAGGTGAGATTATTTCCTGCCTGGAGAATGCTGAGGCCTTAAAGACTGTGGATTTGAATGAGCTCTCAGTCACATTAGACATTTTTGTCCTGACACTACCTCTGGAGATTGAAGTCATGGCTGATTTCCATCATAACAGGTGAGTCAAAGAGCGAGCAAAGAGTTCAGCAGGTTTGCAAGAAAAGAGGATTATTCAGTATGTTTGATTAATCATAGATTGAGTTTTTTAAAGGTCCAGTGTGTAACATTAAAGAATATAATGGAATATAATATTCCTAAATATGTTTTTTATTAGTGTACAATCACCTGAAATTAAGAGTTGTTTTTATCTAGAGTCTGCCATGTTGAACCACCATGTAGCCCAGAAACATGGGCTAAAAACTGGCTCTAGATAAGACATGTAACAGCCACTTCCTACGTGCTTGAAAGGCTGAGCTGAATTCAAATGGTTGCAATCAGCTCCCACTAAATCCTACACACTGGTCCTATAAATAAATATAAATATAAATGGACCTGTACTTGTATAGCGCCTTTCTAGTCTTCCGACCACTCAAAGCGCTTTTACACTACATGTATACAGTATAGGATTATATTTTATTTTACCTTGGCACCATCTAGAAGTAGTATCAACACAAACATGTATGCCATGGTAACTGGATAAAAGCTAGAAGACATATCTAAATCAGGACCAGAAGTGGTCAGTATGCTGTGCACTCCTTGGACCTAAATGTCTCCTAAGGATAATGTGTGAATGTGAATGATGAAACCCTGGTGTGGCTCGTTGGTTCTCCTCTTTGTGTGCAGGTACACCTCAGAGAGTAGCGTGTCCCTGAATCGTTCACCAGGACAGCCCTCCTCCTACCGCTCTGATGAGGAGCTGATGGCAGTGTTGGACAGTCTGAGGGGAGCCGGAGTTGACGGGTGAGTTTGTTAGACACATGTTGTTCTACGGGAAAATACAGAGCTGAGCTTTCTCTGATTGACTCTATTGTCTCCCATTAGGGTATCTGGCGATCCCTTATCCAAACTCCCAGTTCCTCACAAGTTAGCAATTCTGGCTACAATGGACGAGGTGAGTCTCATTCAAGTGTGAGCTGTCAAAAGAGTATCTTCACCTATTAGCTTTACCCAAATTCATATTATATCTAAAGCCGGATATAAAAAAATCATGTTGAATTTATACTTTTACCCAAATGTATTTATTAAACTAGAACAGGATAAGAGGTTTAGAACAAATGGAAAATTTGGAGGCACCCCAGCTTGAGGTCACTTTCTGACCCTTTCTCCAGCAACACCACTAGGGATCGAATTAAGCTAAAAATTTCAAAATTTTCATGCAAGACATATCATAATATAACAGGCGGATTGGCATGGAATAGGCAAGGGATGATATGAACATTTCATGTTCTAAGACCAAGATCATAATCATTAGTCGAGTCTTTTTGTTGAACATGGACATTGTGAATACATTTTTTAATGAACAGGAGCGGCTAGCAATCTTTAGTCTTCTTAGCTGTGTTTACATATTTCAGCATTAGATTGGTTTGATGAAAGTGGCAAAATTTAAAAAAAGAAAAAAGATTTATGCTAGCAGTCTCCTCATGGCTCCCACGGCTCTCTAATACATCCATGATCTCTGAACACAGATCTGATGGTACCTTCCTCACATTAATACATGAAACTAAAGTTTGTCCATTGGTTTTCACCATTTGAGCTCCCACTGGCGCTCTTTTAATTTCATCATCTTGTTACTGCAACCAGAGAATTGAAACCACCTACTGCTGACCTCAGTGATCCAGTGGATGGAAACATTTTGCCGAATCACTCAAAATTTGGTTAAAATTCTGCGGTACATTTAGACGGAAACATGGCTGTTTATATTAGACTTGTACTGAATACTATGATGTCCAAATGTTTGTTGTGGTACACACACGACATCGGTGAGCTTTCCTTCTCTGTGTGTTCCAGATTCGCTGGCTGCTGGAGGATGAGATCGTCTCTGCTCTGCGTCACTCTCGGGTCATCGGCTCGGCCATGCTGCAGAAAGTAGCTGAACATGTGCTGCGCTCCAGCGGTCGACCGCACTGTCACTGCGAGGATGTCCCGCTTCAGTTTGTCTTTGGGCCTGAGCAGTCCCTGGAAAAATTCAAAGAGGCAAGGGCGCACACACACACACACACACACACACACACACACACACACACACACACACACACACAGACAGACACACAAACACACAGACAGACACACACTCTGACACAACCTTTCAGTACTGTTTCACTCACTAATCCAGCTCTGTGAATACAGCTTGTGTTCAGGACTTCAAAGTTTAGATCTTAAATAAGAATCTAAACTTCAAAAGTAACTATTTCATTTAGTTTTCTTCACAGAAATGAATTAAATGCTGAGATATAGGCCGACTGTGTCTGTGTCTTTACAATTGCAAATGATTTTACTTTGCTGTGTTTTTTCACTCAATGTTAAGCTCATTACTTCCTGCACTGATTTTTCACATTACAAGACTTCCAGTGCAAGTGGGTTTTGGGATCATGGTTTCAGTACAGCAGCAAATAAAAAAGGCAGAAGATTTGTCATTTATTTTGAAAACATGCATGGTGGCTCATTGGTCTTAACAGCAAAATAAATGTTGACATATGGTCAATAAGAAAAAAAAAACTAATTTCAAAAGCTCAATAATGCTCTGTTGTTATTCCACAAAACTTTAACCTGCATATTTGTAGGTATAAATATGAATACAAATATAGAATTTCTTTAGTTTATTATTATGGACCAATGGAACAAACCTCTTGCAATGGACAGTCGGGAATGAACAACGAAAGAGTTCTCTTTCCTTGGTACAATAAGTGAGTACCTGTCCGCACTAGAGCATATATGGCTGTTTAAGTGCTACATAGCTAATATGTAGGACTTAATCAGCATACATGATGGGATAATGTCTGTTCCCGCAGGAGTTCCGCAGAATGTCCTTCTCTGGCTATGTGTTGAATGGAGAACAGGACAGCTTCTACTTCATGTCTCTGAGCAGACTGCACCCTCAGAGGATCAATGCTGCCAAGAGTCTGTCTGAAAGCGCCGCGGACCCCCCGCAACACAGCAACCCCTGCAGTGCCAGAGCTCAGGTGGAGGACGCGGTGCTAGAGAGTGAAGTGGAGGCTCAGGCAACAGAGGCAGACAGCGAGGTCTGAGATGTCATTTAGAATAGTTCTTAGTGTTTAGTTTTATAGTGGATACTCAAACAGTTGCTGGGATCAAATGTATTGCCATATAAACAATAAAAGTCGAGCTGCATGAGGCTGAAATCAGTACAGGGATGCTTAAGGAAAGTGGTTAGTGAAGGTGGTTTCTCACACATGCCTACCTGATTCAGACTTACTGAGCTGTTTACCTTGGTGAAACCCCAGGTTTTGTTTTTAAGATATCTGGGATAGTTTATTTTGGGGATATGAGATCAATTCATCTCCTATTCTCTTACTACAGACCAGAAAACAACAGATCTCATGAGATATAGAACATCAGAATTGAGACATTTGCAGCTGCAGTGTGAACACCGAGTTTGTCGCTTTTGCAGTTTTTATTCAGTGGTATCTAATCATAATCACAGTATCTGGCAGCCTAGAGAAAAAGCACTGAGTAAATCCTTTATTCTGTTGCCAAAGGAATGACAGCACAGATTTTCTGTCAAAACACATTCAGTACCTTAGAATCATTCTCTTCATGGTCCTGCTGAATTCTTTATTGCTGTTTGAGTCACAGTAGATGAAACACATTTGTATAGCTCTCATTTTTACTTGAACTCTGTCCAACTGCAGGGTGAAGACAAGAAGTCCATCAGCGTTGGTGGAGACTCTCCCAGTGACACAACTGCAGAAACCAGTGAGCAAGTCAGAGTCTTGAAGCCTGACGCACATGACACAGTTTCTCAGAGCTCAGTTGGCATGGTGGTGGGGGACAGAGGTCAGCCCGGTACCCCACAGATCCAAACCGAGCATGGCACAGAGCCCGCCTCACCCCCCAAGACGCCGTCCAGTGTCAGCCTGGCTGAGTCCTTGCAGTCAGCCTCTCACAGTGAGTCTAACAGACACACTGCACTCCTGTACATATGTGTAACATATTATTGAAGTATTTAATTACATGCCCTCCACTGGATGTCTGTCTAAAAATGTATGTATGATCATAACACTTTACAAGTGTCAGGTATCAGTGTGGTTATGTCTTGCCATAATGACTTAATGACAGCGAGTGTGTTTTAAAGGTTCAGTGTGTAGGATTTTGTGGCATCTAGCAGTGTAGTTGCTGATTACAACACCTTCACCTCACCCTCCCATTCCTAGCGAGTATGGTGGCCGCTAAACTTGAAAGCATGAAAGGCCCTATCAAGAGCCAGTGTTACCCCTTTTCCACCAAGGCAGTTTGAGGGACATTTTGAGCCGTTACCTAATCTCAACCCAGTTCTTTGTGTTCTCGTCCAGGAAAACTGGTTCCAGTTTCCACAACACTTTGGTGGTCTAGAACCAGGAACCGCTTACACCAGGGGCTGGGGGCACCTAGTAGCCAGTCAGCTATGTATTTATTAGCTGTTTAGCAAGCTACTAATTTTATACATTAATGTCCTAACATAACATAAAATTGAGCTATCAGGAGGGTTTGGTTAGCTAACGTCACCCAAACAAGCATAGCTACTAATTTGTCACATGCTACGTGTAACATAGATGCTATGGCAGTAAAATTGAGCTAGATGACTAGCCAGCTAAATGTTTGGTCAGCTAACATCATCCAAACAAGCATCTACTAATTTGACATGTTACGAGGGTAAATTAGATGTTTTGACTGCAAAATTGAGCTATGTGGCTAGCTAGCTGTTGGTGAGCTAACATCACCCAAGCAAGCCTAGTCACTATTTATCAGTGTTAGTTCAACGTTTGTGACATTGATGTGAGAAATTGGTAGCTATGCTTTATTATGTAATGTTAAATGACCAACAGCCAGCTTGCCAGCTAGCTTAACCTTGGTAACAAGAGCTAACGCTGAAGTTGTACTGTGACTGGTAATGTGGCTCTCTGGTTGCTATGTAGCAAGTTGGGATAGCAACCAGTTCTTAGAAGGTCTGTAAGCTGAACCAACCGTAAACCAGCAGGGGCACCAGGCCCAAACTACCACTACCTCTGTGTTGATGGAAAGGAGTTATGTTTGGTTTGACGGTTCTGGGCTGCTGTACAAGCATCTGTAGATAAAAATGGCTCATTCTAAGGTAATTAAAACGCAACGATTCTTATATTCAGGTGATTATAAAATAATGCTATGATGATAATGAAAACATACCTATGAATATTATATCCCATATCTGACAATAGATCCTCCTAAATGTAAAACCTTTAGAAGAACTATACTGCATCATAAGTCATTATGTAATATGCCAAAATGCAGAGAATTACTATTAAGATGTAAGTTGTCAGTTTTAGGAATGGAACTTTAAGGTATACAACTCATATGATTTTTTTTTTACTGTTACTTTACTTTATTTTCACTATGAGATGAAAGCAAAGAGTTGGGGTTATTAAAAATCAACACCTGTTTGCTCACAAAGAAAGAAAGGCTTTATAGATGGTGTTCAGTATTTAACTCATCATAACACAGGAAGAAGAGGTGAATATAATACAAGAAACTTTGATGATTTACTGATAGAAGAACATATACTCTAACCACAGCAAAAGAATATTGCTTGGGTATGGTAACAATTCCGATATAAATGTGTCCTGATGTGGTCTATTTACTGTCTAGAATCTTAATTCATTTATATGGGACTGTTAATTAAATGTAGAGTAGTAAATCTCTAGGTTGTTTCCTCCTTCCCAACATGGTAACACGATGCTGTATCCACAGCCTTTCAAAACTGATGTGTAGTTTTCTGGGGAGAAAGGCTCTGAGGGTGTGTGTACCGGCAGAGCTTGTCTCTGTTTTAGGCTTTGATTTGTGACTGTGATCCTGCTGACACTGGACCTCCTGACCAAAAATGTCAAATTGTCTTTCCCTAGGCTGTGGCAAACTCAGGCCAAGTCGAGTCCAGAGCGTGGTCTCCAGCCAGGGCAGTTTGGACTCAGACATGCAGGGTGAGTGTGCTGCACAAAGCTGAATGATGGTGGATCGGTGTTAGAGAGGTTTGAAGAACAAGGTGTTGTGATGTGACAAGTCTGAAATCCTCATTTCTCACCAGCTTGTTAGTTCTACACTTACAAAATACAGACCTATATTATGAAAGCTACCGATACATTGCACCAGCATTTCTTTCCCTGACTAAGAGCATGTAACCAGATGGCTGTCATGTAATCAAGCTTAAGGAATTGATCTTCTGTTTCTTCTGAAATACATTGTACTAACTTTAATTAACATAACTCACTAGATTGGCTAGAACTTGGCACTACTCATTTACTGGAACACAGTTCCAATATATAGTCAGTATTGCTCTGATAAACGGCTCCATCTTGTGGAAAATTGGCATCATTACTTTTTCTGTTAAATGGATTCTTTTAATCACAGATTTCTCCTCTAAACCATCTCATTCTCATCAAACAAAAGTTTTTTAAAAGATTAAAAGATTTTATGCAAGATTGGCAATATAGAAACCGAAATACACGATCATCAGAGTATGAGACATCAGATGATAAAATACATTTGTCATCCTACTTTTTAAGTCTTAAACTGAAGATTCAGATATTCAACAACACAAAATCAGACATGACAGCTGTGAATTTTAATACATTAATACATTTTAATAAAATAAACAGTATTAGAATAAAGTTTAGTGCATGGTGGTAGGCGCGGAGGGAAGGAGGGGCTTCTTTGGCTTCAGCCCCAAATGGTTTCTCGAAAGCCCCTTTTAGGCTTTTAAAATAGCTTCAACTTTGTGTAATTTCCCAACCATCTCTCTGACTGGACCAAAGCAAAAAGTTGTTACTTGAGAAATACCCATGACACTATTATGGCATGGATTCAAATGTTAGATTTGTCAGCTAAACATTAATTTTGTGAACTCTAACATAATTGAACAAAATAGGTTTCAAAATTAGTAATTCTGTTTACACTAAATCCCAACCCTACCTATGATATGCAACTTCAGAATAAGAACATCAGACATTTTTTTCCCTCTCTTTAGATATCAGGAGTGAAAATTCTCATCATTTGTTGTGTTCTGGTCTCAGAATGAAGAAGAAAACAGTTGGTAGAAAAAGCGCTAATAAAATATTGAGCAGAAGGGATCAAATGTTTTCTAAGACAACTGAATGCCTCTGCAACAACTTTAGATTGAAGAGGAGAAGATATTGTGAACATATACAACCAGAGTGGTACAGTAAGTTGCAGGGGTATTATGAAACTGTTAAATCTGTTTGAGATGAAGCTCAATGTAAACAAAGCCATTTATAGTTCATATCTATGATCCATGATCAAGAACAGCAAGAGCCATCAATGACTATCTTTACATGTATACTAATTTTCCACTAATATTCTGAATATGACATATTCTGAATCCTTTTACCTCTTGGATATTCCTAAAATGGGTGACTGTGGCTCAGGAGGTAAAGCCACTTTGTCCACTAATCAGAAGGTTGGTGGTACAATCCCTGAACCCCAAATTCAGTGCCATCAGTGTATGAATGTGTGTGAATGAATGAGTTTCTGTTTCTGATGAGCAGTTGGCACCTTTCATGTCAGCCTCTGCCATCAGCATATGAATATGTATAAATGGGTGAATGTGACATGTAGTGGAAGTGGAAGTAGACTAGAAAGGTGCTATATAAGTGCAGTCCATTTACCATTGAACTGGTCTTAATAGATCCAATACTCAAACTGAAGAATACAAATCTGTATCATCTGAATACAGTTAAAATTAGAGTGCTTCAGTATCAGCACTCCATATTGCAGTTTTTAAGTGGGAATTTCTTTTAATTAGTTATGATTAGTGTGTGTGTGTGTGTGTGTGTGTGTGTGTGTGTATGTATATATATATATATATATATAATCACACACACGCACAGCCATAGAAGTGAACCTTGTGGAACACCACTGATAGTACTGCTTGATACTCAAACAGTTAAAAGACTTTACTCACACTGGTAAATCAGTTTGCAGAGATGAGCAGTTTTTCGCTCATGCTGTTGTCATTGAATGTCTGTTACAAAGGTGTACAGACTTAGCATGACTTCCGTGATGAAGATAATGTAAATTATGAAATCCTAACCTCTGTGTGTTTTAAGGCTATGATGGCGGCAGCAGTGACTCTGAGTGTGAGAGCCCCACCCTGGATGAACAGGAGTGTCAGTCACCATTGATGCCCGACTTCTGGCTGATTGTTCAGATCCACCAGGACAGAGTGAAGGTCTACTCCCATTCCAGGTCTGACAGACCTCAGGAAATGCTCTCAACACCACAGTTGATTCCTCTGTCTTTATTTAATATTTAGTAATCAGCCTATAGTAGGTGGCCTATACTAATCAAGAATTCCAGATTTGGACGTCATCTTTAACATTAACTTTTGCTTATTCTTTTAGGTTTAGAAGTAAAAGAACTGTATCACATTTCATGGAAAATTGCACCACCTGGTCTTTACTAATTTCTGTTCCTAGCTGCATCCTTGTTTTGCAGTCTGTAGAATGGATTTTATATTGGTTGCACTAACCAAACTTAAGCCTGTCTTAACTACACCCAGTCTTAGCAATGCGTGTCCATGTGAATGCCCACACAACTATGGCTATTGTCTAGCAGCGTGCGTTGCTAGGATACATTGTTAAAAATCTCCTGCTGTCCTACTAATTTGTAGTGTATCATATTTAATTTGTGGCAATGTTATGGAGGATCAAATAAAGGAAATGGTAATTTCATGAACATTAAGATAAAGAATTGTTCAGAAAACGATGTCTAGAAAAGTATGTATGGTAAAAATATAAGAGAATGTAAAGAAAGAAATTTCTTGGAGAATAATCCATCATTTACTACTACTATGTGTAAGATTTATGCTTGGTCTTAGTGAGAAGAAGGCTAAAACCTAAATGGTGCCACCGGCTTAACTATTAGGTCGGACTTGGAAGGCCAAGTTACGACCGACCGAGCATAAGATAAGCTATTTGACCTCATAATTAATTTCAGTTTAAACATTTTGTAAAATGGTGATGTCATTCATTCTCAAAGGAAAATATTTTGTCCTTGCTGATAGTGTATGTAGCTTCATTGAAACTTAAATGGGTACGTTCCAGTCAAACTTTCAGCACAGTTCCTAGGACGGATTCTCAGATGCTTGATTACGGCTGGTGATTGGATACCACTCTTTTCTTAGGATCTGTCATATATTTGCAGGTGCTTCACAGAAGGAAAAGAGGTCATTGCTGAGGAATTGGAGAAGAAGGAAGAAGATGAGGAGCTGCCTGAATACTTGCAACTGCATCAAATGGTTGTCAGGAAGATAGGTGAAATCTGCAGAATTGTCAATCAGGTAGATACTGCAGCACTCAAAACTACATCACAGATGTAGTTAGTAAAACAGGTGTTTTAGTTTTTCAAAAACTTGCCTACAAATGTTTTAAAAAATCATACAAATAAAGTAATTTTGGTAAACAGATTGGATTTTTCATTTTCAGGTATGTAAGTTTTTTCACAGAGACCAGTGCCAACTTATAGTGCCAAACATGATTTGGTGTAAATGCAATATATATAGCAACTAACACACATACATCAACACAGTCCAATAAACACTTTGTGTAGTTGCTTGTGAAACGCTTCCTTTGTGTGTTTGTGTGTGTGTAGCGTATGCTGCTGCAGGACCTACACGACAGCCATGTGTGTAACTCTCTGCTGGTGGCTGAGAGTGAGGAAGACATCTGGAAGAATGAGTCTCTCTACAGGCAGAGGCTCAATGCCTCCGATGGTAAGTCAGAAGAAGGTGCAGATAGTTGGGCTTTTTATTTGTTCAGGTTTTGAGATTTATGTTTACGTCATTTAATGTCAGCTTTTTGCAGTTGTGTGTAAATACTTACGTGCCCTTGCCCTTACACTGGTTGACCCTGTCTACACAGATTACAACACAGAGGAGAGCTACCAGGCCAGAGACTACCTGGCAGCTACCATGCAGTTCATCCCTGGACATTTTGCCTGTGATGTGGTGTGGAGCACAATCATCCACATTCACCCACGTCTCAAGATGGGACCCAACATGGGGGTATCAAGAGGTGAGTGGTAGATCTGAACACTTGGGTTTATATAAAGATCATGTTCCTATGTAGGTATGACATCCACAATGACAAATCTTTGCAAATCTTTCACAGGGGTTACAGTGGTGGAAAGTTTTTATATTCACATTAATGAATTAACCTCTTCTTAATTAACCTCATCTTTATTTTGCAATAATGCTCAACATGTTTTTTTCTCCCTATTGTAGCGATTCAGGCCCTGCGCTCTGTGCTGAACTCTTTCTGTGTGGTCAACAGGAAGAACATGTTTGTCTACCAGGAGCGTACAACTAAATCAGTCTTCTACCTCAGGTCAGACTTTTGACTTTTGAAAGTGAAAAAGCACTTCTTCACTGGATTTCAATCTTTCTCTACTTGGTTCAAGGTGTTTTTCAGGATTTTCATCCCAAACTGACTAAAAAACAATATCTTATACCCCTCCTTTACATGCAAGGGCTTTGGGACTGTTGCAACACAGCCAACCTATAAACTTTATCCTTAAAGGGCAAGTTTTTTAACGGAGATTTTTGATCTCAGTCTGCTGGAATCGACCCACAGATGTTCTCAAGGTAGTATATCAGAAAAGGAAATCAATCTTGCTAGAAATTGAACTGCTGTCAAACACTGCATTGCGAGTAATTGTGATTTTGTGGTGTCCCGGGCCAGATAGTGAAGCTTCCATTTCACATTTTTAACTGTGAGACTGGAGGTTGTCCTCACAGTTCACAAATCATTTCACGACTTCAACAAGACTGGGTTGGTATGATTCATCCGGAGAGTGAACAAACAGAAGAGCAACGATGGGAAGTTAACTAAGAGCATGCAAAGATTTAGCCGTGCTTCCATCCAAGTATTTTAATGCGCATTTAGAAGTATCACATTAGAATAAGTTGATTTTGAAGAAATTTTAAAAAAATCCTCGATCACCACTTATTTTTTTGCCTTTTTTCAAATAAATGATCTTAATGGGGGATGGAAATAATTTTTCCGAATAAGCTCTGATGTTGCGAACATTTAAATCACATTACTGATGAGCTGTCTACATTCTGACAGTCTCCTCATTTCTCCCATGGCTCTATAATACATCCATGATCACATGATCCACACAGATCTGATGGAACCTTCCTCTCATTAATATGTATGAGGGGACTGTCAAAAACAGGAAGTCAACAGTTAAAACAGGCTTACTTCAGTAATTTGTGATTATTTTCAGGATATTCTGTTTCATGATGGTGAAGCTCAGTCTTCTTGATCTACTGATGCTTGGATTGTACCATGTTTGTATGCTGCTTTGGACAAAAGCATCTGCCAGTGAATATGTAATGTAAATGTAGATGCCATTCAACTGACACAATATAGCAGGTAAAAGGTCTTAAAAAGTCTTAATTTTAACCTACTGAAAGTTGCAGAAACCCAAGTTATCTTGCCAAGCTTGTACACAGCAGCAATGGAAGCTCGTATGAAACTGTTTGTCACAATTTGACCCTTTGCCTTGAGCAAATATGACACATTCTATTTAGTAGTGTCACATTAGTCTTTGGTTTGACACACCTTCTTGAAAACATTAGCACATTAGTGCTCTCAGAATAGGTAAAAAACACCGGGGATGGACATGAAAGATAAGAGAGAAAAAGTATAGATTAGTCAAAAAGGGTTGATATAAAGGTTTTGGAGAAACTTAAGGGACATCAATTCCATACCTTGTGTTGCTTGTGTTCATGTTTCCAGACTTTGTGAAACATCATTAACCGGGAAATACTCTGACATGGATGGAAACCTCCACATGACTCGCTCCATTGGGCTTGCCAGGAGTCAAGAGCCCTTGTTTCCCGAGGACCTTATGGTAAGTGAACAGGTATATCTATTTTGATTGAAAACATTGTTATTGACATGTCAAGTTTGGTCATCAAAGTCTGGTTGTGGTTCTCATCAGAGCTGCTGATTAGTAAAGAGTTTGTTTTTACATATATATGTCAGTGTCCCCCATTAAGTATCAATAACCTGAATATTAATCCTCAGATCCACTCAACACCCCCAAAATCAGTCCTTCCAGGAAAATGCTGAGTTTTTTTGTGATTGTTGCGGGCAAAAATCCTTGATTATGCGGCACATTTTCTTAAAAAATGAGATGGAATATGCGGGATATTTATGCAATTTTATGCAATGAAATTGTGGGAACTTGCAAAAATTGCTGGAACTTGCAAAAACTGCAGTTTGATGAAAGAGAAATAAAAGTGATTCCCCCAACACCCTGTTCTCACTAGGCTACTACCTTAATGTAAAGAGTCATTTGTAATTACTTCCTATGATAAGCAAGCATACTGCATCACAGAAAGTGCTGGGAATATTTAAGTTCTCATCTTGTTTTATTTCAGACCTTAATAAACACATGGCTCAAACTTACAAAACATTGATGAGTCAAACAAGTTCTGTAGCTTTACAAAAGGAATATGCTACAACTTCTGTAAAAATGAATAAATAAAAGGGCTTCATCATGGCTTCATCGCAGGGTTTGCAGCTTTTCGATGATGTTCACGTTGGGTAATTCCGTCACTTCATAACGTTCCCATGGCAACAGGGGAAAATGGCTGCTCTTGTGTGAAGTAAACGCAACATTTTTCAACTTTCTGCTAAGATATATGTGACTTTTTTGCAACGAAAATGTGGGGATAATGAAATCATGCAAGCCCCGCATATTTTGCGCGGTAATCTGCAATTTATGCGGCGAAAGTGCGGCGTATATGAAAAAATGCGGCCCCTGCATAAATATGCGGACTGTGGCTGATTATGCATTGAATTATGCGATCGCATAATCGCGTTTTTCTGGAGGGACTGCAAAATGACAAAACTATCTATGTATTACACTCTGTATGTATTGCTGCAGCAGATTGACAGAGAGAGAGAGGGATGGGTTAACAGTGCAACGAGCTGTTAAAGGTTACATGTGTTCCCTGGCAGTAACATGTGTCTCTAAAAAATCTTTATCACTGCCATTTCACCAGTACTTCCAGTTCCATAAAATTCCATCAAGGGCAGCAGTAACGCCTCCTGAACTAAACAGTTTAGAGCTCTGTCAACTTTGTATCGACATCTTGCCTAAATTAGCACTGCACACAAATCTTCTTTGGAAGTTTAATTGAAAAATCCACCAAATGTTTCACCCATAAGAGGCCTGCGCCGTCACCTCCTGTCCGCTCTAATCACTGTAATGACGCCAAGGTGGAGCAGTGTTCCCTTTTCTGACCTGTTTTTTTCTGACAAACCCGTGCCATATTGTCTTAGAAGCAGCGTCTGAACCAGGAAATAAAGATGTTAAAATTTAGGTAAAGAAAGAACAAAGAAGCAATTTACATACATTGGTGACATTTCTAAAAGTTGAAGGGAAACTGATTGAGAATACATGTTTGTAGTTAATTTTCATTTCATTTTCACGTTTTTCCTTAATATAGTAACTTCCAGAAGTTGTGTGTAACCAAAAGTACAATGGATAACAGAAAAGTTTTAGTTCAATGACTGTAATTCTCACCCTGTGCTTCTCTGCAACTTATCTGATGCTCTGAAGTGGAAATTAAACTGTGAGCTGCCGGCTACAGCATGTAGGCGATAAGGCAGGAAACCATGGCATATTTTCCCCTGCAACCCACACAGGCTCATTCTAGCAGGGGTTGATGGACAGTTTTTAAAGCACTTACATAAAGCAGCAGAAGTCATTCTCGACATACTCCCACCATATTTCCACACTGGCCCATGCCTGTGGAGCGGGCAGGAACTGGGTTACTGTGTAAATGCTAACATGAAGTGCAGTCTGCAGAATTGAATTCTCCTGACTTGTTGTCTGCAGAGGCAGAGAGGAAAAACAGATTCAGAAGTCCATGTTCACTTGCTCATCTTATCTCCAGTTAAGTAGATTGGTGAATAGGAAGAGTAGGGCGAGGGAAGGATTTCGATATAGAATGCCAAGTCCCTGCATAAATAATTCACACAGAGATGAAACATACTACCTAATAACTGTTTGTCAAAGCTTAGTCTGTGTAATCATTCTCAACCTGGATTAGTTGTGTAGTCATGACGGCTAGTAACAAATTGTTGACATCTTTGTTATCTCATTCTTTAGGGTTCCAGGTCTTCTCTGGATGGCTCTCGGCCAGTTGGACAGGTAGACAAGCACATCCTGTTGCTGGTGCATGGGGTGGGAAATGCAGGTAAGAGCTGGGAAACATGAAGGGCTGATAATGATTTGCATTTTCTTCGGTTAGCAAAAGTGGTGGAGCAGTAAGAAGAAATCAGCGGTAAAACCAAGATTTTTATAGGCATACAGTTTTCTTGCTGAAGGCAGATTCACCTCTGGTCTGTGAGCTATAAGCAGTAGGGACTCTATGGATCAAGGAGGAAAGCCATAATTGGATTTATATAATCCCAAGACTACCTGGAAGCCAGTGAAGTAACTTTAGAACAGCAGTAAAATTAGCTATTTTCTTTGTTTCAGTTAAACTCTGGCAGCAGAATTCTGTAAAAACTTCTATTGGTCTATAGAGACCTGTTTGTTAGACCAGACTCAAAGACCCATATTAAAATAAAGTTAATGACCAATAACGAGAGCTTCAGTGATTTACTGAGTCGACTCGAGGATTCATATGTTGGATTGTTCAAGTCTGTAAAGATGGCTCAGGTGATCAAGATCATCAACTATATAGAGTTGAGTGTCATCGACATAGCAAGAAAACCTACCATTATGTTTAGGCATGATTACCTTAAGTGGTTACATATAACTGGAAAAAAATTTAGCTTTGTTAAAAATTTAGATTGTGGCACATCCATACGTTGTAAAAAACTGAAGCTAGTTGATTCCAAATTGTGTTTTGTCGAAAGTGTGTGCAACTGCAATTTTGGATGTGTGTGGGAAACAAGGAATGATTTAAAACTACCTCCACTGATGCGACGAATCATCGACTTTTCAGGGGCCATACTTTTTTCAGCGATTTATTTTATTTCGTACAGCATGCTAACATGCTATACTAAACTGGTAAACATTACCATATAAACATGTTAACATGTTAGCATTGTCATTGTGAACATGTTGCCATGCTAACATTAGCATTGGTGTTGATTTGTTTGATCTGTCCATTGGTTGACTCAATTCCGTGATTCATTCCAAACCCACTGTTTGTCTCCTCATTTTTCTCACTTAGTACCTCTCATGTAACTTGCAAGGAGGACTGTGATGATCGATGTGATCCATCATACAATTTAGTTCTTTATAACCACCATGGCTGCAGAATCTTAGTTTGTTTATTCATCACTGAGAGGGAAATTGGGGTGTTGGCAGTAGTTTAGGCAAAATACAGCATTATGAGGATAAAATGCATATATTTACTGTAGCTCTGCATGCCATTAATTCAAAAATTGACATTTCACAGTGGTATTTACACGGTCACCCTCCATCTGTGGGTAATTAGTAAACAAACATAGCTGGGTCCCAGCTCTCTTTGGCTGTAGAAAAGGGAGAAAGAAGAGTGAGGCAGATCATGCATAAATGGTAAAGCAGTTCTCAATAACTCCCCAAATGCTTTTGGCTAATCGTGTTGCTCGTGGTGTTGTGGGATGAGGCATTTCGAAGCTGGATTGCTGTCAACGCGAAGGAAGGCCTGTAGCGAGGCTCTGCACTCCTCCGTTGAACGAGGCGGTGAATGATGCCGCTCCACTGCACTGACAGCGCGGTGACAAGGGGGTGGAAAACAGCCAGAGTTGGAGACAGTTTTGCTAACATTCTCCGCTGCACTTCTGCTCTCAGTGAGTGTGGCTCGGTCCACTGACAGAGCAGCCATTTGTCACCTACTTCTGCAGACATGGCTGTGGAAAAAAGGCTCCTGCAAAGTTTTAGACACAATAGTATGCAGTGTGTCAGAAGGAAGTCATTTCAGTCAAGTGCTTGTGTTTTGACTAACTGAGATCAGTGTGAAATAACACTGCACACATGGTGTTTCTTATTTGTTGGTGGCAAAAAAAAACCTACTAGTGTGTACTCTGTATATTGTCGAGAGAACAGTTTGTGTTTCTGCTCAGTGCTCATATTCTCATTTTCAGCCCTGTTTCCCTCGGAGTTGTAACTTAATTTATTTATTCTTATAAAGATTGTACAGAAGCCGAGAACAGCCATGCTTGCAATACAGTTGTATGCAAAACTTTGGCCACCCTTTGGCAAATAATAATAATTTTTTCATTGAAAAGATGTAAACACTGCCTCTTGATGGTATGGAACATAAAACACAATATTTGCAGCAAACATTCATTTTCAACTTAATTTTATTTCATAAATTGAACAAAAAAATTAAATAAATGAAAACATCAATGTGGCATGTGTATGGTTTGGGCACCCTACATTGTTAGTGCTAAGTAACCCCCCTCGGTAGATATCACAGTTTGCGAACACTTAACGTAGCCAGCTAGAAGTCTATTGGTTCTTGTATTTGGGATTTTTACCCAATTTTCCTTGCAAAAGGCTTCTAGTTCTGCAATATTCTTGGGGCATCTTGCATGCACAGCTCCTTCAAGATCTACCCACAGTTTTTCAATGATGTTTCAGTCAGGGGACCGTGATGGCCGTTCCAAAACCTTTCTCTTGAGGTAGTCCATGGTGGATTTCAAGGTACATTTAGGATCATTATCCTGTTGTAGAAGCTTCAGTTTTTTACAGTTGCTGTGATGTTTGCTGATATTTAGTGGAATTCAATTCAATTCAAGTCAATTTTGTATTGTATAGCGCCAATTCATAACAGAAGTTATCTCAGGACACTTTTCAAATAGAGCAGGTCTAGACCGAACTCTTTAAAACATTAATTACAGAGACCCAACAGTACCACCATGAGCAAGCACTTGGCGACAAGGGCAAGGAAAAACTGCCTGTTAAAAGGCAGAAACCTAGGACAGATCCTCCGGCTCTAGGTGGGTGGTCATCTGTCTCGACCAGTTGGGGTGAGACAGAGAGACAGACAGACAGATGCACAGTGACAACAGTATTGGCAATGGCAATCTAGCAGGACCATGGCAGGAGGCTCCACCAGGATCGATAAGAACCTGCGAGACAAGAAAGCACAAGAACTCCGGGGAAGAAGTGAAGTTAGTAACATGCATTAAAGGGACATGAATGAGTGCAGAAAGAGAGAGGAAGGGAGGAGCTCAGTGAACCATGGGAAATCCCCTGATAGTTTAGGCCTATAGCAGCATAACTAAGGGATGGTTCAGGACTCACCTGATCCAGCCCTAACTATAAGCTTTATCAAAGAGGAACGTCTTAAGCCTACTCTTGAATGTGGTGAGGGTGTCTGCCTCCCGAACCACAACTGGAAGCTGGTTCCACAGGAGAGGAGCTTGGTAACTGAAGGCTCTGGCTCCTGTTCTACTTAGATAGACTTATAGACTATAGGAACCACAAGTAGCCCAGCATTCAGAGAACGTAGTGTTCTAGTGGGGTAATAGGGTACTATGAGCTCTTTAAGATATGAAGGGGCCTGACCATGAAGAATTTTAAATTCAATTCTACATTTTACAGGGAGCCAGTGCAGAGAAGCTAGTACAGGAGAGATGTGATCTCTTTTCCTAGTTCCTGTCAGTACTCGTGCTGCAGCGTTCTGAATTAATTGGAGCGTTTTAATGGACTTATTGGGGCAACCTGATAATAAAGAGTTGCAGTCATCCAGCCTAGAAGTAAATGAATCCATTCATCTCTCCACCCGTGCAATTTTTGCAACACCACTGGCTGCAACACAACCACGAAACAGATCCACCCCCATGCTTAACAGTTGGGGAGGTGTGCTTTTAATTAAATGCTCATTTTTTAAATCATTATTATTATTATTTATTACAATTTATTTATTTATTTTGTAATAAATTGTCATCTCGAGGAAACGTGCTTGTTATCTCAAGATAACGAAATAATCAAACCGTTATCATGAGAACACGAAAGGACATTTCCTCTTATTACTTAATGTGTTAATTAATAATGTGTACCAGAGATCAGGAGTGCCATGCTGGCATTCAGGGATGACATATTATAGATGTAGCATTAGTTCAACATAATGGACAATGAATGGAAGAAGGATATACGACATGCCAGTTAATTAATTATTTTCATACTGACCAAAATGAGCCAGCAGACAGAAAAAGTGCATGAAAAGAATCCTTGGGCCCTTTTAAAAAAAAAATGTCACTCTTCTCTTGATACATTTTGTCAGTATTGCATCCCATTTCCAGGAAACCTTTACTGCAATCCCTTTCTTTTCACTTGCGTTATTATTCCTCCCTGAGAGTCATGACAGTAATTTTGAAAGCTGAAATCCAGTGTGATCAAATGAAACAGACATTCATTTTTGAGTTCTCCATAATCATGCCGTGATCTCAAGAAAACAAATCATTTTCTCATTATAAATGTGTTTTCTCAAGATAAATTAACTTGTGATTTCAAAAACAGCATTAAAGAAAATAATTGTAAGCCATGGTCGTTTGCGGCTTCCATAGGATTGGAATAAAGCTGGGCTTCTTAAAGTTCGGGTGAAGGCTTGGATCTTTTTCGAAACTGCAGTAAGTCTAGGCATATAATTATGTAAACTATATGAAACATTGCAATATGCACACATACATTTTTTTAGAAAAGAAATCAGGCATTTTAGGCGGCAAAAATCCTCAAAATAAAAATCGTGGAGGAACTTGATTCAGTGATATTTTTTTAAAATGATGACTAACGTGTAGTGATTGAGACATTCTACAGTTGATATTAATCTTTCCAGTGCTCTGGGCCAACTATGTAATGGAGACCAACATGTGTTTGGCACTTCTGTAATGTACTTTCTTGATATATCAGCAGCGGGCTATTATTAGCTGATATATCGGATGTAGATATGTTTTCTAGATATATTTCCTTGTGTTATAGCCTCGCTAGTGTGATTAAAGCTGCCTTCGTACTTATTAGATGGATTTAATTTGCAACCTACATTACATTGTACACATTTAGTTTACAACATAGATTGGTTGCCAGGGCCATTAAGCCAACAACACAACACAATGCAGAGTTCAGAGTAAATAGGATCAGACAAGGTAATGATTCAGAAAATATTGTATTAAAGTCCATGATCCTTCCAGTCCTCCATCATAGTCTTTGAGATAGATAGTCTGAAGGAGTCAAGCTATTGTCAGTTCCTGTCTGTGCGTTCACTCCAGCCCAGTCACAAGAAAGGTCATATCACTACCATGACAACTAGTTGTCACTGTCAATTACTGACATACCAAGATTATCTCTACTCAAGGTTTACAGAGAAAGAAGAAGAGAATGGAGAATTCAGAGAGGAATTTACAGGAAACATTCATTCTCATATAGTCCACCACTAAACCTATACAGCAGCTGCTTGACCAATAAACAGCTGGATTAGTAACTCTGTGTGGCAGGCACAGCTTTTAAGCTGTTGGGTCTCTGTAAATGTTTTAAGGAGTTCGATCTAGACCTGCTCTATTTGAAAAGTGTCCTGAGATAACTTCTGTTATGAATTTGCGCTATTCAAATAAAATTGAATTGAATTGAATTGAATTGAATTGAATTGAATTGAATTGAGCCCCTGTTCAAGGCACAATATAAAGCCCAGGCGAGTGCCAGGCAAACAGATGCTGTCTTCCTGAATAGGCACAATTTTATGCTGAGCTATTGAACTTGTTAAATTTTGTTCTAGTATGGACACTATTTCCTTTATTCATGTTGCTGTCATTGGTCTGGACCTCATAATATTCATATGTGGGCCTTGTTGATCACTGCCGGTGTACAGGCTGCTGTTCCCCATGTGGGCACCTTGATGGCACTGTTGTACTTGGAATAGTTCCCTTGTCTAAGACAGGCATGGATTACATCAGTGGCTTCTCAGAAGCACGACTCATTAAAATCCTTGTCTGCTCATCCACTCACTCCACTGTACTTTCAACTTTTTTTGCAGCATCACTGGATAGCTGTATTGAATTCCTCCTTGAAGTGTTGTTGTGTTTTTGTATTTTGTCAGCAGAAGAAAATACTGGAGTTAAAATAATACACAGCACTGTAAACAATTATCAAATACTTCCTAACATGGTATAACACAGCGGGAGCATTTTTTCATAACTGAGCATGAAAGTTCACTCTTAATTTGGAAATCAAGAAAGTTAACTTTGGGTCCATTTACCAGCTTTTTTCAGAGCTTTCAACCACATCTCGTGCCTTTTATCAGTGGATGGAGTTTGCACAGTTGAAATGGAGAAATATCTAGGTCATGTGAGTACCACTGCGCTATCTCCATAACAACAGAGCAAACTCTGCTGAGCACTTGTGCCAGTCACACGGACGCACTCTCAGTTCCATTTATACTACAGTTGAGGGTCCGTGTCTGTCTGGCATTACACACTGGCGCACCCCACTAACACTAGTGTGGTCTGACCGTGAGACTGTATGATGTAGTGTCTCTTTGAATGGGGGCAGGGCTGAGGTACACACAGCACAGAGACCCAGCAGACAGTGCAGCTTTGGCCAGATTCACTCAGAATCTAGCACCTTCTGCAGGGTTGTGCGGGAGTGTGGCAGTGTCTATTTGTGCTTTAGAATATAACCGCTGTGAAACAATCAAACTGATTCACTGCCTTGTTCTCTGCGCTCTCTCTCTTCACTCACTCTGTAGTTTGTTACCACAGCTGCTCTCTGTTGAGCCAGGGAGCATGTGTAGTTGTTGCGCTTTATATGTGTTGTGCGTGTGCTCCAAAATGTTGGGCTGCATGCACCCTTGATGTCATGCTGACCGAAGCGTACCCATGCAGAAGCGGAAAGTAATAATTTGCCTGAAGGCCATGAGATGTGGTTACAAGCTCCATACATTTCTAGGGAATTGACCTTGAGTTAAGATTATCATACATTTAAAACAGTATTTTAAAAAGCAAATAGAGTTTGTGTTACTACTACTTTTTTTTTTTTTTTTTGGACTAAAATGGACCAAACTACATGTATGGACACAGAAGATGAGTGGAAAAGTTGCTCAAAAGGCCAAAAAGTGACTCAGCTTTGACCTGATGGTTAGACAAGAATAACACCCTTGCAGCTCACTTCCTTTTCTGCATCTGTCCTGCAAAATATAGTGGATATAATGTGGAAATTGCAGGGAATGTAAAGAGTTAGTTTATTCTTGTAGAAGAATCTCTAGAAGAAAAAATCTGAACTCAACTTCTGCTGCTAGCTTTTGTTCCAAGCTTTATACTGTACCATTGAATGGAGACTAGCTGTTGCAATACAATCAGATTCCATACTTAACTTAATAACATCTAATGTCTGTTGCTTCACTCAGGCCATTCAATCACCAAAATCCAACCACATGTGTATTATACTAGCCTGAACATGTGTATTTGCAGCATGAGGGTGATACAGAGATGTTGTTCATTGTTTGCTTAGGTCCAGAGATCACAGATGAGCTGGTCAAGGTGCTGCGCAAGCGCCTGGATGAAACCACCTTGGACATCATCACTGTCATGCTTGTGAGGAACTGCAAGCTGACACCGGCTGACGTAGAGGTAAATTGCTTTTTTATGTCTGCTGTAATTTGTATTGAAAAATTTGGGGGGGGAAAGCACTGCAATGGGTTTGTGTGAGTTTATTTGTGGCTGATCTGTAGTTCTGGGTACATGTACCTGTGTGGGTCAGTGAACAAATTGCTTACACTTCCAGAATTCTGGGTTTTATTCTCACTGGGGCAGCCTGAAAACTCTTGTATGCACTGAGTGCTACTGAAAATTGCTTTGGGTAGAAGCCTTCACTAAACGTTGTCTGGTCAGTTCATCCAGCCATCAGGATCTCCCGCCACTGAGGTGATGAACTTCAGCCTCCCCCAGTACTGCCTTCCCTGGCTGCCCGCTGTGGCTCACTACCTCAGGCAGAACCTCCTCATCTTCCTGCATGTTCCCAAGTACACAGACAGCAACACGGCACACCACTTCAAGGTATATTCCAGACAGACGTTTGACATGTAACAGGATGTGTTGAGTGTAATGTGTATCTGGCTCTTTAATGTACATTTTACATAAATGCCTGGAAAAGAAAATAACTAGAATTCTGAATATCAAACCTTTTTTTTGAGATACAGACAGAATGAGTTCATGAAAATTCAGCTTTATTACATCTTGGGTCTTATTTTGTAGTTTTGCTGCGAAATAGGTGGTGCTAGAAGCGTGGTGGTGTAGTGACTACTCACAGAGCTAATTTGTGAACTACTGTAAGTGGCGAGCTAACTGTTAATCGTGTCCCCCATTGGGTTGTTGAGTACCATTTTGAAGCCTTGAGTTTGGCATTATGGTCATCACCGTGACAGTTTGTCGGAGCCAGCAGAGGTGATGTACTGGGAGGTGAGCTGCTCTCTTGGCTGTGCAGTTTCAACTCGTCCGTAGCAGGAAACAATAGTGGCTCGCCTGGTCACACACAATCTTGTATTCCCGATAAACTCATTTCTGGAGCTCCCCCTGCTGGCCATTACATAGAATGCAGATTTAAGACACTTTGGTGTTGACTTCCTTCACTGACCCTAAAGCTCTGTCCATTATATATACTGTCAATGCTGTTAACACACTAGCTAGCCCGAAACATGCTATACTGAACAATATTCCAGGTACATATTTGTACTATTGAATGCTAACTGTTATGTGTCTTTAGTGGAGCAGCTTATACCCCATTAGAGGGGGGTTATATAAAAGTAGATCGAACACAGATAACAGGCTATGATAGCCAGTGACGGGGAAGCTACCCTGAAAGCATAGCTTTATAAGCTACCAATGACTTCACACTGGAAGAAGTTAAATAAGAAGAAGAAAAAAAAAAATCATACTGACAATGTACAGCTAGCTAGCCTGCCTCCCAGGCTCATGTCCAGAGGGAGGGCCTGGGGTGGCACTAGCCACATTTGACTTCCACTCCGGACTGTCTAGCGTGTGCGGGGTGGAACTCTTAAAAGTTAAGTTTTGGTGATGCTAAAACTGGCATGACTATTTTCTCATCCTGTGACCCACAATTCTTCCTTTTGTAGACATGCCCACTTGATGCTAATCCCATGCAGTTTGGGGCAAAAAGAATGCAGTTTTTTGTGTTGTTTTTGTGTATTTGAATATTTTAGCTGGGCTCCATAAACAGTGATGGAATTGCAGAAATTTGGGAATGACAGAAATGTGAGACACATACGGTACTTCATGCCATCACTGCATAAGTCAGTGCCCCACTTGTGCCACCTCAGTCAAAAAACTCTGGAAGCACCCCTGCTGCCTCTGCTCGAAGTTAAAAAATAAACCTCTATTTTTCTATTTTCTGAAAGAGTTTCCCATTTCATCTGTGGACCAACTGTTCAAATCACTCATCACAAGTGGGTTTCTGATAGCTCTCACTCACACATAATCCTAGAAACTGTTGCGGTGTGCCCAGTGTCTTAGCAGCAGTAAAAAAGCCTGGGTAATAAAAAAAAAACTAAATAAACAGTCAGCCTGATTTTTCTAAGTCCTCCAATTACTTTGAATGATTTGTGTAAAACATTGTTGCCTGCAAATCAAAAATGGCTCCCTGCACTGATAGATGACAGTTTGTCATATGCAAGTGCACTACAAACAGCTCTGTTTAAACTGATCAGGATTAAAAATGAATAAATCCGAGATCCCAGCTCTGCAAAACTGGCATTAAAATCAGTTTGACAAGTCTCATTGATGTTTTGATGTTTTGAAATAAATGCTGACTTGTGTGGTTTGATTCCATGGACTGATTTGCTCTCCTGTTCTGTCTGCAGCACTACTTTCATTTGAGCGGCAACTTGCCGGACGGTGATATCTATCTCTACAATAAACCTGGAGGCCAGGGGACGGGAGGCAAAGGTAATCACATTCTGCCAGGCCAGCATGACCTCTGTGCCACCAGGTCTCAGTCTGTGTGTCTGTCTGTGTGTCTGTGTGTGTGTGTGTGTGTGTGTCTGTGTGTCTGCTGTCTGTGTGTCTGTCTGTGTGTCTGTCTGTCTGTCTGTGTGTCTGTGTGTAAATGGTAAATGGACCTGTTTCTGGACTACTTCTTGAACATAAGATGCATGTACCATGTTGATGCTAAAATGATAATAATATTTATAGAGCACTTTCAAAACCCACGATACAAAAAATAAAATAAGTCACAAAATGATCAAATTTGAAAGGTACATTTTTTTTTCACTCATGAAACACTCTTATATATATAGAGTATTTGCTGTTTTTTCTGTTTTTAACTTAACCCTAACAGCTTGCAAACTAACTTTTATCGGTACTAATTTGTGTTTCTACTGTATTTTGCAAACTGTGACAATTTGCAAACTGCTTTGGATATCTGCCATTTAAAAAGGCAAAAATATGGGCCAACAGTGTAATTGTATGTGCTGTTTAGAAGGGTAGTAAGGAAAATGATTGTGGGACAAACAACAATAGAAAAAGTGTAGCTGATACAGGTTTTTATATGCCGAAGGAGAATCCAGAGCACTTCTGGCACCATTGTTGTGTTTTCCCATTGATTTGTTTTTTCCACTCACCTTTACATTAATCCAACCACAACCCTGAAGGGAAACTAGATAGCAATTCTCAGGATACGGCACAGTCCTCATTTTAAAACAATCGACCATTCCCCTTTTTGCTCTGTGCTCCAATAGTTGAGCAAGTCTCAGTCGGAACCTTTGTCAACATTCTCCTTTCCTGTATTTAGTATGCTATTTGCTAGGCTAATCTATGTTGAAAAGACAAACACAGTTTGAAGACTGTTAAAAGACAAACGCGACGTAGTCACCAGGATTCCCACACGTCCTGAGAACCCTGGAAATTTAGAAACTAGTTTTCCAGTCATGGAAACACCTGGAAATTGATTTAAATTACCAAATATCCTGGAAATGATCTATGTTGTCCTGGAAATTTTGATTGTATTTTAGCCTGTGCTGTGGCCAAATTAATGTTGCGGTAAGAGGAAAACTGTAGTCCGTTTGAAATGAGGAAAAACACCCAAGCACGCCACAAAAACTAGCCTTAAAGGGGAACCTCGGCAGATTTTTACCCTAGTCTTGATCACTAGAGGTCACCGAGTACAACATGCCTTTCAACTCATACGTTGTGCAGAAACCGTACAAAACAGTACTGCCTACCTGTTTTTCCACCGCTCGCTTCACTGAAAGCCCAAAATAATCGATCACGGAGTTAATGCCTTCGCAACGAAAAAAAGTTTATTTCCCCCTCAAAAATGTCCATGTCTTCACACACTGCTCTCCGATTTGTACACTTCCTGCAACAATTTCTTCTTCTGCGTTAACCTGCAACAAGTGAAATCCCACGGGACTTCAGCGCGGGACTTCAGCGCGGGACTGCTCTCGCGCTGAAGTCCCGTGGGATTTCTTGTTGCAGGTAAACGCAGAAAAAGAAATGAGTGGAGATCAGAGGTGTTCACAAGGGAAGAAGCTTGGAGTAAGAATAACGTGTGTTGTTGATCTACTGTGGAGAAGAAATGGTTCGCGTTTGTGCCTTTCCAAATGGTGGCAACAGAATGAGAAGGTACAAGTGCCTACACTTTCATCGTCTACCTTTCCATGACCATGAGATACGGCAGTTGAGGCTAGGTGTTATTCAGCTGGATGTGCAAACTCCCATACTTTGACTTTACTTGACTTTTCCATCACTGAGTGAATGTGTGTGCAAGGGTGAATGTGGCACGTAGTGTAAAAGTGCTTTGAGTGGTTGGAAGACTAGAAAGGCGCTATACAAGTACAGGTCCATTTACCATTTACCATTTAACATCTTCAAAATGTGCTTGTCTTTTCAACATAGATTAGCCTAGCACATAAAGAAAGTTGACTGAGGTTCTGACAGACACTTGCTCAACTGTTTTTTGAAGCACAAAGCAAAAAGGGGCGGGACTTAGGAAGGGTTGATTGGTTCCCCACATCAAGGACATCGCAGCTAGGGTGGGTGTCATTTCATGCCTGTCAAATGAGGTGACGCTGTGGGTCCAAAGCTCAACAGCATGTTGAACACTGTTACAGTGAATTTTTTGTCTGTTTTTTCCCTGCCCTGCACTGTTTGTTGTATTCTCATGTCTGTTAGACACTGCAAATTATTCTTCTCTACCTTTTGCTTTCTAAATGCTGAGCCCTCAACTCCTTCTGAATGATCCCCCTCTCCCCAAATTCTAACATGGACTCGGATATGTTGGTTTGTCCAACATATGTTTGCCATTTTAGTATTGAGTATTGGTTGTCCTTGTTGATACAGATGCAGTACTATATTGGTGGTCACTGTTGTTTTGTTTGTTGTAGTCTTGTGTTGAGACGACACATCGGTTTGACCTATCAGCACTGCTGAAGATACCTGGAACTTACAGTCCGTATCACCTCCTGACCAGTGCCCAAATCTAGGAACTCAAAAGCAGAACCTGTCACATTATGTTTTGTTAAGTTCCCGCAGTAGAAAAGGCTTAGAAGTACCCATGTTGAAACTATGTAAAGAAACTGAAATATTCATGTTTAATCAGGACAGGAAATGAAGTTCACCGGATCACAGGAGGCAGGTGTTTGATACTCAAAACATGTTCTTATCTAACTTGAATACATCCTCTTTCTTTTCTTTAGTCTTTGTTTTTATCCCTGCACCATTTCTAGACTGATACGTTTTCTTCATCTACCTCAGAGATGTTAGATAAGTTCTCTTTGTTTACTATGAGCAAATAATTGATTGGAACCTTTGCTGTAACCTCAGGCTTTGGCTTAGCTGTAGAGTTTTTCATTGGCTCCTCTCTCCTATTGTTAAGCTGCTGATTGGGAGGCAGTATGATATCATAGGATATGCTGACAGTTTCCTTTCCTATTTATAACCCCCCATATAAAATTCAGAACACGTTTCCCTCTGCTTGTCTGGCAAAGCATAAACTACTACACTCTGTTTCTCTTCACTAGCACTCTCAGTGCTAATTTCTTTGATGAGCATCAGCACAATTATTTTCCTGAGGTTTCTCTTTCTACTCCTTCTCAGTGTGCACCAAACCTCACTAGACACTTCACACATTTCTCTCTCAGTTTATACTGGCCTCTTTTTGTTCCACTCAGTGTTATTTTCAGGCATGTGTCTGCATTTAGATTGCCAACCAAATTTGTTCTCTTCTCAGAGATGACCTGCCTGTTGCTGGAAAGATTTTAGCTGTCTTGTTTGGCGTATGTGCCTGGTTGACAGCTGCACAAACAACACGCAAACAAGTGTCGTTTACCTCCGCAGGGAGATTGTATGTGACTAGAAGGCCTGGGTTACCAGTGTTACAATGTGGTTACTCACTCATGAATGCCAGGTGGACAGTCAGTGCAGCATGTCATTTCACACTTTTTCCTTGGTGTTAACACAGGATGTCTGTCTTAAAATGTCTTCAATAGGATTTCGACTAGGGTTGTGTATTGGCACAAATGTGGCGATACGATATGTATCGCAATAGAAGGGTTACGATTCAGCATACTGCGATATGTGACAATACTGTAAACAAGGTGTTATATTGCCGATTTAAAAAAATTTAATTTTAGGTAACCACCATATGCATAAAATCATCATTGTCGTCCATCAACATGTATAAAGATGGACAACATGACAGCTCTCCAAAAGTGAAACCAAAACAGTATAGGTCATAAAGCCCGCTGCATCCATGTTAGCTGATAAGACATGGGACATGGGCCAAAGCAAAAGATTTGATTGCATGTCAAATGAGTAGTTTCTGTCCCTCTGATGTATGATCAAGTGTTCACTTTGGTTTTAATTACTTATTTGAAGCTATATAAAAGGGGCTTCATGTCATGAATGACAGTTGAGTCCTTCTTGTTATTAAGTCGTCCATGGGCAGGACTTCGGGACATTTTTGCTTCATTTTTATACAGTGGTGGGAAGCGGAGATGTGATGTCCATCTTTTAAATGTTGATGGTTTAAACACAAAAAACAATAGTTTTTGATCGTCGATACAATATCACAAATCAAAATATCGCGATACTCAAGTGTATCAACCCCCCCCGTAAGTTTGATGATTCTAAAACCCTGCGTACAGCAATGCTGGTGAGGTACTCCCAAACGCAAAAAAGAGAACGGCACTGAAAATGGCCTTGTTAAAATAGATCAATGCCAAAAGAACTAGGGTTAGGGTTATTTTGTGGTTAGGGTAGGGTTAGGGTTGAACTTAATAGTTAACAAAGACTAAACTTATTTTTAGGTGATTATACTCTCAATGAAAACATGCATACCTCTATTTCTGACAATAGATCCTTCTAAATGTTACACACTGACCCTTTAAAAATTGGTTGGGTTAATGAAGCTAACTTTACTTGTATAAAGTTGCATTTTTCAGTCTCGCTGAATGGGTTTTTTGGGAGAACTTGTATTGATCATGCCGTAACAACTATAAAACGAAATAGGCTTTTATGATAAATAAAGACTAAATGAAGTTCAGCTAAGCTCTCAGTTGTGTCACTTTCCCTCTCAGTATATCTCCCTTACAGTCAGAAGTGATCGATCCTACTTCATATTGCAGTACTTTCTCATTCATCAACATGCTCACGTCATCTGCTGGCATTTGAAGTCAGTTAAAGGGGAATGCTGCACAAGCAAAGAAACCATATACAATCAGACTGTTTACCCTCAGTACAGGAAAAAGTGTAAGAGGTGTGGACCCGAGTCACATGACTTGGACTCCACCATTTATGAATCTGAGTTTGTTTAAAAGTGCTTAATAGGAAATAAACTATATCATATATAATATTTCATATTATTCAATGTATAACAATAACTGTAAAGAACAACAGATACAACTGTACAATGAACCCAAACAGTGAACATAATAACTGCAGGAAGTTTGTGTGAAATGCAATTTGGATGAGTTTTGAGCAGATTATTTCCTATGAATATTTGTAGAAACATTTTTATACAATTCTCTGCCTGTGTATACATTTTTTAATCTTGAATAATAATCTAAACTTTTAAAATAACAATTTCCTTTTGTCATATTCTATTCTAAAGCTGTGAAGCTTTGGCAACCCCTAGTGGTGGTCAGGACCTCCAGGTCAGGAACCACTGTTTTAGAGTTTTCCAGTAGATCAGGATTGTGGTTTTACTAGATCAGAACCAAATATGGATGTTGAGTACATGAAAGTGCAAAAGCATAGGGTGTCCAGTAAACCATTCCTGAATGTTTTTCTGTTATGGAACCGAAGGACTAAGAGCTCAGCTAACGACATAAAATACAGTACTGTTACCAGCTGCAGTGTGCCGGGTGCTCTCTGGGGATACTCATTCTTTAGTCTCTTTGAAATGACCTCTCTGCGCCCGTCAAACTGTAAACATGGAGGCTGACATGAAAAGTTTGTTACTTGCTCCTGTACTCATTCGACTTGCTGTCTAACTACTTTTTAATTGCTGTGCGGAGAAGCTCTTGACTCCATCTCATTAGTTTTAGCAGCTGCGGAATAAGGTGCTTAAGTTATATCATGTTAGCTGATCCCTGCCCCCTGTGTGTGAAGGAATTCTGTCAGTGTCACAGCTGAAGGAGAGTTTTGGCAAGCCTAGAGGTGCCCATACTCGCACCTGTGTTTCCTGCTCGCTAATTAATGAGGTGTTTTTCTAATGACTCTTTTTCTAATGTGTAAGCTGAATCCCAGCAGAAGTACTTAGATTTAGACTGGTGAGAATAAGGACCAATATAATAGCAGACCTTGACAGGGATAGGAAAATAGATATTTATTATAGTAGTGCAGTGCCCGTTCAAAACGTTTCTGTTTGGAACTTGCTGATTGCTTGCCCTCTGGTATTCCGCTTGCAGCTTTCTCAGTATCACAAACCTGCAGAGCTGGAGAGCCCCCGCATTTTACGACATAGCAGTTTCCAAAACCTGAGCCACACCAAAATCATTAATAATATTAATATTAATAATTATTATTGTAATTTCTGCTTCTTTGTTAAATTAATTGACTGAATATAGACCAAAGACACGAAAAACAAAATGTAAATAATTTTATGTATTAAAAATGTAATTCGAAATTTAGAGTATGGACTGTTATTATATGGACTGCGTTACCGCAATATCATTACTATTAGCAGCAGGTTTTTTCAACAAAACTTTCACTATATCCTGATAGTAGTACATTAGAAAGACAAAAATCAGGTTCCTCTGGCTCTTCCTAGTGCTTCTAATGATATTTGCAAGAATCCAACCAATCACCAGCAAGAAAGATAGTCGATTGTTGAGTCTCATTCCCAGGTTGTCAAATACCGATGTTGGGAATGAGACCCAACAATCAGCTATTTTCAAGCCAACAACCCAAAATTTTTTTTTATAAAAGATACTTACTGCAGCCTAAAGTTACACCTCAAACTAATTTCAAAACTTTCCTGGAACTCCCTCTGATTTTTGTTTTTTGGTCTTTTTATGATCATGGACTCTCTGTAAACTCTGAAGTTAAGTAGGGTTATGCTGTAGTACAAAAATTGACAAATAGACCTCTTTCAAAGAGGTGGATAACTGAGTTTACTTTGGTTTACCCTCACTAAACCCCTGCTCCTATTTACCTGCTTATTTAACAGCATCAAAACAGGAAGGAGGTGGTAAAGTAGTCATGCCCACCTCTTGCTTGATTTTTTTTGGGTGTCTAGGCCAAGTGTGGTGGTGTGACACATAATTTAACTTTCATGCAGGTCTAAAAACAGCTTGAAAACTACAACGCACAGCGCAACAGGGGACCGCACACCAGGCACGCCGTACCATAGGAAAAGGGCGATGTGTCTCTATTTGATCGGCCTCTTAGAATGCATTTTACATGAAACAATGGCTATGGATTTTGACCCATGACATGTGCATGATGGCTGCCTTGGGTTCCCTATGTACGATTGGATCGTTGGTTATGTGCATTGTCAGAAATTAACATGTCCACCAAGCAAACCTATGGTTAAATAGCAAGTGTATCTCCGACTTAATAATGATTAATACAGACAAACATTAACTATGAAATCCAAACATATCCTTACTAACAGAATTACCCCCAGTGGTAGTATCATACCTATATTGAGAAGAATGGGCTGAATGCATCACAGACTGTAGCCATTTTTGGGTTTATCCATCCATTCTCTTTACTTGACTTTTCCATTCTTTGGGCAAAAAGGAGCCTATCATACCTATGGACAGTTGGTGCAAGTGGACAAAAACCACACGCACGCGGAGGAAAAAATCCATGTAGACTCCACACACGAAAGGCCCTGTGACCTTGCTATGAGGCAACCTTCAACTGCCACCCCTGCTTGAAGTTTACTGATGTTAAATTGGATTGTAAGTGAATAAATGATACTGGTACATCCCTAATGCTGTTCTCTGGGTGTCTCTAATGTTGACCCAGGTACCATGTCGGAGCTGGTTCAGCAACTCTTCCCACCTTCTCAGTTTAAAGGTACCACCATGTCTTCTTCTGTCCCCTTTATAACCTTTCACAGCCATCGTGTTGACTGAAGCCCATGCTGCTGCTGGCCCCATGTGCTCTGCTCTTGGCCCTTTTTCTTCATGGCATTTCTTTGCAGTGCTGTAACTCCTTCAGTTAAGGCTTCCCACAGCATATATATTCTTTTTTTTCTGTATTCATCTTTGAATTGCCTGTAGATTTGGCATGGACCTCCAAGGTGCATGAAGTATGGTGTTTGAGCCAGTGTTTCCCTGCTGTTACTGTAAATTTGTCCTGGACTGGCTTTTGTCACACCGACTGCTGTTTCGAAGAAGCTAACGCAGCCACAATAGGTATTTTAAATACACTGAAAATAGACTCTCCTACTAAATAAATATCAAAAAATATTTTGAACAGACTTATTCTCTTTGGACATTTAGGGTCCTGTTTTTGTGGCTGCGTAACAACCAGAGCAAGCAGCGCTCCAACAATTTGGAATTTTCCTTTGGTGCCCAGCGTAGAGAGCATGGTGCACAGGTGAGATTTCAACTCAAATAAGGCAGAGCATTTTCGGTGGAAATTGGGTTTAGACATTGAATAAACACGCCAGAAACACATCTAAAAAATCTAAATGATTTTCTCTACATTTAGATTATTTTATTTCGGGTAAGGCTAGTGGTTTATGATTTAAATGCATTCTGAAAATGTCACCCTGTGTTTATGTACTGTATAGGAATGGTGTGATAGAGTAACTGTGTGGTGGAAGATGCCAGCCTTGAGTTGACACGGTCAGCTATCATGAGCAACCAGTAACTAAGGCAGCATGGGATGGATAAAGCGTTCCATCTACAGCTAGAACTGCATTGTCCATTTTGATATGCAGATTGTCTTTCATACTGCGTTGTTGCTTGAACTTGGCTTGAGCTATTTATACAAGTAAAGTTGCAGCACCAACAGGTTCCTTAACATAGCACAGAACATTTTGCATCGTTCCTCACCACTCGTACAATAATGCAAGCTTGTTAATGCGATCAGTGGCTTTGCTTGTGAGGCCAGCTCAAACTTGTGTAGTTCTTCCATGCAGATCAAATTTTATGGATTTTATACATTCTAGTTGGGTGAGAAGTGTTATGGAAGCTCAGTATTCATGTTAAATTACCTATCATTAAGCCCTGCAATTGTTATCAGGCTGTGCCATCATTAATCTGCTGAGCTCTCTGACAGGAGACACCATTTTCTAACCCTTACCTAATGTACCTTTAAGCTGTCTTTCTTCTGCCACCTAAGCAAAAGGAAGATACTTGGGAGCTTCACCTAGCCCTGTATCTACATTGTATCTGCTGAGGCTACTGGCTTTTGAATTACCATCCCTGCTTATCTAGCCCCACTGCTTTTACAAACAGCTACTAATCAGCAACCCCGGCCAGGCCTTGTCCACCCCACACCACTGTCTATCTAGATCCACCATTGTTATAAATAGCCACTAATTAACCCTGTCCTGCATAATTCGAGATGGCAATAGAGCTTTATGCTATATATTGATTTTGCAAACTAGCTTAAACCAACAATAGCCAATGAAAGATTCACCAGTCGTCAGTGCAAATGGTTAGCTGGTTTAGTCCATTTTATGTCATTTCAATAGTGCTCCTTTCAACACTTCAAATCTATAATCTGGATATAATGTTGCTTTTATTTGGAAGTCCATCAACCAAAACCTCTGCTATGTTGACGGAATATCCTCATTTACGTATTCTCCATCTGTGAATGTGTTCCCACATTCAGCAATGCACTCCAAAATATTATAGCTGCCCTCTGTAATCTGATTTTTTTAGGTACACAGTGTTTTCCTTTGCTTAGCATGTTTCAACACTGCCATCTTGATTGACGCAGCTTTATCTGACTCATCTTTTAAGTTTTTGTCAAGCGTAATTTTGAAGCTAAGTATAACACTCAACGTCTGACACCACATTTTCTCAGCAAAGTACACAACTTTGCTGTGAAACATCCGTTGTCCAACTGGGCTGAAAAGGCCTGTCAGATTTGCTTGCCATATTGTGTGCAGATTATGGCGGTTTGGTTTCCTCTTTGCCATGTGGTTACTGGTTACAGCACGAGGACCACTCAGCATGAATTGTGCGCATTTTTTTTGTAGATGGAGATTTGACATAACATCATGTCATTGCTAATATTACTTATAGTTATTATTACTAGTATTATTACTACAGTTACTATTATTACTATAATCACTGCTCATTGTCCCCCTGGTCGAGGCAGACGGCCACCCACCTAGAGCCGAAGGGTCTGTCCTAGGTTTCTGCCTCTTAAAAGGCAGTTTTTCCTTGCCCTTGTCACCAAGTGCTAGCTCACGGTGGTACTGTTGGGTCTCTGTAAATAATGTTATAAGTGTTCGGTCTAGACCTGCTCTATTTGAAAAGTGTCCTGAGATAACTTCTGTTATGAATTGGCGCTACACAAATAAAATTTAATTGAATTGAATCATGTCAACATTAAAGGTCCAGTGTGTAACATGTAGAATAGAATATAGAATGATATTTATAGGTGTTTTCAATAGTATATAATCAGAATTGTTGTGTTTTCGAGCCACTTTTATCTTCAGAGTGAGTGGGTCCTCTTCTACAGAGTCCGCCCCTGTTTCTACAGTAACCCAGAACAGACAAACCAAATACTGGCTCTAGATAGTTCCTTTTGTTTTTTGCGAGTTTCTCGTCCATCGTAGTTCTCCTACAAGCTCGGAAGCAGAAGTGACAAAAGTACACACATTCTATACTCAAGTAGAAGTACAGATACCGGACTCTGGTAAAAGTAGAAGTTCTGATTCAACTTCTTTACTCAAGTAAAAGTGAAAAAGTACAGGCTCTGAAATGTACTCAAAGTATATAAGTAAAAAGTACTTCTCTGAAGGACATTTCTATCGGCTGTTTCTGCTCAAAGGTAACTGAAACTTTGAATAGGGTCAAGCTTTCCTCTCTTGTTTGTTTTGTCTTGTTATGTCTTTTTTCTGTCATGCGTGATCTGTTTCAGTCTTAAAACTGAGGTAACAAGCCTGTTTGGAAAATCGGGAGTACAGATTTGTGTACAAATTTAGGTTGTAAAAGGAAAAAGTCAGAAACGTAAATACTCAAGTAAGGACAGATACCTGAAAAAACTTATTAAGGACAGTAACAAGTATTTGTACTTTGTTAAATCCTACCTCTGCTTGGAACGCAAGCAGTATTTAAATGAGTGCAATCTGCAACTTCACCACTAGATGCCACTAAATCCTACACACTGGTCCTTTAATCTGTTTTATCACTAATCTAATTTAGCAGCTTGTAATTATAGGGCCACACTAATGTAATATATAACATGATAAGTATTGTAGTGTTGTATAGTATTTGCTTTCCCAAGGGCCACTGAAAAGGGCTTTGCATGCTCATGCTGGCTGGCTGTGGGTCATTGTTGCACTTTTTGATCTGAAAATGTCTTTACAGCATCTTGATTGATTATTTGATTTTTTCTTTGTCATTTGTGCACTATCAGTTCAATTCTACGGAGCCCCTAAAGGGATATGGGGGGAAAAAAAAAATTAAACGTTTCTCATGCTCCAGGATACTTTCTCGTGAGCACCAGAAAGTATCTCGTGCTCACGAGAAACCTTAGGTTAAGCACAGGCAGTTGTGCTTCCTGTGCGTATGCCTCTAGGCTCATTGACTCCGATCTCCGTGGTCAAATCAGCTGCACAATTTCAAGTGTTTCATTTATATATATGTGTGTTATATTCTCAGCATTATGGTAATTGCGGAGAAACAGCGTATTCACTTCCGGTTTTCAAAATAAAGGTAGTAAGAACAGTAAGCTATAATTCGAACCTACATTTAAAATAAAATATGTTACATTAAAGTGTTTCATACGACCATGATGAATAAAAAAACATACTTAATATCAAGTATTTCTACTGCACCAATGTGGAGAAATGCCAAAACAAAAGTTCCATATTTGTATCTCCAAGTGGCATCTTTTCTCATATTTGAGCTACTGTAAAAACACATTGCTCAATAATTCCTCGCTATGGATGGTATATTTGACTTCTACACATATAAGACTACAAGTATACTTAATATCAAGCATTTTTACTGCACCACTTCGGAGAAATTCAACAATAAAAGTCCATATTTGTAAAACCAACAACCAACGTTAGCTAAAGTTAGGTTCTCTGTCGCTGAGAGCTTGTTTGACAGCCTGGTGGTAGCAACTGCATGAGCATGTGTTGTGGCAATCAACACATGGCTCATTTGAATATTAAAATTAGCCATGGGTTGATAGGTCAGGACACGAAAATGTAACTAATGAAATTACTTATTTTGACACAGCTTTTTTGACACACATTTTTAGCCAATACGTATTAAACTAACAAGGTAATGTGTCAAAAGGTGGACCTTTTTTGTTATTTTCTCAAAAGGAGGACAAATGAGTGTCCGGCTTAAGGCTGCGCCTGCAGCCAGACAGGGCATTTAAAAGCCGGACTGTCCGGCCTAAAGCCGGACGAATGGCCACTCTAGTAACGGCTGGCTTGACTGCAGTTAATGAGCCTAGAGGCATACGCACAGGAAGCACAACTGCCTGTGCTTAATCTAAGGTTTCTCGTGAGCATGAGAAAGTATCTTGTGCGCATGAGAAATGTTTAAATTTTTTTTTTTTTTCCATGTCCCTTTAGGGGTTCCGTACAAGTAATAGCTTCCCTCTCATAGTGAACGGATAATGATATGGTTTTATGATTTTGGTGTATATATTCAGTAGTGCTGTCAAACGATTAAAATATTTAATCGCGATTAATCGCAATACTGTCATAGTTAACTCGCAATTAATCGCACATTTTTATCTATTCTAAATGTCCCTTGATTTCTTTTTGTCCCATTATTTTTTTCTCATTTTAATGCTCTTATCAGCATGGAAAAGTGGATCGGCTTGCTTTGTGCAAATGTTGTTTTTATTGAAAAGTCATCCATTGTCGCCTGGCTTTGACGAGGGGGTGGAGAATTCAGCTATGTGCTTGGCCATCAAGTGGTATTTCAGACTGGACGTGCTGCGATGATAGCTCAGTTCACAACGACAAAACACACAGATCACTTTGGTCTTGTCAATGGAACCATTTGGCAACTTTTTAAAAGTAAACTTTCCATTCAGAATATTATTGTCATCCATTTTGGCGTCTCGCACTCGCCATCCACTCAAAACGTAACGTCTACTACTCTTAAACAAGTGTGTGCGGCGTGCCTGTTGTTTTGTATCTAGCTAGATCCGGTGTGGTGTTTTAGTTTTTCTAACGTTACTAGTTGTTGAGCATGTGAAAAAAACTACAAAGTGTGCTAGGTCAAATCGAATGTTAATTGAATTGAATTAAAATTGACGCCGTTAAAATTGGGTTTGCGTTAACGCTGTTAATAATGCGTTTAACTGACAGCACTAATATTCAGTTAATCAGATTTTGATGAAATATATATATATCTTAGTGTGATTAAACTAGTATCGGAAATTTTACATGCTAAAATGCATCTGTGTCTCATCTCTGTCTGTAAGAGACAGGAGGCAAGACATCCACCCCCCTCCATGCATGGCACTGCTTACTCACTGTGCAATAATAGCTGGTGTCAAAGCTAACCCATCGCTGTCTCACACAAGTGGTGTTATGAGGTGATGTGATGAGGCTCATGAGAATGAGGATCACAGGTTGACTGCCCTTTTCAATGATATTAATGATGCTGTGACAAAAGAGAAGGATAAGATGACAGACACTATGGCAATTAAAACAAAATATTCCCTTTCCATTTTTTTTTATACAAATGGTTATTTGCCTATTATAACCCCAAGGCTGTATGAAAATTGTTTCCTTGTCACGGATGTTTGTATGATTGCGAAGGAAAACAAATCATTTGTGACTCTGAAAGCAGCAGAAATTGGAATCCTAATGAGCCGACTAGATTTCAGTTTTTAATGTTCTGTATAAGTTCATTGGTCATTGGTGCATCCCTCTGCTTTTTTTCAGGAATTGCCTGCATCGCCCTCTCATTTGTGGACGCCTGTGGTCGTCCCCTTCAGGTTCAAGCTCAAGACTGTGCCCGACCGCAGAGATCAGAGAACTGCACAATCCCCCTACATCGTGACCATTTCGATGAGCTGACCACTGTGGGTAAAGTGTACTCAATCAACGGCATCTCAGGTGCAGGTAAACACAACAAATTAGCACTTGCACCCTGATGGGTGGTTAGAGTCAGATAGAGGATAAGGAAGTGACAAAACAAATGTAGGTAAAACCAAATAAACCTTCAGTGCAAAAGCAGCCAGCAAGAAAGTCTTCATTTTAGTCCCTAGTCCTGTCATATAAAGCTAAATAATCGGTAAAACGTGAACATGCTCAGTTTACTGATGACATGAAGGTCATGATTTAATGGAGCCTTGAAGCAGTAGTGTGCCTAAATGTCAGAAAATGCAAGATGAAGCAAAAATGAAGGTCCAAAAATGTCTCTAGTAATTAAGTGTAGCTTTTTCTTCTTCACCCTGCATGCATTTGTTTTCATTGAGTTGTCACATATTCACACATGAATGCAATTACTGTCCCTAATGATATGGTAAGGTAAGGTAGCGTAAAGTCAACTTTATTGACGCTGAGAAATGAAACTGTCACAACAGTGTGTCTGTGTATATATATATATATATATATATATATATATATATAAATATAAATAGTATAGTTTATAAAATTACTTTATACAGTGCAAAGCATGAGAATGGAACTACCCAGTGACCACGTGGTTGAAGACTTACATCATAAAGAAACAGCCATTGCTAGGGATGAACCGATATATTGGATATATTATATATATTTAACATTGTATATTAGTTACAAGGTTTCAGCAAGTGCCAGGAATCATTTCGTTGTATAAACTGCACTAATTTTGAAATGGATTAATTACAGTAATAAATGTTGAGCTATGTCATTGGGTAACAGTCCGGCTGTTAAAAATTTAAAGTCTAAATACTAAATGCCCCGGAAATTGAATGAGGAGTAAATCTTCCTGATTAATGAATACAACTCTTTAATCTGAGGAGAATATTGTTCCTGGAGGCTAAATTTGTCAATGTGACACTGCATTACAGTGCCATAAATCAAAATTAAATTTTAGTTTTGGGAGCTTATTAATATAATTGTGTTTTGTAAAGTGTTAGTCATACTCTGTAGTTGGTGTTTCAACAGAAAAGAAATGCCATACAAAGACTCCAGCTGTTTTGGAGATTAAAAATAGAGCCATCTTCCAATGGTGGCTTGACTTCATTAAAACATTACTGTGCAGTGACAGTCATAATACATGTCCCCATCTGTGCACTAGTATATAGTTTGAAGACATGTTAATCAAAGGTTACCCAAAGTATTAAAAGTGCATGATGTGAAATGTTGATGAAACACTGGTGGGATCAACGTAGAGTGTATGAAAGAAGCAGCAGAGAACAGAAGGCAGGAGAATGAGCATTATTATTTATTCATCCGCCTGTACAAGTGAAGAATCATTGTCTTGTACTTTCTGTGTTTTATGTAACTTGAAGTGTTTACTGTACAGTATATGTCCTGTGCTGTTTTTATATTTCAATTTAAAGAAATGACACCATGGTGGAGGTAATTAATATGCTTTATCTCAGGTCGGGGGAACAGTTAGTACTGCTGATCCAATATTAAACGCAAAACATGTCATTTCTGCCCCTATGGGGTCTCTCACGTCAAAACAATAACAAAAGATGAAGTTTGATGGTGTAGCGTGGAAGTTGTTGTCTTGGCATCATTGCACCACCATTGCCGTCATTGCAGTCAGCTTCTCCCGGTTAGGATTCCTTCAGTGTTCATGGTTCAGGAGGTTTCTACCGGGAGCCCAATTATCCACAGAGGTCTCCTCCTCTCCAAAACAAACTGACTAACTGATTAAAACTGCTAAAAACACAGAATAAAGCAGCTCCACCTTAAAAATCAGCGCTTCTCAGACCCTGTTTGGGTGGACAAAGGGCATCCCAGAGGGGATACGATCTTATTTATCTATTTTATCTATTTTAAATCTACCATTTATCCCCTTTTAGGAACTAAAACAACGTATTAGGTGGGTAGGAGTCAACAGGATTTTCCTCTCTACTGTTTTGTCTAATGTTTTTATCCATTTTTATCGATGTCAAAGTGTTAAAACATACCTATCCTAGTTGTGTCTGTTTGTCTTCCAACAGAACCACAGCTGTATGTGCGTTTTGACATCTGGGAACAAGGCAATGTCAGTCCCTTACAGCTGAGTGATAAACTGCAGGGGGCGTTGCGTCACGCACTGTGTGACGTTGTCATGGAGCTGAGAGTCTTGCCAAATCCTCTTTGCCTGGGGGCGCTCTGCCCCACAACCAAAGCTCAGAGAGAAGAGGCTAAAGGTGAGGTCATCACCAAATGGTTATTTGTTTAATTGCATGGGGAAGGGCACTGTATAGCATTAAAGGGCCAGTGTGTAGGATTTAGTGGCATCTTGTGGTGAAGTTGCAGATCGCAACACCCTCTCTGCCCCACAACCAAAACTCGCAGAAAAAGCAAAGATCCTATCTAGAGCCAGTGTTTGGTTTCTCCGTTCTGGGCTACTGTAGAAACATGGTCTCCACTCCCTCAGTCGATAAAAACAACTCATTCTAAGGTAACACAACGGTTCTAATTTTTCAGGTGATTATATTGTAATGAAAATATTACTGTCAATATTATATTCAATTTCTGACAATAGATCATACCAAATTTTACAAACTGGACCTTTCTAAGAAAAACAACACCCTAAAATGTAATCTAATGTAAACCCGGTTGAGTAATGGTTAATGGACTGCACTTCTTAAGCTAGTTCTTGTTGTTTGACCACTCAAAGCACTGTACACTACATGCCAGTGGCTGCCATGCAAGGTTCTAACTGCTCATCAGAAACATAAAGCATTTAGACACATTCAAACCAATGCACAGTATCAGGAACAATTTGGGGTTCAGTATCTTGTTTAAGGACACTTCAACATGCAGCGAAGGGAGCAAGGGATCGAACCGCCAACCTTCTGAGTGGGATTAGTGGACGACCCGCTCCGCTCTACCTCTGAGCCACAGCCGCTAGTGGAATTTTAGTTCAAAGGGACTCAAAACTACTCTGTGACATAAGATGTAAATTTTACTTCTTTGTGGTCATCTCTTTCTGAAATGTGTCTTTAGGACTGTTGATTACTTTGCCTGAAGTGAAAGAAGCTAAGGACAGCCCCAGACAGCGCAGCGGCTCACGGGTCTTTAAAACCAGCCCTTCTCCTATCACCTTAACCCAAGCTGTGGTTGGCATCCCTGTGACAGGGACCAGCACACCCGAGTCCACAACACCCACCAGCAAGAGCACCCGCCGTAGCTTCTGGGACATACTGGTGAGCTTTCATTGTGGCTCTCTGCTCTGTGGTGCTTTAGTATTTATTACAATACTTGACATAACATATTATTGTAAATATATTGTAAAAAATCATATAAATACGGTCTAGACCTGCTCTATTTGAAAATTCTCCTGAGATAACTTCTGTTATGAATTGGCGCTATACAAATAAAATTGAATTGAATTGAAAAATTAAATTAATAAAACTGTAGTTATTCTTTGATTTTCTTTTTAATTTTCTAACTGAAATAATAACACCTACCTTCCTACTGATTCAGTGTTTAACCTCTGTCTGTTTATCATTAATAATTTAATACCAACAGACCAAAATGTCATGAACAAATAAGCCAATCTCTAAACTGAACTTGATCAATGTATGTATTGATTTTAATTAAAAACCAGAAAAGTCTCTTATAGACCTTTTTCACAGCAGCCATTTTGACATGAAATAGTAGGGTAAACACAGATGTTACCAATCATACAAATTAAGGATCCATTCCATTTAGTGTAGCTGGGCCTTTCCAGTGAGCCAACGTGCACAATAGCAGCACCTTGACTCTGTTTGACCTGAATGGAACAGAACCCTAATTAGTATCATTGGTAACACCTGTGTTTACCCTACTATTTCATGTCAAAATGGTTGCTATGACAAAGGTCTATCTTCATAGACTCTGCACTACAAAACTATGGGTCACTTCTACTTCTTCACTTCTACAAGTCCTGTTCCCTGTTCATGTTTTACCTTTAGGCCCTATAAGAAGACATACTGTATATTACCAGTGTCCATTATTATGCAGATGATACCCTGCTGTACAGGGACAATCTTGGACACTCAGGGCTAGCTTTCTGGGGCATATAAAGCTAATATTCATGTCATAGGTCATGGAAATGCAAATTCATTAACTCTGCACCCTAAATCATTAGCCTACAACATGGCCAAAAACTGCTGAAAACTTCATGACAACAATCTCAGTCTAGACCAGTATGCAAGTCACTGGCTATTTGTAGGATTATTTTTATATCAGTTAGCATTAATATCTTTTGAGGAACGTCTTGCTACATTTTAGACTTTATATGAGCCAGTGCACCACCTAAGACTTCGGATGGAACCTTGTTTGTGGTTTCTACTTTTCACAGAGCTTATATCGGTTATTTGCGACTCAAATGTGTCCCATTCAATTTTATTTGTATAGTGCTAATTCATAACAGAAGTTATCTCAGGACACTTTTCAAATAGAGCAGGTATAAACCGAACTCTTTGTAACATTATATATTTTATAACACTTTCCATTCTTGCAGAGTAAGCCAGAATCATCAGAGCTTGGGAGCCCTAAGACAACTGACGACATAGTGCAAGAAAAAGGAGAGGAGGGACGAGCAGCACGACGAAGACACAAGACGGAGAACGTGAAGCAGCAGTGGAGCCAGGAGAAAGCTATCGCTGTGGAGCTGGAGCAGGCTCAGAGGTGGGTTACAGCTGCAACTATATCAGTAACATCACTGCATTTAATTATTAATAAAGCTGCAAAGATTTGACTTTTACTGAAAGAGATTAATCAGAATCTGCATCTAACCTGACTAAAATAGAAAGTGTGAAATGTACATGTATGTTTTTAAAGCAATCAATACATTTATTTATTTACCCTGTGCGGAGTGTCTTAGTGGTATGGTTTTCTGTCCAACCAAAATATAGATAGATACATTTAGAGACTAGCTGGTGAACATAGTGGACCATCTAAAGTGCTAGATATTTTAAGACTTGGTTGAGACCAAACCAGAGCTGAAAGGAGAGTATTTATTAGAATCATCAGGATGACACAAACGTGTGTCCAGATGAATGACAATGTTACTCTATTCTACTGGATGTTGAAGTAGGTAAATGTTTGCATGTTACACGTTCTCCATATTAACTCTGTCATGACACCAACTCTTTGACAGTACTGTATATAGAATAGACAGAGCTTCCGGGTCTGTGAAGTGAAGCTAACGTGGCAATTGTCTTAAACCATCATTCTGTGTCATGGCCAGCAGGGGGCAGCTCCATTGGCTGCAATACAAAATGAGAGCATGCAGTCTTATGGAGAAATAAGCCGTTTACGTAGCCGTGTGAGCCGTATTTCAGTTTTAAAAATAACCAGAACCAATTGCTAATGTGTGAAAACTCACAAATGTGAAAATGTCATGTGAGATCGAGTTGTGAAAGCCAAAACTCCCAGCACTTGACCAAGAAATCACTTATTATTGACAGCGATCAACAAGCCCTTAAACCTCTTTTACTTCTATTGGGCCTGTAAAGCTGTCTTAATGCAGTAGGGATGTTTTGTTGCTGTGTAGGAGGCAGGTGTCTCAGCTGGAGGAGGGAGATGTGGGAACTCTGCACCCCATCTACCAGGTCACCTGCCAGCCTTGGATCACTTTCATGTCTAAACTTGGTAAGTGTTATTTACTTCTCCTATATTTTCTGCAAGAATAGGAAAACCTTTATCAGAAAGACAGCATCTTCAGGATGAGATATTTTATATTGTGTAAGCTGAAGTACTCACTCTCTGTATCTCTGTTTTTCCCTCTGACCTGGCTGCTGGTAAACAGGCTGCCCTTCCATTCAGCAGTGCACTGCTGAAATTGCTTCTCACTTCCTTCTGCCTTCCATCTTGGCAGAGATTGTCAATTTGGTCAGTTCTCTTGCCAGTGATACAACAGTGAAGGCATTTGAAAAGAAAAGGTGAGTTGTTTGTGCCGAGTATGAAATGTTTGGTAATTTTGTTCAAAACTGTAATATACTATACATATCCTCATCCTTCCTTTATGAAAATCAAAAGTGACGCTGCCACATAGTGCTGTGAAATTTACTTTATTATTGCTGTTATATAGCCATGGTTTTAATGAGCTTACCTAGTTGAATAAAAGCTGACTGCTTACATACTGATGTTCCAACTATTCACAATGCATAGACTTCAGCTATCTCAGGTGCAGCGTGCAGCGAAATTTGGATAGTTTTTATCGCTTTCAGTTCAGCTGACAATTGACCCTTCCTAAGTCCTGCCCCTTTTTGCCCTGTGCTCCAAGCAAGCCTTGGTCAAAACCTCAGTCAACTTTCTACTTTCCTGTACTTAGATATGCTATGTGCTAGACTAATCTATGTTGAAGGCAACCACATTTTAAAGATAAAAAAAGAAGATAAAAGCAACATATATGAGCCACTGAACAGCTTCAAAAGGAATGAATGGAGCCCGCCCCCAACACTGTGTCTAGTTCTTCTCAATACATCCATGAGGTTTTGACTGAAACCTAAGTCCTGAAGGGGCAGGACTTAGGAACAGTCTGACAGCCCTTCATTCTCACACATGTAAGGTACATCGAAGACCAGTGTTGTGTTAATATGTACCGCAATAATGGTTTTCTCCGTTTCTTTTCTTCCTTTTTAGCTGCCCCCCATCTGGAGACATGTTTGTACCCTTCCCTCTTGTCCAGAACCTCAGCCAGCCTCCAGGCGCCACTAGGAGCTTCATTCTCATTGGCCGCAACTTCTATCAGTGGCACTGTAGCACAGAGCAAGGTAACTGCGAAAGCCAGTGTCTCCGAACAATCACAGCAGCCACATACGGCCTCAATGCTCATTCCTGCACTGCTTACTTAACTGTTTACCATACACATTGCAACACAATAAATGGTTATCAGTCCATTGATAATCTATAGTCAGTTAGGTTTTCAAATACTCTATTCTGACTGTTTACTCTCCTGTTTAGATGTTGCATGTAGAGGCTGCAGCAGCAAATGAATCTGAACTTTTGCATCTATCCATGACTCAGTGACTGAGAAGCTAACAAGCACTTAGTGTTAATGAATACATTTCCAAAAAAAGGACTAAACTGAAACCACACAAATAATAGTAATGAAGCTGGCGTTCCTGTTAATGGCCATTTGACTGTAACAATAGCATGAGAAGCCCAATGTAATAGAACCAAAATTCTATGTTCTGGCTGTGGTTGCAAACTTGGAAATTTGGAAATAACTCTAAGGGAGTCTGAGCACATAATACCTTTATAACCTTAAATGGCAAAATTCTGTTGTTACTGCATGATTTTCAAAAAAAAACGCAAAATCCTGTTTAACTGTATTATACGTTTTGGATCGTATTTCATTGTCTCACATGAAGCAACATGGACGACGAATGCAGACCCTTGGATTTCTCTAATGCAGTGCTGTGTTTTCTGGTCTAATCACGGGCCAAAATATTAAGAATATTTTGAAGTCAGAAACAAAATTACAAGCCGGTCTGAAAAGTAAGGTAACTGCATCTGCTGTGTTTATCAAACAAGTTCTATACATCCCAAACCTTATACCTTATTCACCATTAGCAGCACAGTCAGAGGATTTAAAGCTCAGTAATTGGATGTTTGTTTTTCTACAATGCTTTCTGGGACTTGTAGTTCAAGGTTGGCTTCCCTCAAAAAATCCTTTTCTTTTGTTTCTCTAGTCAATCAGACTCCACTGCTCTAATGTCAGTCCAAATGTAGGAAATGCCCCAGCCACTCACCTTTATCAGAATATTCATTGCTAACTGTGATATCAGACCTCTTTTTTAAGCCATAACTATGAAGGGAATACAAATAGAGACTTAAAATTTGAAGAGAATACTCTAATAGTAAAGAAAAGAAAGAAATGTTTTACAGTGTAATTTAAGTGAGCATAAGGAGACCATAAGGTATCCAGAGGAGCTGATATTGCATAATTTTTATGAAGGCCTGTATTAGTGACAGTGTGAAGACTTCAATAAACTCAGCAGCATGTTGCTAACACCTGTTTTAACCTCCTGAGCAGTGTAGAGGAAGAGGTCCAAGCATGAATGTCCTGTGTTGAGGCTTTTAACATGCTGTCCTTGCTACTGCTCTTTGACTCTGTGTTGAGAACTGTGTTTCTGCGTCCGTGCTGGCAGCCGTCTAACATTAACTGTTATTTTGCAAGTGTCTGCTTACATCAGTTTGTGTCGAGCTGTGTGTCTCACTGTCCATGCGCCTTGCTGTTTGTACCATCTCTGTTTGCCTACAGAAGACAGTTCAGATGAGGAAAACACCCCAGTGCTAAATAGGTTCACACGTAAGTTGGCCTTTCAGCTTAACACATTGATGCTGATGGGATGTTTTGAATGCTTTTTATGATAGAAATGTAGTGCTTCATGTATATTTTTGTTTTTCTTTGCACAAAAGCAATTCAAATGTTTTACGTCTTTACATAAGGCATAAAACAGAGACATTGGGCCCTATTTTTGCGGGTCAAGGTGCGTGGCACAAAGCACAGTCAAGTAATTAAAAGGGGCATCTGTGATTTTGGAGAGGTTAATTAAAGGTTATATGTTTACGAAATCCACTCGAAATTGGTTGTCACACTAGAGCGCCAGTATCTCAGACCAAAACAAACAAAATAAAAGCTCACCAAAAAAAACAAAATAAAAGCTCACCAAAAACTGGCAAAAGTCTTCCAACAATCACTGACGCTGGTTTGGTTGAAATTTACACTTAATTCGCAGAATTAGATGGAAGTACTTCCACCGAAAATTCTTGTAGTACCTTCACTTAAAGTAGACAGAAACAAAGTAAAACTCACCAAAACCGTCTTTGTAAGTCTTTCCATTGTTCCAACAATCACCAACTCTGCTTGGGTCGAAATAAATCCTTAGTCCATTAAAAGTACGTCCATTAAAAGTTTATGCCACTGACAAGCTCAGATTGTTATTCTAAGAGACAACATTATGGAAAGGATCCCTACAGAGATAGAGCTTTTGTTTTTTGTTTGTTTTATTTGCTTCAATCTCTGATTTCAACCTGCCTTGATTTGGAACAGGCCTCAGGCCTCTATATGGGACAGGCCTTTAATCCTTTTCATACAAAACTCTTGCTCAACAAATATGGGAAATACTATCAAATTGTTTGTTTTAACCAGTATGAAAATTATTACTATACATACTACGTATATAAAAATGTGGCTATTGAATAACAAATCATTCAAATGAACTTTGATACATTGATGTGACTGAACCGAACAATTGAATTGTGGAGAATCTATGATGCCTGTCTATTGATGTGTAGCATGTCCAACAAAAAGAAAAGAAAAGTTTAAACATTTACATTTGTGTAGCTTAGAACTCGCTCATGCATCATTTTAAGAGGTTTTATACATCCAAAGTACTTCTATAAAATCCAGACCAGGCCTCTAGTTGAGACCTGCGTTTATTAATCAAAATGTGAAGCCACACCAAGCTAGAAAAGCGGGCCTGCTTTCAATTGGATTCTTTAGTTTTATGGTAACTAAATTTTTGAATTTGAATCATTTATAACTTCAGTTACTTACAACAATAAGTTAAGTAGTAGGGTTGAACGAGTACTCAAGTGTTTGGTACAGATGATGTACTTACAATGCTCCATACATGTAAATATAGCAACTTTTATATAAAAGAACTTGCTCTCTAAATAATGATCTTACTCTTGTGATCAAAAAATAGTAAAACTAGTAAAAAAAAAAAAAAGTTTTCTAATAAATATAGCAACTTCTAATCAACCCATATCACTTGCAGGCTTAAATTACAAGTTCAGTAAGCCCTGCCCACAATAGACTCAAGTACAACCCACATATCTTTTTACACCCCACCCATTCAGAGTATGGCTACAAATACTGATAATTTAGTTGGTTTAAAAGACATTGAAAGGGAAAATGGAATAAATTAAAAACTGATAGAGTGAAGTAAATTAGACATTGACAAGATAATAAAAACAAATATATATAAATTATAGTGCAGTTTTATTGTTCCATTGCAGTAATAAATAGCTGTAAAGCTGCTTTTTCTCCTTTGGCTTTAAAAAGTTGAAGCACACATTAAGTCTTCTGCAAGTTGAATTTGAATCTGGTAAATACCATTGCCTGATCATTTTCTGTTTCCTTCCTGCTAAGATAGAGTATCTACAACATCTACAGATAGGTATGGAAATGGAAAATGGATGGAATCTGGAAAATATCCCTCACGTTAGTGTGGAATGCAAAGAATAAATGCTCTGTGTTTCACCCATTTTTCAGTCAAACCTTGCAAAGCTCTCAGAGAATCCTGGTTAATTCAGTGCACTTGGCTTATAAAGACCCAGTGAGCCTGTCCCCCCAATAAATGCACAAATGAAAAGTAATTACATGTAAAAAGTTGATCTCAAAGTAATGGTACAGTGCTGTCCAGTGACTGTAAGCCCTCAGTTAGGTAGAGAACAGATGAAAGAATGTCCTAACAGTCAGCAGGGAGCCCGTGTGGAAGGACTTGCCACGGCTGCCGTCTGCCTTTGATTCATATTGCTTTTCCACCTCACTGAGTTTCTCTCTCCTCTGCCCAGCTCATAAGGGCTTCCAGCGCTTCGAGGCTCTGGAGCAGAGTGATTGGTTCAGTCCTGGCCAGGCCGGTGCAGGACTGGCTCCCCGCCAGAGGTTCCTCTTCATCAGTGTCCTGGACAAAAAGGTGATTTGGCATGTGGATCTTCTGTATTGTGAATAGCCCTCAGGCCAGGCAGAGAACAAGACAGAGCTCTTAGAAATTCAAAGGTTCTGTTTGTTTGAGCTGTGAATACATCTCTGGTCCAGCTGCTTCACCAAAACAAAGTCTCACTTACCTCTAGTAGGATGTCAGCATGCAGATACTTACAGGGTTCCCACACAGAATTTAGAGAGTCATGGAAACACCTGGACATTGGAAACTGGGTTAATAATTCTGTTTTTTTGTTTTTGTTTTTGTTTTTAGGACTTTCATCATTTAGTAAATAATCTCTGCATTATAATTTTTACCAGTTGAAATATCTTTTAAGGGCCAAACCATCTCATTAAATGCATTTTTCTGCTTGCCAAAAACTGAACTAACTGAAAGGTCTTTTCTGACCCCAAATGGCTTTATTTCACCTATGTGAGTTATATTTTAAAGATTATAGCTCATCCACTAACCTTTACCATTTGAAATAACTTTAAAGGGCCAAATAAGTATATATCTTTACATACGGATTTCATGAAATAGAGACGGATAAGCCAACCGCAAACCTAATGTACCTGAAGAAAACACTAAGCAGACAATAAAATAATAATACAAAAACAAAGAGAAAAGAAACGGGAGAAATGGCAGTTTTCTGTGCTTTAGCTCTTTCTTTGACATAGTTAGTATCCATTGTGACCATATCTCCATAAAAAGTCATTTTTCAGCTGTATGGTAGCTGTGTCCTCTTCCACGATGATCACCTCATTCACCGTTTGCTGCCACTGTTTTATGTAAGGGGGCTCTTGCTGCGACCATAAGATTCCAATAGTTATTTTGGATAGTATAGGCAAGGTCCTTAATAAACACATTTTGTTTTTTACCATCTGATTTCATAAGATGAATAACTTTAGGTCGAAGTTTAATTTTGCACTGAAGATTAATTCTACTTTCCCAGTACATCCCAGTTAGAGGTCTCTTGGATATTGTATTGTATTACTTTATTAATCCCACAACGGGGAAATTTCCTTGTCAGAGCAGCAATTACTTGAAATGAATAAATACAGATATAAAAAACTATGATAGAAACTAAACTATGGTATGGTGGTAATTTGAAAAAAAAAAACAGAAACTACAACATTGATCAGGTGTTGTAGAGTCTGACAGCGGCAGGGATGAAAGACCTTCGGAACCTCTCCTTCTTACACCGTGGGTGTAACAGTCTGCTGCTCAGGGACCCCACAGTGTCATGTAGGGGGTGAGAGGTGTTGTCCATGATGGATGTCAGCTTCACTAACATCCTCCTCTCACCCACTTCCTGTATGGAGTCCAGAGGACAGACCAGGACAGAGCTCGCTCTCCTGATCAGTTTATTGAGTCTCTTCCTGTCCCTGTCCGTACTGCCCCCTCTCCAGCAGACCACAGCATAGAAGATGGCTGAAGCCACCACAGAGTCATAAAAAGTCTTGAGGAGAGCCCTGCTTACTACGAAGGACCTCAGTCTCTTCAGTAGGTGGAGGCGAATCTGGCCCTTCTTGTAGAGATCATGGGTGTTGTCAGTCCAGTTTGTTATTGAGGTGAACACCCAGGAATTTGTCATTTTCTACCACCTCAACGTCCAATCCCTGGATGTTCACCAGGGTGAATTGGGATGTTTTCCTCCTGAAGTTAACGATCATCTCCTTCGTCTTGCTAGTGTTTAGCTGAAGCTGGTTGAGCTCACACCAGCTGACAAAGTCCCTGATGACAGTCCTGTATTCCAGTTCATTCCCCTCAGAAACGCATCCAACAATGGCTGTGTCATCTGAGAACTTCTGGATGTGGCAGAGTGTGGAATTGTGGGTAAAGTCCGAGGTGTAAAGGGTGAAGAGAAAGGGAGAGAGCACCGTACCCTGAGGGGCACCTGTGTTGCAGAGCACAACGTCAGACACACAGTGTTGGAGCCTCACATACTGTGGTCTGTTGCTTAGATAATCTATTGTCCATGCAGCCAGTTGTTGGTCCACTCCCACACTTTCCATCTTCACTCTGAGCAGTGACGGCTGGATAGTGTTAAAGCACTGGAGAAGTCAAAAAAGATGACCCTCACCGTGCTTCCGCTGTCCTCCAGGTGGCCACAACCCCTCCAACATAATCCTGAAGATTTTCCATATTTAGCCATGATGACTGGGTTCTGAAATACTACTCTCCAGTTTGGGCTATTTGTTAGAGACAAATATTGGATTTTATGAAAGATACCTATTGCAGCTTTAATTGATTATACTGGTAACTAAAGGGTATTACATTGGCATGACACAGGTATTAGCTTTATAGAATAGTAGATTTAGTTAGAATGTTTGTATGGTAAATATAGTTAGAGATTATAATGCACAGAAGAATTGATGCAGTTGTAATGCAATTCTTTAAACAACATATCCTGTTTGTAATTGCATTATTTTACTGCTTAAACTGTCACTGTGGGAGTAAAACAGGGATTACTGAATTTGTGCATCATTTGTGGGTAAAAGAAAGAGTTTTTAAAAATGGATAAAATGTACTCTCCAATTGTAAGTGCAAGCTCTTTTGTGGTGTTTTTGATTTGTCATATTGTGACCACCACTGCTTCAGGTGACTCTGTACAGCTACAACTGGTCTGTGGACCTGGGCGCCTCTCTGAATCGGGAGCTGGTCCGCCTTGTTAAGTGGCAGAACGCGAGGGCTCACGTCGTCCACTGCCTGCTCAACCAGAAGATGGGCCTCTTCCATCATTACTGCTTCTCTGATGCACCCATCCACGAAATGGACTCCAAGCAGGTAAAGACACTGACTGACATGCCTAAACCAGTTCACTGGGCATCATTTGTTGCTTCAGTTCACTGAGCTCAGGCCTCCAGCCCTGTACCTGCTGAGTGTATATATACAACTTATCACCATTAGACATATTATAGTTGAACAGAAAACTATAAAACTAAATTCTAATGATACCGTAGATATTTTCAGTATTTTTCAAAAGAAGATACAACTGTTGTATTAAAAGTAAAAAATTATTAACACAAATAATATAATGTGCATCTATTGTGGGGTGGGGCATGAAAGAGTTTGAGAACCCCCTGAAATGATAGCTATTAGCCGTTAGCAATTTTATCCCTCCACCCTGCTTAGCCGCTTTGCAACATTAACACTGAATATTCCCACTAGGGCTTATTTTGGCTTTGTGTTATGTCAGCACCTGCCGAGCCATTGGCAGATCCTGCACGCAGTGCTGTGTTTGTCCTGCATTATAGAAATTGGGGCTAACTTGCATTAGCTGTCATTTGTCCAGATGTGGTGACTGCAACTCATCACTGTCAGAACTCCCAGCAAAGGGGAAGTTCTGTAACTTGAGCACTGCAGAGGTTACCCCACAATTCCAGTCATGAGTAGTGGTCGATATGGGTTTTTCAGTAATGATGCTGATATTTAGAGAGCAGTGCTGCTGATGGTCAATATACAATGCCAATATCAAAACAAAGATAAGTCATGTTAAATTCTATTCTATTCTATTCTACAAGAAATGCCGGTGTATTTATACAGCAGGATGTATGAGAGTTGTAGTACAGGGCTCCAAACCAACTTTTTCACCGCCTTCCCAAACTCACAAGGTGGAGTTCTAACATGGTTCCACAGCAGCCACCCTGACAACGCTGCCTGCAGATGTGTCTGAAGATATTTTTTGCTTATAGGCCTTGTTAGCGCAGACGCTGGCTCAAAAATGCTAGATAGTCTGCCCGATTAATCTGCTTATCACTAGTCACATGGTGTAACTAAGGGAGTGCTCAAATGATAGATGTGTTAACCACAGTCGACTGCTGTGTGTGCTTGTGAAATATGAAAGGTAGGTTTTGAGTCAGCATTGATTTCAATAAGAAAGTAACCACTGAAATTAACAATGTTTTCATTTGGATCATATTATACAAAATATTTTTTTTCATGTACAACCATGAACAGTATAGCTGTTTAACATAAATAATAGAACTAGATATTTTACTTCCAAATGATTTGTTCTCGAAATTGCTATCGTTTGTAAAATAGAGGAACATTATGTTTCTGAGGCACCAGAGTACATCAGGATTATGAGTGATGGTTTACTGTTTTTACAAGTTCCAACTCTAGATAGCCATTTGCTTCTTTTTCTGGCCACAAAAAAATAAAATGAGGCTGACAGACCTCAGCAGCACTTCTGGGATAAAATAAAGATTTCCTCCCTCAGCATGTGCCCCCTCACAGACTGCTTTTACAGACATGCTGACACACTTCAAATTTGTCACTAAAAAGCAGCCGTAGTGCCTCACTAGGTCTACATACAGTATGGTGGGGGTTGGGAGCTGCTACTTCAGGTGGAAGCAGCCTGTCAGGGCAGCATCTGGATTTACACCATCGCAGGAGGTAGCAGGTCCTGGGGCAGACTTCATGCAGCTGTTGTGTCCTGGAGGGAATTCTGGTGACTCCCACATAAGTGATGATGTCAGAACCTGTTACACTGTCAGCCTGTTTGACGTGCGGCTCTCATGGTATTTATGTATTTCAGTGATGGATGTTATCTGCCTGCGTGTATGTTGTTTCTGCTTGTACCATGATACAATATTTGCTGTGATACGGCACATTACACTGCCTGTCATTGAACTACAGTGACCATCATTCCTTACACATATGACCCTAGCTTCTGTAAGTCAATAGTCTCTCAAGATAAATGAGTGTCTACTATATGCTTCCAGTAGAATTTGCGACCTTTGGAATTTTATCAAAGTCAACAAACCTTAAAGGTCCAGTGTATAACATTGAGTAATATAAGGAATATAATATTCATAGGTATGTTTTCACTTGAAAATAGGAATTGTTTTTTGTTACCTTAGAATGAGTAACTACACATAGGGAGCGGGTCCTCTTCTACAGAATCCACCATGTTGAACTGCCATGTTTCTACAGTAGCCCAGAATAGACAAACCAAGTGTCTCACTGCCATTTTGACGCTGCTGTAGTTTCTCCAGTATATGTGGGCTGTTGTACTGAAAGAGGATCATGGCAGCTCTCTTGCAACACTTTGGGGCTCAGTCTCTGCTTTTTTAATCACACTGTCATAATCTAATTGTTGCATTTAATGTGATTTACATTTAGTTTTTTTCATTACTCAAAGTTACTATATGTTAAACTAAACACAGTGAAAAAATATGTCTAATTTTGTATTGTATTGTATCAGAACAGAACTGCTTTTGATACAACTGCAATGATTGTGCAGAATAAAATCACATTATAGATTATATATCTTAATTGATGTGTTATATAAAATGGTGTAGTATCTTGGGTAAGGTAGCAGTATGTCTCTGCCACCTGGTTTTAATGGATTTTTTTTAGAAACAGTGGAAGCCTATTACTTCCTGAGATAAGGAAAACCTGCAGCTCGGTGGCCTTAAACTTGGCATGGATGTTAATAGTGATGGTGGAAAAAACATTCCATACATATATATTATTAGTTACTGTAGCTCAACAGCAGCTGCTGCGGGGGGAAGACTGTAACTCACTGGCTCTCTCTACCTACATTTTCCCAACCTGCTCCAAGACTAGATGCAGAAACCTGTTAGCCCAATTTTCTGTCTATCTCTAGCCTACTATCAGAATTGCAGAATGTCATGTATATGCAAGTGCTCCTATGTTCTCTTACACTAAATAGTAAATGGACCTGTACTTGTATAGCACCTTTCTAGTCTTTCGACCACTCCAAGCGCTTTTACACTATGTGCCACATTCACCCTTTCACACACATTCACACAGCGATGGCAAAGCCCACCGAACAGAAACTAACATTCATACACATTCACAGGGGGGACCTGCTCTGCCTCTGTGGAAATGAAATCACTGGACTCCAAGTTAGAGTCTTTCTGCACTGCTGTCCTTTTACTCACCAGTGGGAACGGTGATGGTGATATGACAGCTGACTCATGATGTGATGCTGGAGGAGAACTGGAGTAGGAGTGTGAAAGAAAGAGTGGTTGTTAAATATGCTTAGCTAACAGTTTTGTAAGTGGCAGCACACTTAAAAAAAAAAAAAAAAAAAAGACTAGACTATGAAAACTTCCCTATTTAGACCTCTCTATACCAGAGCCGATAGTAAATAATCCAGGAGGATAAATGGAAACTGACAGGGATTAAATTGCATTGAGGTAGTTAAGTGTTTTGTTTTGAAAAACAAGGCCATAGATGTGACAGGGTTGTATTTCCAGGATATGATCAGGACAACATAAGGCAGTGGGAAATACAGAGGGGTAATAATCAAGAGGAATAAAAATGCTTAGTCATATGGCTGAGAAATCTTGTTTTGGTTTGCACCACAGAGACCATCAGTCGCATATTGATCTGCAGCTCCATATTTAATACTCGAGGTCCAGCAGTTTTGCTGAGATACTCAAAACAGAAAACAAGCCTGAATAAAGCAGCAACATCCACTGATAGAGCTGCAGGTGACATGAATATGGGTGAGTGCCTCTGCCTGCAAGCATTTATTCTGATTGACAACTGGAACACTGTTTTCACCAAGAATTGATTCAATTTTAATTCAATCTTATCTGAATGAGGAAATGCATTCTGTGCAGTGCAGTCTGTCTGAATGCAGTAATAACTCACCATGTAGTGTAAGTCAATCATTTCAATATTAGTCAGCAAATACACATCTAAAAAGCAACCACTGGTTGTTTTTTCTTAGTTTGCGTGACCAAAGACAAATCACATTTTGAATGATGTGAAACCAGAACTTCTGGGTTCTCTTCCAAAAGTAGGAAAACTATATGGTTATTAATACAGACCCTATGACTTTATTATTTAGAAACGTGACCAATGAAACTGTTTCTCAAGCTGCTTATGAAGAACCAAAGAAATTAAGTCAAACTATCTGTACCATATAGGATTACACAGCATCATATTCTTTTGCATCACATCGTATTGAATTGAATTGTTTTGTGTTGAATCAAACTGTGTTGAATTGCACTCCATCACAATAGGGGTTAATTCTTTCGTACCACAGTGGTAGTTGCTTCATATGTGTCGGATCGTTGGTAATGCATCAAGATGTGTATCGCATTTACCTCGTGATGGAGAGGCACAATCCCTAGTGTCAAGTGGTTTGCAGTAATTTGATTTATTTGTTTGGTAATGTAAACCTCAGTATCAAGTGATATGATAAGGGCTAAGCGGTAGATTATGGGCTGTCTCCATTTGGTTCATGTATTTGCAGCAGCACAAAGCACAAGTTATTACATGATTCTTACTCCTAAATGACTTTGTGTTTAATCAAATTACCTCACAAAAACCCCTTGGCCAAAAAGTTTTCAAGCATAGGAATAGCATACTGAATTTACAGAGGGAGAGGATGGTGGTTTGGGTAGATGGGCTAATTTTTAATTTTTGCCCTCGGGCACCACTAGCAGGTCAATCTGGGATATGCTGACATTGACATCAAGCATGCAATTTAGTTTAAACTGAAAAAGGGTTGAAAAATGTCACGCACAGTGTTGTTCCTACACTGTAGGCTGAAGCAGAGATTTATTAGAGCAGCATTTTACAGCAAAGAAAGACACCAAATGCCCTTTTAGCCTCCCCCCACGGCCAATTACAAAACAAGCTCAAAGAATAGAAAGAACCAAACTTTTCCTTTCCCTTCGATGGCCTTGCTCTTCATCGCTGCATTACTAATGAGTCCGGACAGAAGGCAGAGTCAGAGCAGCAGAAAATTTTGCCTGAACAGAGCTTCATCTGTCATGGTCCTGATGAGAAGCAGAGGGAGCACCAGTGAAACAGTTTGACCCTCCAGCCTGTGGGCATGGTGCAGCCAGCTCTGCCATACTGGGGCATCTGGCCCCTGAGCTGCTCCGCTGAACAAACTCACCCAAAAGTTCCTCTCAACAGCCACCAGGGCACATGAACAAAGCTCTGGAAATATTCAATAAGAAGAACACCCTTCAACAATGATATATAGTGCAGTTCCATATGCAATGTACAATGAGTGTTAAAGCTGACCATGCAGACACAAATGCCTAATTTTATCTGAATATTCCTCAAAAACGTCTTGAATGATCCTTTCATTCTAAGAGGGAGCATTAAAAGTACCCATCCTCTCTGCTCTCTGAACTATGATATGGGCATTCTCTTTGCTGTGTTTTGTTTAGCATTTATTGTCCAAACCATTTAATTGACAATCTTTTGTCTTTTTGTTTATTTCTTGCTCTCCATCTGTCTTTTCCAGGATCCCAATCCATTCCTGAGCCCCTCCATGGAGCCGGATGCGTTGCTGCGTAACACGGTTCCTCCTTTACCCAGCAAAGAGCAGGGCAGGCTGGGTGGCTCTGGCCGAAGTCTTGCTCCGCTTCACTTCCCCTCGGAGCTGCTTCCCTTTGACGAGGCCCTAAGGGACGTCTGCACCATCCGACCCTTGATGGAGGGGGATGTGGTGGCCCGACATGGCGGCCAACTCTTGGAAATCAAAGCTGCTGAGCGGAGAGGTTAATACTGCTACCAGGGATGTCCTGATCTGATCTCAAGGATCGGAATCGAGGCAGATCATTTTTTGACTTAACATTATCTGCTATATTGAGCTATATTGAGCAGCTTTGATGCAGGCAATGCAATCTAGAGCGCTTCAATTGTCAAGCATATACATTGGATTGATTTTGATAACTTTAATGTACTTAAAGTGTGCACTATGCACCTTTTATTATCTAGGAAAATACAAGTATTGATTTGGGACTCGATATCGACAGACACTCAGTATTAAATACCTCTTGAATGGGATCAGGGGCAACAAATGTTGATCAGGACATCCCTGTTAGTCCTATTAATAATAACAGAATTTTTGACAGGAGGGGTAATGGTTTTGTCTTGGTGCTTACAGAAATGGAGAAACAGATGAAGATAGAGAACCTGTTTGTGACTTGGCAGCAGAGGTCAGCACAGTCCAACATGCCCATTTCAGTAAGTATCCCAAATCTTAAAGCCACATTCACACATAACCTAAATATTTTCAAGTTAAAGCAGTATTAAAATACTCTTCATACTGGAGGTTATTTATTCCCCTCATATACAGAGTATGTATAATATGTTTTGAATGGCAGTGAAGAGATCAAATTATATAAACATGTGACATTATGTTTTCTGACTTTGGACTTTGATACAAGTCAGGCAATCGACCTCAGTGAAAAATGACACACAAGAATGTGGTTGCAACACAACTAAACTTAAGACCCACTCCAACCGTATCACACCTGTGTAACGCTTACCCTAACTCAACCACCACATTTAGCTTCAGAGCAAAACTAGCTAATCAACATTAATTATTTGCTAACTAGTTACATCTGATAGCTAATGTTAGCAAAATGCTATCTAGCTAACTAGCTAGCTGATAATGGACGTTGATTAGTTGCTAACATTAGCTAACTTAATCTGTGAATATATGACTTATTTTTTTTAACCATCTTGGCTGTCTTTTCAGCTGGACTGGGCTTTTTAACTTTCAAAGTGTTTGCTTTCAAACATTATAGGTTGTTAAGGTTAAGTGAGGATTCAACCAGATGCCAAACAAGTTAACAACCCGCAAGCCTGTGTTCGGACCACTGCTTTTAAAGAGATTGATTTGAAAGCCACTAAATGCACAGTATTCTAATGCATTAAGCCAGGTATGAGCCCATGTACTCACTGTAGATGACAGCACCATATGTGATTATGAAGTGCAGGCTCAATTACAGTTGTGTGTTCATGCATGGGCATCAAAGGTATTGAAACCTGGTGTGGTATAGTATATACTTTTTGCTCATGGGGTTTGTTCACAAAGGTGACAAGTTCAAAATGTGAAAATATTGGACACATTAAGAAACATAATCTAACAACAAATTGGACCTGACCATTAAGTCAGAATTGAGTATTACATTCCTGTACTGTGAAAGTAACCTAATATCAAATATAGCTAATTGGACCTGACAAAACCTGGGGGAATGGTGCCTCTCACTACTTTATGGCTTTGAGGAGCTACAATTACAGTTCATTCCTTGGGGAAATCATTTAGTATTGCCTTGTTTGAAAGTGGGGAATATCGGGGCTAATTAAAAAGGTTTCTGTCTGCCACAGTGACATCTCGAGAGAGGTTACATGGTGGCATTCAATTTACGAATTTGATATTTCAACAGACACCCACAGAGCACTCTAACTCAAGAACATGCAGGAGGAGGTCTGCAGCCTGACCCAGGGCCAACAGGGCCCGCAGCCATTTCCACTGACATTTGGTTTTAGGCAGATTTCCATACCACTGGATGAAGTACTTGTATTAGATGTGATATGACTGCATCATAGTCAGTTTTGGAACTGAATGCCAAGCCCCTGTACTTACTACACTACGTTTAATGTCCATCTGGCAGATCTTTGATGATGCAGCTGCCTATCAACACTGATGAGCCTGTAGACTATATTCTTGAAAGCAAAGCTGTTATAGTCTTGTGTATCACAATAATTCCACTTCTATCACAGTTTATCCTCTTAAGCATCTTATCCTGAAGTAACAGTGGATGTCTCAACAGGGGACAGATTTGGAGACCCTGAAGCAGTCGTCCAGGCTGGTTCACTACTGTGCCACCCCTCTCCTCTTCGACCCCATCTTCCGCAAGCAGATCCAAGAGGAACAGATCGTTCCGCCTCCAGTAAAGGTATGTTTGTGGCCTGCCTCAAAGCAAAGTTACAGGAGAAGGAGGTCGTTTCTGGATTAATTGGTATCTATAGGTAGTGATTTTCTTATTAAATACTCAGTCAAGAGCATGCATGAACATACCACTATTCCCTAGCAACAAACGCTGTATTAAAAGATGAGACTGTTGTTCATTTAGCTATGTCTGTCAGCAAGATTATAGAAAAACTACAGGTCCTATTTTAATGAAAGGGTCTAGCATGGGTGAAGGAAGAACAATTTTGGGGTGGATCCGAATCTCAGGGCAGATACACAAATTCTTTTTCACTTTACTATTAAAAGAAATACTGAATTTGTTGCGCAAACTCGGCATAGGAACAGTGAATAATGTGCATATTTTCATATCATAAAAGACTGGACTATTGGCCTTGGTGGAGGTGCCTTTCTAGTTTTTTTGTTGTTGAAAATAAGCCTTTTGGCTAACACTGATGCATTTACAGTGGAGTCAAACAATATATAAATATAAATAATAGGTGGTTTCTTTAGTAAAAATTTACCTGACAACGTTGTCCTCATGGAGTTAACAATGAAAGTCTAATTCTAATTAACTCGTCCATCCATCCTTCCATCTCCGGCTGCTGTTCTGGGTCCAGGTTGTAGAGTTGCCCAGCTATCCTTTTATGAGGGTTGGAATGCCGATTTACTTGTAAATCAAGGGCTTTGAATTTAAACTCAGTTCTAAATTCGCCATGACAACATCACTATTATCACCAGACCAGTCCACTTGTCGAGGTCACTGGTAGCTCTTTAGATCACTGGTATCATGAGCTCCATAAAAAATCTAAAACAAACACAGCCTTGCTGGATTTCAATAGCTATCATGAATGTGCTTAAAATGACTGCTCAGTTCCAGTTCTGCAGTCTGGATGGCTAGTAACAGCAGACCCACCACCCCGTTTTTGGGAAGAGCTTCTGGCTGAGGCCAGGCAGAAGTGCCTCTACATGGCCTTGTTTCTCTGACTACAGAAACTGCTGCCAGTATCTGTCTGCTGATTCTGGACTCCCCTGAGCAAAACAACCCTGTAAAGGCCTTCCCCCCTTTCTCCACCACTGGTGTCTATAAGTTATTTCTAAGGGTTACCACCAGGACAGGGAGCATTGGACTCAGCAATAAAGGCTTTGCATGGCCCATATGTATCAGAGATGCACCCATCCACTTTTTTTCAGTTCCAGTCTGATTCTGATTCCTGAATGTAGACATCTGCTGATACTAATACTTTACACACATTACAACTTGCTAGAGACTAAAATTTCTCCAAACTAAGGACATGTTGAGTAAGCCAACTGTTATCTCACTAAGTTGCAGACTGTCTCATGTTATGTTATGGTAGCTTATTGGTCCAGCACAAGCTCCATTTGTATGTCTAACTCATAGAATTCTGGGAGACAAAAAAATATTAGGACTGTTAGATATCTTAGTAGAATAGTGTTATTACTAATTAAATAATTTTGTGCTACCACATTTTGGCTATGGGCTTAAAATTGCATTATTGGATCAATAATAAAAACATCAGACTGTGGAATTTGGATCAGTACATGGATCTGTGATATCTTTCCAATATGTGAATTTGCTAACTATCAGCACCCAGTACCAATATTGGATCAGATTAGGGCTCAGCTGTCAATCATGATGTGAAACCCCATTTTTATAGCTTCAAATAACTAATTAAAACCAAACTTGGACCCTTAAACAAACATCAGTGTCATAAGAACTGCCTAAAATACCAGAAACCATCTTTGGAAAATATTTATGGATGATGGACCTAATAACCTATACTGCAGGCAGCCACCAGAGGGCGATCAAGATGTTTTGACCTCACTTCTGGACAGCTGTCATGTCGTCCATGTTTATATGTGTCAATGGTCAGGACTCCTCTTTGGCCAATTTACTATGAGTCGTTTCCATGGCCTCAATGGCAGAGCTCCAAGGGTAATGGGCACATGCTATCATGTCATATTCATGAATCACAGAGAGGACACACATGTGTTTTCAGTCAAACAAACTATTGTAATCTAGTGTCTTTTAGCCATAGTTAAAGGTAAATATTTTGTTTGCTTAAAACATACAGTGGTGCACAAAATCAAGTTGGCATACTTGAAGAGGGTGCATTGTTCTATAAATGGTGAAACTCTGATATGTTTTCCAGAAACGGCATCGCTCCAGCGACTCCACTGCATCAGGTCGGGACCGAAGCTACAGCACTGACTCAGCTGACATGCTGCCCAGCCGACTGAAGGAAGAACCCTGGCTGCTTGAGATTTCCAGCACCTTCCTCCAGCAGTATGTCCAGTACCTGCAGAGCATGGGCTTCATTCTGGTCCAGGTCCGGCCTCAGTCTCCGGCTCGCAGGTCCGTATCCATAAGAATGTTTCATTTTTTTTGCCTTAGTTACTGTTAAATGTCTACATTGCTTGTCTCTGGGTTTTCTGTTTGGCATATGTTAGAATTATTTTTGAGGCTCTCCCCATGACCAAACTAGGGTCTATTGCATGCTATACACTGTCCTGCACATGAAATCCTAAAGGAAAGTAAGTAGTAAATGGTTTTCATCCACTTTATTTTTATCCAGGTTGGCCAACCCATGTTAAAATAGATGAGTGAGATGAGATGATGAAAAACATACCTGACCATTCCATTCGTGTTTTTCTGCATTTATCTGCTACTTTTTTGTGTTAAACTTGAAAATGTATCACTCCAATTCTGCCTCTCTACCAGTTCGCTCCTCCACTGTGAGCAGCATTCATCCATTAGTCATCATATGTGTTTTGATCCTCATCCGACCCCTGAGCTCCCAGCATTGCGGCCCCATGGCTGATATAACCAGAGCAGAGGCAGGGCAGATGCCTGTCCTGCCTGCCTCCACCACTTTCTAGGCTCAGACCATGTCACTCTCTCTGAATTATCTCTTATGGGTTGGCCATGCGCTGTTTGTGCTCCATCAGCCCTAAGGCTCAGACCTCTTTGCTTTAAGCAGAACCTAACTGACCCCTGTCCTCCACCCCACCCGCACATCTCTTACAGCATTGCCCGGGCTCGTGCTGCCATGCTGAGCTCTATGTCATCGGAAGGGAGGATGTCTTTTTCTTACGTAAAGCAGAAGAGCGAAGACAGCCCTAAGGTTTGTGTTCACCTCGGAGATATACAGACACAAACACACACACACACTTGGGGACTGAGGCAGGGCGGGCTGTTGTAACTGTCCATTTGTCCAGCTGTTCCCTAGAAACATTGTTGGCGTCATTGCTTGTAATGTTTTATTTCCAATTTACATTTTCATTAATTCCCGTCTTGAAACCTACACATGTAGTGCATTCAGTTTCTGAATATATTTTTTGGAAGCTGGAATTAATAGTAGTAATAGTAACAGTTTTACTACATACACAATCCAAAAACATGCAAACAAAACAAAACAAAAACAATGTGCAGTACCCAGTCTGCTGCAGGAATATCTAACATAGGATATGACAATTGTAAAGCATAGCTGACCTGCTCCATTGGCTAATCAGGGACTCACTCCGCCTGCAGCAAGGATATAGTTTGAGTTGTGGTGAGGTGGGCCATACGGATTCATTCATGATTACCCTTCTACTTTATATCAAAAATGGCTGCTGTGAAAATGGTCTATTAGCTATTATTTAGTGATCTTGTCTTTGATCTCACATGAATGACCATCTCTACATAGCCTAGCTATTGCAAAACTGAGTGTCTAAAGTTTTTTTTAAAACCCCAATAGTTATGATGTGGTTGATAAAAAGAGGTGGAAAAAAGAGCAACTGACACAGCAAAGGATGAAGAACAAGCAAGTAATACTGATGAAATAAAAAAGACTGCACGTCGGTGTCTGGTCCTCTTTGCTCTCTATGCCCTTGTAAAAAATAGGTTATTATTTAAAACCATGTCTGTCAGAATGACAAACAATGAGAAACTTGCGCAACCTCTGATGTACACTGTATATTTTTGTATGTCTCTCTGTATTTTCCTGTGAAAAGCGGATGTATGCTTCCAAAGACAATGTTGCTGATGAGTGTGTGTTGTTGTAGTAATGAAAAAAGACTGCAGTGTGCAATTCCCTGCAGGGCGTTCGAGAACCACAGTGTATTTTTTTGTCAGGTGGTGGTAACCTTTTCATTGCTGCTAACATCAGCGAGAGGTGTTTTGGATTTTAACTTCTTTTTCTTTGTGGCACAGTAAAAACTTCACTAACTCCCAAACAGGGCTACCTCCCAAAATCAGGTTCTGAATTAGAACTGGTTCCAAAGTCTGTTCTTTTATCGGTACTCTGCAAAACCAGGGAGTGGGATTAGCAGAGCAGAAAATACAGTTATAATTTATGGTCGTAGGTGCAGCCTCTCCTCTGTGTCTTTGAGATGTGATGAATAAACTTGACATTTCAAGATTAAAGTCGAACTTTTGAGAATAAATCAAACTACTAGCATTTGCGCATTTGGCTGCCTCTATAAAATGCCAAAATTGTACTTGAGAATTGGTTTTAGTAGCAAGGAAATTATTTATCTTTTAGCGCATTAACACAGTGTGGTAACACGTATTAGAAGAACATTTTATTTTAAATCCCAGCACAAAATATGTGCAACACTGATTAAAAACCAGCTGTATCTGCCTTCAAACGCCTATATTAAACAAACTGATTTGTAAGATTGTTTTGTAAATAAAAAACTGCCAGCTGGAAAGATGCTAGTTCCACCTCCTGTGCACTGCCATGGTGCCCTTGAGCAAGGCACCCAACCCCTAACTGCTGTTTCTTCTAAATAAACTTTAGACTACAGCATCTGGCACTACTGCATATCACCTCCAGAGGGCGCTGCCAGGGGGGATCGTGTTGATGGAACTGGCTTTTCAGGTGAGATGAGCAACCTGAAGGGCACTCAAAATCACTAACACTGTTGGTCCCTGTTAATGTTTTAACACATTTATGTATAAAGAAATTCTGGAGCATACCATAGATTTAAAACAAAATGGCTACAAGGATTACACTATGTGACAGTAACTGTCAAAATGAAACTCAAAGAGATAAAATGTCACTGATATTACAAACCTCAGAAGTTTCAAGTCAAAGTTGATTTTCATGTTGCACAAATTAAGAGTAAACCAGTGGATCCCTAATATTCAGGGTTTCAAGCAAAGCATGTTGGGTCTAGTTTGAGCAAGACTAAGACTCTACAGCCATGCTAGCAGCCTTGTGAGACTTTACGCGGTGGTGTTTTGAGCTAAATGCTATTTTCGTAGGCCAATCCAGAAGTTGGCATCATCCTGGTTCCTTCAAACAAAAGCCAGTATAATTTTTACTTTGGATTATCTCTCATGTGAAGTGTAGATATTATACAGTTTGTTACTGAAATACACGTTAACTCTGCCAATATGGGGATAACTTTAAATAAAGTCTTAATACATTTCTTATAATAATTTCTAAGATGTGAAGAGCAAATTACGCGTCATAGAAGTCACTATAACATTTCTTTTCACATTGTTATTGTTAACAAATCCCATAAAAAGACTAAAAGCCTTAGCCTAGCATGGGCCAAGCTCCAAAAACACTACATCCTACACTTTCCATACTGCCAACTCGGTAACATCTTTCATCACTGCCTGATAAACATCCACGCCTTTCAAAATCTTCAACACCAGCTGAGGTAATAGATTTATTTTAAAGCTGCAATAGGTACTAACTAAATATAAAAATAACTTTTCGTCATATTTTCTGAAACTTTCATTATATCCTGACAGAACAGATTCCTCTGGCTCCTCCTAGTGCTGCTAATGGTATTTACAAGAATCCACTGGGCCTGAATGAAAGCAACCAATCGGAGCCAAGGAGCAAAAAAATACTTTGGGTTGGTGGCTTGAAGATACTGATTCGATTGAGATTGTTGTTATATGACGACCTGGGAATGAGATTCAACATTCAATTATCTTTCTTGGCTCTGATTGGCTAAGGCAGATTATAGTGAACATTTCAGGAAATATATAACAAAAAGTTATTTTTATAAAAGTTACCTACTGCAGGGTCAAGTAATTTATTTAACCTATCTAAACAAAGCTCCTACAGATTCATAGAAAACAGAATACAACTGCTTTCACAAGCTGGGACTAGTGAAAGAAGGAAAAATATTTACTTTCAGCAGAAGATATTAATGGGAGCAGGACTAATGTGTTATTATATTTCCATGTTCTCATGGTACAGTATGTTTGACCCCTATATGCGTTGTCTGTGACCTTGTTATTTCCAGGCAAACATCACAGTTAGTTTTCTGGTGTGTGTTTTGTCTTGCTGCTACTGGCTGTTACCCTTTTATGCATCAGTTTTTGTTGAGCTTGTGTTGAGGGGGTCAATTTCCATTGAAGGCCATTTAAAAGGCCTTAATTTACCATCCTGACTCTCACCTATCTGTAGATGGCTTCAACAACTGGTCAGCCACACATTAATGTTTTTACGTGTGCCTTCTCCTTCTGCCAGGGGTGTTACTTCTGTGTGAAGCAGTATGCTCTGGAGTGTTCCCGCATTCCCATGGGCCAGACAGTCAACTCCCAGGTAAATGCTTGACTGCACTGCTGTGTGTATACACAACACTAAGCTGTGCCTCTTCTTTAGGGGTTTGTTGGGGTTAATGGAGAGAATGAGAGAACAAGAGTAACAGAAAATGGAATATGAAATGATTGAAATGTCTCAATATCACATGTGGGAGGGCAGGTGTGCTGATGATCTTTTACATCAGTGGTTTTACAGTCAGATCCAGAGACGTTGTTTGGCCAGAGGGAGGTCTGGGGTCTTAATTGGGTTGCAGGGGTTCTTAAGAATGTCCCAAGCTACTGTTTAGGAATCCGTGGGTCTTAAAGGGGTTCCAGGGGTCATTAATATTCAAAGTTTGGGGATTCCAGGGGTCTGTAATAGAAATTATGGCAATTAAAAATCTGTACTCTGACATTCTCCACTTATGCGTACATATTTCTACAGTTTTGCAATCAAAGACACCTTAACTCTCACAGTATGGGGATAACTTTGAATAAAACCCTATTAAATGTCTGTCTTGGTCAGAATGATTTGAGATGTGAACAGCAAATTACTGTCAAGCCCATTGATGATGAATGATTAGAGTAGTTATCTGCTCTAAGTAGCCGTCACTGTAACATTTCTTCTTACCAGATCCCACAAACTAAAACGTGTCTCAGTACTTTATGACTTTCTTACTCTGTCAGTGGCCCTCTTTTCCAAGCACACTGGTTCCCACTGGAGACTTTAAAAATGCCTCACAAATACATAGTTAAATTTTTAACTAACTTTAAGACTCCTTTTAAGATTTCCCTTAAACAGCTGGCTGCTGTGGTGTTTTTTACTATTTTCAGCAGCAGATGACATTCACAGCCCATTAAATCAAGCGAGCACAAGGACAAGTGCACAGCAGTGGGTCTCGTGTGCGCAGACTGTGTTTCTCCAAATGAACCTGCTATTTCGGTTCATGCATGTGCAGCAGCACAAAGTGCAAAAAGGCTGAGTGACAGGGAACACAGATGGGAGGGTGTGATGATTAATAAATCCACCCCCAGCCAGTCGCATCACTGGTTTCAGAGCTGTGAAACAACCAGTCACGGCGAAGCATGACAACAGCTCAACAAATGAAAAATCGCTTTCCTTATGAAATCACATTCAGCGGCTTTACATGCACTTAACTAACCAAGTTACTATCGGCTTTCTGCAGTAAACTGATTTCTTAACTGTGATGTAAATGAGCTGTGTGGTTACAGTAATCGGGTTAGGGGATTAGAGGTAGATTTGTCCTGGAGAACGCGAAGAAAACACTGGATTTACAGGCAAAAAGCCTGCAGGCAGCATTAAAAAAACAGTATTCATTCTGCATGAATAATCTGCGGATGTACACACAACATTCACTCTCTCTACTGGACACTTTACATACAGTCTATTTTTAGCTGGTTTTGAACAATTTAAAGTTAATAAATAGGCTTTTATTGCCTTCAATCAATAGTGACAGCTGAAGTGTGGGAGGAAAGGGGGGAGAGAGAGTGAGGGTGACTACCAGGTGAGCTACCAGGTGAGCTACCAGGGTACCTCGCACCACAAATTTTCTATGACCAGATATGTTGAGGAACTTCTCTAAACTGCTTTGGAGTTACGTTTTCTCATTAGTATGCAGATATGTAAGTCACGCCACTTCTCTTCTCTCAACGGCAAATGCCAGACAGACAGTTTAAACTAAAAATCAGTGACACGGGGGGAAAAAACTTCAAAAAGGAAAGAAACTGAGAGATTGTCATTGAAAAACACATCAGAATACAAAAATAATATCAAGATGAAATTAAAAGATTCTTCATGTCTTTTATTTTTCAGTTGGATTTTTTCAGGTCAATACCTTTCACTGCCATTATAACCTTTTCCAATACAGGTGTATTAATGCTAATGTTTACTTTTTCAGGTCAGGTTTTGTTTTCAATGTCAAATTATATTTTCAATGCTAGAATTTGTTCTGGCTCAATAGAAAACCACAAATACTGTATGTTTATTCTTCAATTGTACCATATTTTTCATACTTGAACTACAGCAGAATCATGCTTCCACAAGCGCTTGAAAGGAAACTGTTTAAATATATATCATTTTTAGTGTCTCGTTGATATGTTTCTAATGGATGACAATGGAGCTCTATAGCACAGAATAAGGAGATATATCGGGCTTTGATACAGTACTTGTTATTAGATACATTCATTTTTGTTTTAGATCTTTTCATGGGGTATATTGAAAAGACAAGGGTTCCAAGACTGATCCCTTTTAATGTATTTGCTCAATTCCAGCCAAGTTGCATCACAAAACACTTTCTCCAGGAAAGGCCTGCCAAATAGTAGGTTACGAAATGCTCCCATCAAGTCTGTCAAGCCACCTTTTGGAGTAAAAACAAAAAAGGGAAAAAAAGCTTTCATGACATGTAAACATTTTATCTTTATAAGCAAGTCACAGCATACAACAGTAAGTACAATACATTGCAGTTAATTTCAATCTTTGCCAGGATAATTCTGTTTGCTAAGCAGTTCTCGTCGATGAGCACTCTATGAAGCTGTGATGGCAGCCATTCGGCACATATTTCCCAGAGCTTGTTTGTGAGGTCCTCAGGGTTCAGCTGATTGACTTGTCTTCCTCTGTCTCTCCCTCTCTCATTCTTTCATTCCTCCTCTCTGCATATTAAAGCTGAACTGAGGCCAGGTTGGCTGGGAATATGGAGTGTAAATATTTAAAGTGGCTGCTTTGCATGTATTACAGTGTCTAGATGTTTCTCACTGGGGGCATTTTGTGTAGTCTTCTTAGCAACTATACTATAAAGGTAGTAACATAAAAGCCATATGTAACTAAGTTTTGGGGTTATTGTCCCGTACCTTCTCAAAGAACAGGGGTAGATCTAGAGGGATGGCATGGGGTGGCAGCTGCCCATAAAATGCCTGGTCATCCCAGTTTGGTGTCAAATACTGTCAAATTTATCACATTCATTTAGATTTTCCAAGCAAATATTGATATATGTGATTGTTGGTGATTCAGTCAGCATATATTTCTGCCACCCCTTAAAGTCTCTTAAACCCTCTGAACAGCCCATGAATAGAGAAAAAAAGAAATGCAGAAGTTTTTTTGTCATTTATTTTCAAAGCTGTAGACAACAAATTCAGTCTAATTGGCCATTTAGACTAGTACTTAGAGGTACTTAAATAAACAGAAATATATGTAAGTAATTATTACAACAGAAGGACTCAGGCCTTTTAAAAAAAAAAAAATTGTTTAGACCACAAGTTTAGACTCCCTTAGTGACTTTTTAATACAACTAACAAAATTTACATCTGGATAAGACACTTTAGACTAAGGATGTCCCAATCAGGTTTTCCTTGGCCTTGAATATTGGGTATCTGCCCGATTCAGACTGAATACTTATATATGCCAAAATGTTTATTAAATGTCTGACACATTGAAATAACAAGCATTCATTCATTATTTTGGAAACTAATTATTATATTTCCTTGACAAATGTATATTTATCTAACATTTGTTTTTGGACCCCAGTTTATATCCATTCTTAGCACTGGAGGGTCTTTTGCCTTTTTTTTTATTATTATTATTTTTTTTATAAACGTAACCGCCTGTGAAGATGAAATCCTGATGCTCTCCAAGAGTGATTCTTCATCTGGAAAGAAAATAACTTTGCTTCAGTACTTTCACTATCCAGGGTGTTATTCACACCATGTCACTTTTCAGACTTCATTGGGTTCTCCAGTCTGTACTGTTTTATCTATTCCCAGAGATGAATTACTGTAAGAAAGAAAAAAGTATAGTACAACAGACAAACATGCAAAGCTGCCTGCTCTCTGAGAGGCTGAAGTGAAGTATATTTAAGCTAAAGGAAGCTCAAAATAACGAAATAGGTGTTTATTATATTTGTGGTCTTGCCATCGGTCTTAAAATTAAATTAGATTAATAGTAGTTGATGGCATTTCTGTGTTATTTCTTTTCTTAAAGGACCAGCTTTTAGGATTTAGTCGCATCTAGCGGTGAAGTGGCAGATTGAAACTAACTGAAGAAGTGTCTGTATTTGCCAACCTGTAAAGTGTGTTGGAGAAACTATGGTGGCTGTGAAACTTCCAAAAACGCAAACGGTCCTTTTCTAGAGCCAGTGTTTGGTTTGTCCCTTCTGTCCAACTGTAGAAACATGGCAGTTCAACATGGCGGACTCCATGGAAGGTGACCCATGGTGTCAGCATTTTAAACAATAAAAATCTATCCAATACAAATCAACCAAATCAGTTCAGTTCAGTGGAATTGCTGCAATCAGTGTATTCCAAGGTCCCAGGAAGAGCGCCAGGCTTGGAAGCCAGTTTGACATAGTGGCCAAACTGTGTAATGACAACAATAGTGTCCATCATGTTAATGCACAGGGGCCTCAAAAGACTTTTTCTCATAACCTTACATTGTGAAAAGATTTGTTTCACTATCAGAATAGTATAGCATCCATTTGGTCCAACATCATTTGGAAAGTCTAGAAAAGCTGTGTGATTCAATAATTTTATCTCCTTTCAAGTTAACATAGGGCGAAACCTGAAGTTAGCAGCCAGAAGTCTCTGCTTCAAGCACCACTGAGCAGCTCTCATGGAATGGAGCCCCACCTCCAACGCTGTATCCGGTTCTACCTTAACACATTCATGGTGTATTAACTTGTGCAAACCTTTCACATTAAGGTTTACATTGGTAAACTTTTCCACGAGAATTTGTGCCATTAGCCACACAGGTGACAGATCTAACCTTTGAGGGTGTGGAGATCCGGAGATTTCAAAACAGAATAAGTTATGGTAGCGTATTAGCAGTTGCACCATCCACTTTTATTTAACCTGCTGGATTATAAGCTGCTTCACATAAGAGACATGTTTTTAAGATAATTATGAGTCAGCAGGTGATGATACACACATGTATCTTGAATAAACTTTCTGTTCTGTTAGCGACATCTACAGTTACTAGCTAGCTTGTAGAGCTATTGTGACTAACTTGTGGTA